TTATTGATTTACTCCGATTTTTGAAAAAAAACACCTCCCGTTTTCAAGTAACCCCCCTATATTTTTGTTGCTTCGCACCGTCCCTGCTGTTACTTAATCAAGTTATACAGAATGCGTTGGTGAATTAGTTCAAATAGAAGTCTTTTGATAAGATTTTACATAAAAATTAACTACTGATATTTCGAAAAATATTCAAATTCAAGATTGTAAATAAGTTGATCATAAGAAACTCATATTAATCGCCTTATGTTTATTGTGATATGTTCATAGTTTTGACGCGATTTGCTAGAAATACCACATGAATTAACTTATTCGCTATTAGTAGATATCTACTGTCAATACAAATGACATGTAGAGAATCTTTATATAATAGAAAAAAGTATTTTTTACAAGAAAACAAGATCTTTTCATTTCAGGAATGAAAATCTGATTTTAATATGAACATTGATAGAAACTTTGCATAATATTTTAATCTGTAAAAATTCTATCCTATAGACAAACAGTAATTACTAAAAAACATGAAAGTAAGAAAAATAATTAAGACCATTCTTCTATCTTGTAGTAAAATTCTTTGTAATTATGATAGAAATAGAGCACGCGTCGAAGCATAGTCTCTTTTCCACTTCAATCTAATAATATTGACATGTGACATAACGAATCGAGAATGAGATTACCTATTATTTGACTACATTTAAGAATAGTTCCATTTCTGATGCCTAACTTAGTAAACTGCTTCTCAAAAGTGAATTTCTGAGAATAGTTTTTGATCATTGTCTATACATTTTAAACACCTAATTATTGTAATATGACCTTCCTATTTATTAGTATCGTTCATGTCAGATTAGTCATGAACATGATCGGTTACTTAAGTTTCAACACCATTACCATTCTAATCGCAGATTAGCAAATCTGTTGATACTGAAATTCTTTAAGAAGCTGTTAGCACCCTGCCTCAGAGGTTAAAATGTAAAACATGATACATCTGATTGCTGGAAGTCCTCTATCACGTCTGTGATGGTCTCTGAAAGCTATTTGCTACGCTGTACGATGAAGAGAGTGTACTTGTTTACTCTGTACACTTCAATATTCATTTTTGATCGTATTTTACAAAATTAATGATCATTTGATAAATAGGCGGATCAATTTGTTTTGAGCCAATTGGGATAGAGAGAAAAGAAAAAAATTGAAAGCAGATGGTATATTATAGATTTAGCACAAATTCGAATTAAAGTCTTTCCAATCGTATAAAATAAGAAAAAAATCACAATCCCTTGAGAGCTTGATCGATTGTTTTGAATACAATACTAAAATCAATTATATTTCAAATTCTAACATTTGCACATAGTTTTAAATCTTCCTTTGACAGTTCGAACACAAATCTTATCATTGAAAAGTCCTTTTAGGTACCTGATAGAATATACGTTAGTTTTGAAACATACTATATGAGAAAAATCGTAATATTCAATGTCGTATGTCTTTTCCGTCTGTTTTTAATCATGGAAACTACAGTTCTGCATCTTGTTTCTATCAAACTCTCAAAGAAAATATTCAACCCCCTCACATTATTTTGTTTGAATAGAAATTGGTTGATAATGCATATTTCTCTTGAATATTTCGCGTACGAACACTTACTTTGGGTGGAAGTAATTGTAGTAATGCTTGATAGAATGCCATCGATGACGCATGTTGATTCGGTGGTGTTATATCTTCAATTCCGTCGATCATTATTATAACTGGTCTTTGTGATTTCGATAAACTTGCTAAAGCTGAGTGATAATATTCAATGTGATTCATATCTTGTTCATTGTTTGATGCTGGTACATGTTCTAATGAACTCAATTGTGTACATATTGATGTAAATACTTCAGAAATATTACGTGATTTCGATGTTAAATTAAAATAACGTATTACACATTGAACATTTTTTTCTAATGTATTTAACAGATATTGAACAATTTTTGTACATAATAAAGTTTTTCCAGATGCTCGACTACCAAATATCGTATATGGATAATGTTCACTTGTATTAGCTACTGTTAACCATTGTTTAAATGAACAATTACGTTCAGTAAAATGTTCAAAGCCCAAACATGTATGTGATGAATGTTTTGAATAATATGTCAGATGTACAAGAACTTCATTGTAGAAACTTTTTTCTGATGATTTGAAATAATTTGAAATAGATACGCCAATATAATTTTGATTCAATGATTTTATACGTAAAAATACTGATGCATTCAATGTACGCATATAACGTTGATAGTCAGGATCATCGGATTGAGAGTCTGCATGATCTCTCCACGGAATGTTAATAATAGTTTGATTATCTTCAAGATTTATTTCGTTATTTTCATTATTTGATAATTTATTTGTTATAGATTCACGAAAGCGTTTTAATTTTTCTTGTCGAATTTTATCCAAACGACCACCAGGAAGTAGATCAATGTAATTTTCACTACCTTTACAACGTTCATTCAGGCCTTTTTAAGAGATAAGAAAAGATATTTATAGAAAAACTTAAATTAAGATAATCGAACAAAATTTTCATAACACTAAACGTGGCGACGAGAGGAACTTCTCTTATAAGGAAATTGTTTTCTTTGAATGAAAGTCCTTTTGATTTGAAGAGATCTCATGATAATGAATTTTCTTTTAGAGAAATTTAGCGTACTTAACTTGTTTTGAATGTATGACAATGAAATTTAATATTTATCAGTAGATAATTTATCTTATTTTTTTTCTTTGAATACTGATACAAACGTGTACTGAATGAAGAGCTTAGTGTAAGAGTATTAGCATAGTTGAAATTTATCCTTTTCTTTCATCTGAAGAAATTGAGACAAAAATTATATGAATCTTCAAGCAAAGATCAAAACTTTTGTACTAAAATGATTTCGGCTTAGAAGCTAAGAAAAAAAGTTTCAATTTTTTTATAATGGTCTCTGTTTTTTGAATGATAGGTATCTGGTCATTTTAAGTGAATGTATGTTTCATTTTTAGATCATCTTAATATGAATAGATCGGTCAAAACAGTACACAAATCGTTGCATCTGTATGAGAAAGAAATCTCTATTGAAACAACAGTACGGTAGCACTTAACTGGGAAAATGATTTGTTTGTTTTTAATTAAATTATATATATATCTAGTTTCGATTTAACTTATCGGAAGCCATGGAATAAAAATTTTTAAGGAAACTCTTAGAAAAAAAGAACCGCTATTTTTAATTATAATTATCGTGCTGACATTAGTTAGCTTTTTTTTATTCGAAGTTCCTTAATAGATATCTCAAGAGACACAAATTCCTAATAAATTTTATTTATGTAGATTAGAAACAAGATGAATGTTGACATAGTAAGAAGCTTAAGATCGGATGTAAAACTAACGATTTTGTTTTTGTCTTGTTCATAGAAATAAAAATAAAAATAAGAAGAAGAAAAAACAATCTTCTCTAGTTTGACTTTAGAAAATCCTCTGAGAGACATCATAAATCGTACAATCTAAAAAAACTTTTGAATAAAACTATACATACCATCAAACTGTCTTAAAATATACATACAGCCAGACCGAGATAATTTAGTTGCATAATTAACGAGTATTTCTACACTTGAAAGTAGTTGAATATCATGCATAGATTTCATATGGGATTTTTCATTTAAAACACTTAAAAATAGATCGGCTAGATGCATATATGCTTCATTCCATTCTTGATTTTCACATGTATTTAAATCATATGTTGATATAGATCGTGGTGGAATATTGGAAAAATTTTCATCAGGATCTTTTAATTTATACATCGATGGAGAGATTTTATCATCTAATAAATACCATTCTTCAAGTAATTTTATGTCTAACAAAACAGAAGAAAAATATTTTTAATAAGTAAAAACAACAACAACAATAACATTGAATTTACTTTTGCTCAAATCCGATGCTGCATTTTTTATATTATTATATTCTGATGTCGATAATTCAATAGGTAAAACGATATTACCATATTTATTTCCAATGAAAGTTAACAAAAAAGGCCCCGTTGATGTTTGATAAGCATTTTTAAGTTCTTTCATGTAACGTCGCATATGATATGGATTTTTCGATAAATCGAAATTCCAATTGAAATTGCAGTCAACAAAATCAACATAAATACCTTGCGTTAAAAAATATTGTTGTAATTTTGGTAAGGTTTCAGTTACCAGTAAATCGCGTTCATTGTCAAATTCTAAATAAACGAGAAAAATAAATAGGTTTTATAATTAATTATATTTTACCATCTTTATTTGATATGATAAGAATTTTAATTTGATTCCAAATTATTTTTGGTAACTGACTATCATTATATAATATTTGACCTTGCATTACATTTGCATAGGCATCGGGTTGATTATGATTATTAGTGTGCCCTGACACCATTTCTGGCATGAAAACAACAAGAAAAAGGTTCTTCACGTAGCCAATTAAAATGTCATTTATGAGTCCAACATCTTCGAGCAATTGACATCTCAAAAAAAAAAAAAGAAAAGAAAAGAAAGAAGAAAGACAACGAATGAGATGATTAAAAGCTGGTGTTAAGCTTTTTGTTTTAGATTATTGACCATGAACATAAAAAAGCACTCATCGCAATAGCTTTACTGACTATGATTCCTCTTTTAATTGCAAACATTGGAAAATTTGAGCTCATGTATTCTGTTTTTAATCATTTTTTATGCTTTTAGATTTTTGTTAGCGTGATAAAAAACAGGTTTTTCTTCTTCTCTCTTCTTCTTCTTATGCAGATATGTCTGACAGTTTTTATGGGCATCATTAATCAAAATGTCAAAAAAATATAGAATGACAATGTTTCATTCTGTTTGATCTACAAACGAAAATGAGAAGAAGAGGTACTGATGAATTAAGCAATTGGTTTTGCGTAATATCTAAATGCTCGACTCATAGCTTTGATGATAATCGTATCTATCAAACAATTGTTTCTTTCTCTTTTGTTTTAGTATACCTAACCAACAAACTGACCTATAGTTTATTATTACAGATTCAATATACTTCGAGAGACGCTACTTCGATCGACTTCTGGCCCTACATTAAAACAAGGAAAAAATCTACTAAACAATAAGTACACACGAAATACGTAAGAGTCGAGAGAAAATCAATGAATAATGCCGTTATTCAATGCTAATGGAAACAGAAGTCACATAAATAGATGTTTCTCTCATTCTTGAATACCTTACTTCATCGATTTTTCCTGATCGTCTTTATCCGCATACTTCTTTTGTTCTCTCTCATTTGAAAACGGTTAGCTTATTGTTACTCTCATTTTTTTTCTTCGCTGCTATCATCTCCGACACCCAGTTGATAAATAGAAGTAGTTAGAAAAACCATAAGCTCTAATATGAAGACAAAGTAGGCGTTTTTATCGCGTGTTCTATTAACATCCAACATTTTTCTCTATTCTTCTCTTTTTTTGCTCTTTTCTCTATTCCGACGTCGAGAGATGAAAGTAAACGGCAGCAGGAAAGTTCAAATACTCACTAGCTTTCACTAACATCATACAATAAACTGACAGAAAACAACTGTGTGTGTTAAAATAAGTTTTTGCATTTTTTTGTTTTTTATTGAACCTATCATGGTGTTCTCTGGAGCAATAGAGAGAGAAAAAGAAAAATACACTACCAAAATCAACATCATCATGATCATCATCATCATCATCATCATCATCATCATCATCATCATTTTCTTTTTCTATCAGATTGAATCGATTACAATACAACAATATGATTCGATAATATTTTTTTTACGAAGAATTGTTGCTCTTCTAACTACTACAATCCCTGCTATGGCTTAGTTCTATCAAGCATGAGACACAAATAAGAAGAAAAAAAAAGATGAAATGTAATTATCGTAGCAGAAACTCGTCGATACTCATTTTTCGGAAATCCTAAAACAGTTTCACTCGTTTGCATATCTAGTGTTATAAAAGCGAGAATAGATTGAATCAGATTTTCCGAAAGAGAACAAACCTAATAAATAAAAAAGGATCTATTCTAGTGAACATTAAACTCACATTGCTACTAAAACTATGCGAACATGCAAGAGAATAACACTTTCTGTGTGACACGCAAAGAATATTCTTATCCATTATTCGTATTAAAATGATTGCTGAGCTTCAAAACAATATCTCATACAGTTTGCGCGTATCTTTAGATCCAGTAGAAATTAATCGAGTGTAAATATGACAGAAACACGACTCAAATATATGAGGCATCAATGATTGAAGTCAACGTATGAATGGTCGAAGTTTCTCTTGTACATCATGCGAATGTGAAGGCTTTAGGATAAGTAGAAACGATTACATGTCGATATTTATAGGATATAATCAGAGTAATTTGGACGAAGGATGTGTTACTCACAATGTTTCGCAGGTTCGCCACAAGGCAGGTTACAATTTCACGCTTATTCTATGTCTGCAAGCTATGCCATCTTTGTTCCATGAGCGCAAATAAATAAATAAATAAATATATATATATATGAATGATTAATTATCATCAGAGTTTTTAACTGAAATGTCTATTTTTTATCCACTTTATTATTTTACTGTCACGAACATGAAATAATAATTGTGAAGGATGCTCATGATGCATCATATGAAGTATGTTTATGCTCATAAACAGCTATATATTGAATTTTAGACGACTGGCATTTCGATGGTTCATATCGTGTAGTATTACACAGGTAGATTTCCATTACTATCTACGAAGCAATAAATTATTCCGTAAAGAAATATGAAACATAATCAGAAGAACATATTTAAATTTCGTATACCAGAAACAAAATAGAATCGAAACATTCTTGTAATCTCCTATGATCTAACATCTTTTTTGATGCTGCAGCATAAATAGAAATCAGATAACTCTTGAAATTACGGCTGTTTTGACTCAATTTTTACTCAACTTCGATTGGCGAAGAATTCTAATAAAAAAATGTAAAGTCTCACTTTTCTAAAAATTAGCTTTTTGATGAAACAGGACGCAATTAGATAACTATGAACCATTTAATATAGAGACCAAATACAATTCTAACGAATAGATAACTATAAAGAAACTAGTATAGTGCTGCCTGACTAGCTGATATATTGTATTAGAAGACTGAATAATACTAAATAAATGAATCATTACAATTTATATGATACATATCGTAATTTCCACAAATACATCATAGATTAAATATAGCAAAATTAATAATTATCTTCGGTATCAATTTTAATATGTTATAATAAAAAAAAACATGATTAAAATATCTAGTTTTAGTGTAAAAATAACATTCTAAATAAAACGGAAAATGTTTTATAAGGAAATGCACTGACATATCGAAAATTCAACGAAACTCTATTATTTGTTGTTCGTTTTGTAAGAATAATATATTAGCCTATAATTTTATTTTGTTACTGTTTTGATAAAATTATTTTATAGCTAAAGTGAATTCGATTTTAATATTTCCACGATTAGAATATTATAAATATTTGAATTGAAATTTGATCTGTTAATTGTTCAATGTTCAAAATCATTGATTTAGATTCTCATAAAATGAAAAATAAGTTCTACTATCTACTGAACTTTCAAATACTAAAATCTGCTTTTGTATTAATAAAAATTAAACTCTGTTAATCGTATTCTGTTGAATCTACCAAAAATATATGAGAAAAATAGTAGTGAAGATACTCTGATATTGAATACAACCCTTACCGAAACTCTATCTTTACATTCTCAACTATTAAACAAATAGTGCCGTTCATTTCTATGATATTTAGTCGTTCGACAGTTCAGATCATAATAATAAAATTTCTACAGGAGAGCTGTTTTTGAGGAAATATGACGGTAATGTTAGATTGCATATTGTCTTCAATGTGTATCCGTTTCCGGATTTTCTCCTTTAGCCCTTTTTTCATCGTTTCTAATGCTTGCCATCGATGCGTATTAGTGTCAAGAGAAACTGACGGTGATAGAACAAAGAACCCAGCGAAAAATAATCATAGAAAAAAACGGCGTAGAACGCGTTCCAATTTCAGAGAAAACTTTTTTAAGAAAAAAACAATTTTTCATCCTTTCAAAATCCGTTCTATACCGTTCTCATTTCGAAATGTTGGATAACGAATCTCACCATCTAACGGAATCTTTCTCAGCCAATTCTCTAAAAAGGTATTTTCTCCAGAATTGCCCAACTACTTGGAATTCTTCTTCTTTTTTTCTGTTTCAAATATGTTATACATCTTATTATTCTATTTGACTTGCGTAGGCTTTTTGATTCGTTAGTTGGTTTTTACTTGTCGCTACTTCGGGCTAGGTTTGCATTGACCTATCTATACTTTTGTGTTATTAAACTATCTTTTTTGGCAGTTAGTGTGGTGAAAATGCCACTGGGGTTGAACAAAATATTAGAATCAACACGTAAATTTTCATTTTAAAAGTCCATTTCCCTTCATATTTAATAGAAAAAAAGATAAAAACTTTATTTTTAGTCTATTGCTTTAAAAATTAAAATAAACAGTCACTATATAAGAAAATATTTATCTAGATATCTAAAAGCCATTTATGATTACATATTAATATGAAAAAAATCTTCTGTACGGATTAATATGTATTCCTATTAAGTATGAATATATATATATATTTAAAATTTAAATCTAATATTCAAATAAAAAACTAGACAGGGTCGACTAACATTAATGAGACGATTTTTTCAAAATTTATTCTGAACAGAAATTATAAAATTCCTTTTTCATATCAATCATACAAGAGACATTCCTGCGCTTTTAAAAATAACTATTGTATCCAAAAACTAATATTATGCTAGGCATCTGCTAACACCACCTAAAAAAATGGGGCATAAGTGAGCGATTATATTATCCATGTGTGTACAATAAAAGAAAGGGTAATTTTACTGAACCCTCCAAAAACGCTTCGTAGGTGTCTAGAAGCGTCTAAATGCATTCAAAGGCTCGAAAAAGAGATTGCTAAAATCTACGAAACCTTAAAAGGATATGATCGCGGGCACACGATCCAAGCCATCTCCTACGAAACCTTTTTTAAGTTCCATACAGCAAAAAAAGGTTTCGCATTTTCTTACACAACCTTTTTGGTTTCGCACTATGGTATTATACGAAACCAACAGGTTCACTAGGAAACTATACTCAGGCCAATGATTCTGGAGGACAGATAATGTAGGAGCCGGCCGGAAAGATGCGGAAAAATCACCGTATCCGGCCGGAAAGCGCTAGAAAGTCGAAGCAATATTCAGGTCGGGAGTTGCTGAATTTTTTTCCGGCCTATTCCGGTCAACTTCCAGCGGGAAATCACAGGAAACTGACCGGGATCCACAGAAAAATAATCCGGCTATTTCCGACCGGAATACTGCTTCCACTTTCCAGCGCTTTCCCGTGCTTTCCGGTCGTTTCCCACTGTATCTCCACGACCTGGGTAAAGGTTTCGTAAGAAAATACGAAACCGTTTTTTGCTGTACGGAACTTAAAACAGGTTTCGTAGGATATGGCTTCGAGCGTGTACCCGCAATCAAATCCTGTTAAGGTTTCGCAGATTTTAACAATTGTTTTTTCAAGCCTTTGAACGTATTTGGAAGCTTTTAGCCACCTACGAAACTTTTCTGAGGAATTCGGTAAAATTAGCTTTTTTTAGAGTGTACTATTGGTTTTCCCTAGAAATCACTGACTATATCATTACCGATTTTCATGGCCGTACATTAGTTATAGAGACGAGTTTTCCGCGAATTTCTGCCCAAGGAACTTGAAAAAATATAAAACCGCTCTTGAGACATTCAAATTGTTCTAAGGCGATTTTGGCGAAAAAATCACTTTTCTTCGATTTTTTTTGACACCGATATCTCATGAAAGATACATCTATTTTAGTTCAAATTTTCATTGTGAGCCTATTTGAAGTTTATAGGTATTTCCGAAAAGAAATGAACTCAAATATATCAAAGATTTATGATTCAACTTCAGCAGCCAAACCGCTGAAAAATATAGGAATTTTTCGTGTTTTGCGCATTTACATATCAACTAAACAGATCGCAGTTCAGATCTCGAATTAATATCGCAAAGGAATTTTTTATTAAAGGCAACTAGGTTTCTTGAAAATTTTATTCCTGTTGAAATGTTCCTTGGAAGAATTAACGTTTTCATGTTTTTGGAAGCATAATTTCTTATGCAACGAACGATATTTAGTTGTGAATTTTGTATGTATTATCATCAACTTTGGAGGTACTATCCAGTTGTAAAATTTTGAGAGACTTCAAATGAAAACTGTCTGATTAGTAAGGTAGTTTCATGGTGAATTTTGAAGTTCTGGTGAAGGTTTTGGCTACTGATTGAGTACAGAGAGGGTTCAGACAACAGAAAAACGATAATTTTCATGATGTCCTAGCTAGAGACTACGAAACATACGTACTTAATTTCATGATGAATGCGTTTGAATAAAGCATGAAAATCAAGAAAAAAATCACGGAAAAAATGGTAGATTCATAAAAGTGTCCGATCGTTGCTGAAATATCATTTTTTTCGTAGTTTGGTTTGAATTCACCATGCATATTTGTTTTTCTCTTCACAAAAGTTCTCTATTTCTTCAGTAGGCAGCTCAAAAAATTGACGAAAACTTCAAAACCGAAGATAAAAAACCCGCCTACTTAGCAGACACCTTTGATTTCAAATCTTTCATAGCCATATAACTGGATAGTACCTACAAAGTTGATGATAATACATACAAAACTTTCAACTAAATCTTGCTCCTTCTGGAAGAAATTGAGCATAGAAAATCACGGAAAATTTGATTTCTACAGGAAAATTTTCAGTACGAATAAAACTATCGAGAAAACTATTTTCGCTTAATAAAGAAACTTCTTTGTGATATTAATTCGACATCTGAATTGTGATATGTTTAGTCGATATATAAATTTTGAGTTCATTTCTTTTAGGAAATAGCTATAAACTTTGAAAAGGCTCACAGTGAAAATTTAAACCAAAATAGGCGTATCTTTCATGAGATATCTGTGTCAAAAAAATCGAAAAAACGTGATTTTTTCGCCAGATTGACCTTAAAAACAACTTTAATGTCTCAAGAACGGTATTATATATTTTCAAGTTTCTTGGACAGAAATTCGCGGAAAACTTGTCTCTATAACTAATGTACGGTCATGACAATCAGTAATCACATAGTCAGTGATTTCTAGGGGAAACCAATGGTAACTTTCATCGAATGCCTCATAAACCCCTATACGAAAATGATCTACTGTGCAGGCCATTTATGGAGATCCCACGCTGATTTTTTTTTATAGAATTGTAGAGCAGAGATATGGCTACCAACTTGTAACAAGCAGCTTCTCAAGTGACTCATATTTTGGCAGAAAACTCATCCTAAAAACACGTGTTTCGGCAAAACCCCATTATTCAGGAGCCTATTGTGCCTAAACGAAATAAGATAGATGACTAAAATTTTCAGGAAACATAGATCTATATGAGTGTTCAATCTGCCGTGAAAGTTTCATGCATCCATCTTATTTTAATCAAATGTTATATAGAAGGAAAGTTACCGAAAACACTCATTTTCGTCTATATCAAAGGGTTCATGAAATTTCAACAATTCCATATTTCGAGACAAAAATTCTATGGTAAGTAGAACTCATTACGTTATATGCCTGTACAAAATTGCAGCTCGTTCTATAGAGCCAACTTCGAGATATAGCCACATGAAGTCAAGCTCAATGAAAATGGTCATTTTTGGGCCTTTTCGTAAAATGATCATAAAAAATCGAGCGTTCAATATTTTTCAAAACGGCTTTCGTGAAAATTCTCAGAACTCTTCCTGCTACAACATATATCAAATTGAGAAAAATTGAATAACATCATTTGAGCAGATTCGGGCGTCGCTTACGTGGACTGGCTCATATACATTTACCATTATCATGAATTTTTCTAGTCTCTAATATATGTAAACATAGCTAGGCATTACATGTGAGAGAAGGAAAGCAACGAGAGGGAGAGTATCAAGATGAAGATAGATGACGAAGAAAATATGTGATCTATTACTACGATCACATATCATGGCAAACAGCTATAATTAAAATTTTATTTTAATAATATTTAGTTGGATAATGATTAAATATCAGGAAAATGCAGAATACTATTTTTTTTATCAGAACATATAGTGTGCATGTTGCATATAGCGATATAGCTTTTTTTTTGTAAGAAATGAAAATATCTGCGCTCATTTATAATTAAAATATTTCAAAACTATGATTATGCATCAAGAAACTTATGGTTTACGGACTCATTTAATTTGATAGATTTGTTTAGTCTCAGAAAGAGAATATTAAAGAATTTTGCTATAAATTCATAACGAGTAATAAATATTTTATGAAAAACAAGATTGTTAATACTCGAAAAATCTGTAATTCTCTCTGGAAAAGCATCTTTAACTGTAAAGCTATCCTGTGAAAAAACTTCGTGTTAACTTATTCTATTGTAACAATGCCTGCACGGAAAATAAACATTAATATTTTCCCTAGTGATTATCAGAAATAGTTAAATATGTCTATACGTATACAACTTTATTTTGGTTTTTATTCATGCATTTCTTATATATCATTGCTTCACTATTATTTTGATCAAGTTTACATGCTAAGTTGAACTGATAGCACTACAAATTAAATTATTAACACTTATATTATGCTATGCATTTGATGATTAACATTTAAGATACTTTATCAAGTATTTTAGATTCTTTATTGAAATTTAATGTATATGTTACAGGGGAGATTGAAATGCAGGGCTATTTAAAATAGCCCTTAGGGGAAATTGAAATTTTAATCTCCCCTAGGGCAAATTAAAATTTTGTTTTTTCCGGGCTCAATTTATGAGAAAAAGTAAAGGTTTTGATTTCAAAACGTACTGCATTCATATCCACACTAATACTAGCACCCATACACGCACCTACACCCACACCCTCATGTACACGCTACATCCATACCCACAAATAAAATAAGTGTCTTTTGCGCGAATTCAGGTATTTGGAAAAGACTGATGTGATGGAACTTGATAATTAGATGCCAATGTTGATGCGGGTGCGAATGTAGTACGTTTCGAAATCAAAATCTTTACTTTTTCTCATAAATTGAACCCGGAAAAAACAAAATTTTAATTTGCCCTAGGGGAGATTAAAATTTCAATTTCCCCTAAGGGCTATTTTAAATAGCCCTGCATTTCAATTTCCCCTGTAACATATACAATACAATAATTATACAGAGATCATAAATTCTAATAAAAACCAATCGTATTTCACAGTATACATTATTGATAAGAAATAAGGCTACTTTGTTCTCTTTGTTTAAGCAAAATATTATATTAGTTTATTATATCAGATAATGAATTGAAAGAAGAATTAATACTAAACGAACTATCTACTGTATAGTATGATTTGTTGGTTTTCGAGTACGACAATATCGAACAATACATAATACAGTACCAAGCACAACGAATAAACCCGAAAGACTAACAGTACCAATCCATATATATCGTGATGTATATCCACCACAACGAGCTTTACGAATAGAACATGATTTTGTTGATTGAGGTGATTCAAGTGTTAACATATAATCCCATGCATCATTAATAGTTTCAATACTAAGATCAACATCGCAATTTTGACAATTGATTGTTTCATTTAAATAATGTTTTTCTGACTCGACATCAGTATTGTAACTAAAATAGGTAGCTAGTGGACTTTGACATTCATTTGATATTGAAATATTAAAATGAATATAATCATCTGTACAAGTTGAACCAATGATGCATACGCGACAATTATCACATTGACTGTAAACAATACAACATGCAAATAGTAAAAGAACTTTTATCATCGCTATGAAAAAATAATACAAATGTATCGTGACTTAGAGTATTTAGAAAGTTGTTTTGTTTTTTTGCTTCTTATCTTAACATGACAAAAACATATTTTGTGTCCTAGGCTATTTTGTATGCATAGTTTATTAAACAGCCATTGTATGATTATCACCATTATTATGATGATTCAAGTAGTAAAGATTTTAAATTGAATAGTTCCCAGCAAGACAATCAATCGATACAAACTTACATCTTGTTTGACCGTTTCATTTTCACATTTTTTTACCAGAAAGAAAATATTTTTATCAGATAAGACTACCTAAGTACTTCCAATGAAGTATCGCACGAGATATGCAAAACGAAAATATGCGCATTTAAAAGCAAGGAGGAAAAAGTGCATTCCGAGCTATTCAAATGACTAGGAATGGGTTGGAATGGCTTTCAATTAATCGCTCTGAATTAGTGTCTTGAAGTAGTTCAAACTATGCAAAAATTTTAAAATCCACTAGACACATGATTATCACTATTGTCGAAATGCTCTGACTAAAGGAAGCCTGTTGAAAATAGTATAACCGTTTCCAATATGTATCTGACTTTATTCGTCGTCATCACATTATGTTGTTACTCACACACATGAACATTTGTCATATTCATAATTACAAGTAATTACTAACAACGAGAACCATCATTATGTTGATAGCATAATATTTTAATAGAATCAATTCACGATGGAGCCTCCCAAACTGACCCCCACAGATTGCAATGGATTTTTGTTCATGGATACTGTACGATGTTCTCCAGTGAAAATATTGCACTATTTTCAGTGCGTAGTGCTTTCTTCAAAAGGTATACGCATTTTTCAAATTTTTTCCTTTTCTTTGAGTTATCAGAAAGTGAAATAAATAAATTTTGATTTGAAAATTTGCTATCAAATAGACAGACTAAGCACTAAAACATTATGAAACTTTTAGCAATAGTATATGTTCTTTTAAATATATTCCTTCAAAAAACGTTCGATTGTCTAGTGTTTTTGAAAAAAGAGCCTATTCTTAAAAAAGTGAGTATATTTCGAAGAACATATTTCTTATTGCTAAAATTTTCATGGTGTCTTAGTGTTCAGTCGACCTATGTATTGAAAACATCTCTGAGCAAAATCTGATTATTTCACTTTCTGGTAGCTCAAAAAAACAGAAAATCTGCAAAATGAGCATAACTTTTCAATAAAGTGTTATCCATTCAAAGTCTTTTGGTATTTTTACTATAACATCGCGCAGTATCATGGACGAAAGTTCATTGGAATCCGTGGAGTTCACCTTGGAAAGCTCACTAGTCAGTACTTTCACAAATATGTACTTTTTCGATTTAATATGCATACATAGATATATTAGTTATTGTAAAGAGCAAAATGAACAAAGTGCCTAAAAAAATTGATTCCAAGCATAAAGGAAAACAGATAGTAAAGAATGCGACTGGTTGCTCAGCTAGGTGACTATTAAAATAATACTACTAAATGTATCTTTTTTTTCCGAATTAATTGAATACTATTGAAATTAAATTGAATGAAAAAATATTCATGTGACCAGTCTGTTTTATATGATTTTTCTCATCCTAGAAAGTTACTTCAATATTATAGAAAAATACTCATTCAGTAAGTACAAATGGGGATGATTTAGAATAATTCGGAATCACGGATATCGCAGGCTTTCAAGGTTACATGAGAACAAGACTTTCAATGACTTAGGCGATTGATCAGAAGATTCTTACAAAAATTAGTCAGAGTTAAGGAGAGTCCCTAATTTTTTGAAAATTTGATCATCAAAACGACACAATCACTTTGTTCAAGAAAAACAAAATGTTTTTCGGGACCTAGGAATAAAATCCCTTCTGTACGTTTAGAAAAGGGTTGCGACCTCTTCCGCTTTTTCACTTTTTTCCGCTTTTTTGTATAAAATATGTAGCATATCAAACATACGTACAGAATAATATTTTGATATTATTGAATCAATTCTTATTATTTACAAATACCGTGAGTCATCATTTTTTATGTTTTGAAACTTTGATGAAATAAAAAGGAATACAATAAATATGAAAAAATACCTAATATTCTTAGAAGCATTATAAATCTGCAACAATATAAGCTTCCACTTTTTTTTCGCTTTTTCTGTTTTTCTTTCCGCTATTTTTCGCTTTTTATACTTCGTTTGGTGGCAACCCTGGTTTAGAATAAAGGTACTCCACATCTCAAATGAATGTTTTCCATTTCATCCATATTTTTTATGTGCTTGAATTCGGATAATGCGTAGTTTTCAATCAATGAAAATCTATTGATTTTCAATGATTAATACTACTACTTGTGAATATGCGTTAACTAAGTTTAACATTATGTAAATCGGCTTCAATGAAAAACTGTAACCTTTAGAAAATGGCATGGTTCTGAAGGCAGATATAGTAATTTATGAAAATAACACTACATGAGAGTAGGGGTGAATCATTTACATTAATTTAAAATTAAGTTCAATATCATCAATTAACAACAAATTACAAGTATGAAGTGTTAAGAAGAAAAAACATCTTAAGTTTCATGTGAACTGAAATTACTTCAAAGTCTCATTAAGAAAAATTGTGCATCCCTATTTGAGAAAATTTTAGAATAACTAGGAATATATTGGAATGGTTGAGAATGGCTGGTGATGGCTAGGAATGGCAGGGAATGCCCGAATGAGCTTTTCCCCCTGGTTTGAAAGCGTTTAGAAGGTGTCATTATATAATCTCGTTGGAATTAGAATAGTATTTTAAACGTTGATATAATAGTAAATTATCTATTGAATTAATTATCTGAAGAAATACCTTTACCATAACATCTGCGTATTGATAGATTGATTCAAGTTGTTTTGGTTTTGGTAGATTTAATGATAATATGTAAAGATAACTATTTTGAATATCGAATGATTGATCTGATTGAAATAATCAGTAAATTGTTTGCTTTTTTCACTATTGACACGAATATTTAAATCAGAAAGAATGCTCATTTGAACATTGAATAATCTTAGTCGATCATAGCGCTGGAATATATTAATTAATTCTTGTCCAGAATAAGATCGACAAGAAAAAATATGTATTGAATGTATCATCTTACCTAGAAAGTACAGTTTACATCAAACTAATCAATACAAAGATTGAGTTTATTTAGAAAATTCGTCCGGAAACTGATATCAATGCATATACCTACTTAGTTAATTGGCCATGAGTGATGCATAGCAGATTATTTCATAGTAAGAATAGATAGGTAAGTCACTTAGAAATGTCATTAATTATCGTACGTTCATTGATGTTCCAATTTTTTTAGAACAACAAATATTACTTTATCTATGACCAATTCAATAATAGTAATAAACCAGTAGTCAAAAAATATAAATTACTGAAAGTTAATTTAACTTGACAAATTTGCAAAAAATATCTATTTTAGTATTTGAATGATTGAATATCTTCAATCTAATGAGAAAAGGACGCATCTCGATTACCTCGATATACGTGAATCACCATTACTCTCCTATTCATTGGTTTGTAAATGTTTAAGTTTGACTGACTATCTCCTCTGTTTGTTGCTTGAACGTCGCGTATGAATTTTTTCTTTTTACTTGTAAACACACATGAGACAAAAAAAACCCATAGAACTCTTCTGGTCTACATTTGTTAGGTTTACGTACACATTTGATGGTTAAACTTTATTGAATTCTCATATCAGACAATTTTTAAGTTCTTCTGTGATTTGTTTTTTCTGAATTCAGTTGATATTTGAACATTCCCAATATTTATTTATTTTCTGCTTTATATATAATTTCATGGGAAGAAAATTTTATTTTTTTTTAATAAATATCCACAATTAAAACAACAAATCATACAATGAAATACATGCAATTTCTATACAACAAAAAACATCTGCGAGTATAACTATGTAGTTGAATAGAAAATGACTAATGCGTTGCAGTAAACTACGAAGACAACCGCTCGATTAAAAAGGATATGAAAATAAGAAGACGAAAGAAAATTCCTGATGAGAAAAAATGTCTCATACAGAAGAAGAAACTATTTTCGTGGAGACCAACTGACAAGATATATAGATTAGTTTATCGCTAAATAATAAATGCATATACGATATTCGTTGAATTCAACTTTTAAAGTGCAAAGCAACCAAAAAAAATTGAATGAAAATCATTATGGAAACGGTGGATATGAGCGTAAGATTGATCCATCAGAAGTTGATATTGAACTAGCTCCAGAAAAATTAGCGTAACCAAAATTCTATTCAAAAATATACTTGAAATTTTGTATTGATTCATAAATTGAATGACTTACCGAGATGTTCCATGTTGGTGCAAAAAGTTGTGGACCAGTATTTGTAAGAACTTGAGAGAGAAGTTCCAGACTAAGGTCATGACTGAGAGGTAACTGTTCATTTTTATTCACTATATATGGATGCATTGGTTGATAGGAAAACGATGAAGGAACAATTAAGTTATTAGAAATAAATTCCATGTCAGAAGGAATGGTTTTACTTAATATAGTTTGATTTTCATGAATAGGTGATTTACTTCTGTTATGTACTTTTTGATTATTTATTGGAGGACTTGATGACTCATTTAATGTATTATTGATAGCTAGAGTTTCTGAAAGTTTTCGACGTAAATTAACATTGATGACGCGAAGAGAGTCTCGACGATGCTTAAGTTCATCAAATTGCTTCTTTAAAGAAGCATTTTCTGATTTAAATTGATATAAACACGATAGCAATGATGAAACATCTTGTGGCATGTTTTGTTGAAGAAGAAAATCACTTGTTGATTCCCATTCTTGTTCAAGAAATTCCTCTAGTGTTTGAGGTGGAAACGTTGGTTCGATTGGTTTTGATGTTATTGAAGAGTTAATTAATGATGAGCCAGAGTTAACATTAGTATTGGTTTGATCATTCTTTGTTTGATGTTCCACAGTTTTCCGATGTTGTTCTACAGGTATTGAATGATTGGTGGTTTTCTTCGATTGAGATAAATGAGGTTTTTTTGATGGAGGGCGACCAACTGGTCTTGGGCCGTCTTCGCTTGAATTATGACGTTTTCTATTTAGTTGTGTGTCTTTATTAAGATTGATGTTTTCGATTATTTGATAATCAATTTCATTTGCTTCAATTCTAAACACAAGATTTACATTTATTTTATTCAGATTAAAAAAAAATGTTTGATTTTACTTGATTTTTGGAGTAAACGTTTCTTTCGTTGAAGAAATGTTATTATCTTTAGACGTATTACTTGTGTATATAGATAATGTTAATGATTGTTGACCATTATGGACATTCGATAGTATGGAATTAACAGTTGCTGAGTCTTTCCTAAATAATTAAAAGACTATATTATAGAAACATGATGAATTAATTATTTAATAAATATATGAAAGAAAAACTTGTTCTTCTCAAAATATCTATTAGATAGTTCGATAGATTGAATTTTATTCTAATTAATTTGAATTCATGTTATTGAGAATGTCTTGCTTTCTAGATGAAAAATCGAATAACAAAAAAAAAATAATAGTGTATCGACATCTTTTCTTCTGAGAGTAGTCAATAAATAACTAAAACTTTGTATACTTCAAATGTTAGTTTAGACAGAAACTCTCAGTTATTCGTAAGAGAAACTTGGAGTCTTCAATCGAACGGGTTCACAGTTCGTTAATCAATTGTATACAATTTAATGTCTCAATTAAATCTATATTAAAAGAAAAACCCTGTAGTTTCTCTTGAATATCACTTGCTATTTCTTAAGTTAACCTTGGACGACTCCAATACTCGGCACGAAAAGAAAATCTATCTATTAGAATAACATTGCGTGGTGCTAAAAGCAAATAATGTTCAATTATGCACCTGGTATATATTATCGATTGGTTTTGACTTGTTGGCAAACGAGAAATGTGTCCTTGCCGATGTAATTCAACAACGGGTGAAGTAGTATGTTGTAAATTAACTTGTAATGAACTTTGACTAGTTTCGTTCTTCGATTTGCGATATCTCTCTGATGATGATGATGATGATAATGATCCATTAGTTCGAGTATGTGTATTACTAGCACAATCAGATGATTTAAATGGAGTTTCTTTTTGTTTTGATTTCTAGATAAACAAATATCAACAAAAAGAACTAAAAAAAAACAAATTCATTTACTTGATTTTTTTCAGAAGAATAATATTGAAATGAAGGTATTTGCCGGATAAATTTCTGAAAAATTAAAAACACATTATTTATTTATCACATAGCCATATATTTATCACTTCTCTTACAGAAAATCTCGGCTGATGAGACTCACAATAAATTGGATATTGACAATTATTTTTTCTTATATCTTCATATAATAATCCAGCTTGTTGAGCACATGTGACATGAAATAATTGTGAACAATTTTTAACTGTACATTCACAACATGCACCTTTGCTTGCATCAGATTCTGAACGTCCATTTTTAATACAAATTGAACATGTTTGCCCAAAACGTATTGATGGAATTTTAGAAAGTATAATTGGCTCCATAGTTTTATCATTGCCAAATGATACTTCAGGTATATAGAGTGCACATATAACATGAGCCCAATTTCCATCGGATGTTCGTTTCATGGCACCTTCTATCAATGGACATAAACGACATGGCTTAAAAAGCAAAATAAAATAAAATTTCATTAAGAATAAATAAATAAATAAAATTTTCGTACTGCGTGAAATTCTCCCAGTTCACATCGACGACAATACCAATTATCATCAGGTATCGATACTATACCATAGCACGCTATTGAATAAATATAGAGATTATTTCCTATAAATAATGTTTTCTTCTTCTTCTTATCTTACCTGTGTGACAAGCAACTGTACAGTCTTTTCCATCGCAGTAAACAAGAGCATTATTTGAAAAACCTTGATCATCCGAACAAACACAACAACCACCAACTAAGTCTTCATGATTTGTCATAGTTTCAGTTTGATTATATTCATATTTACAATTAAGATTATTTCCCGTGTCATTATCATCGCTATCAATTGACAATACTGTTTTAAAATCTTTAGTCAAATAGTAAGGGTATGATTAGTAGGCTGGTGAACAATGACTAAGCACTCGTTTCTAAAACTTGGATAATTCAACACACTTATGCATTGTGTAATACACACGCTTTCTGCATATTAAATCTAATTTAAATATAATGCATTTTCAATTTTATGATGTGAAAAAATACATATATTGAGTGAATCTTTTTTTTGTTTAAAAGACTCGTCATGGTTGACGTTACGCCATTCCCAACGTGTTGTGAAGAAGAATAAACTATCAGAAAGAATATCAATGTTTGTGACAGTTTCGTTCTTTTTCACATCGTTGAATTTTTTCGAGAGTTTAATATAAATCTCTATACAAATATAATCTTCGATTTAATTTTTATATTATTAGTTTCCAAACAATTATATTTTGACTATTCTCTTATCGCCAAAAAAAAACGGTTTACCAACGAGAGATGTATTCACCAAAAAGATGTTCTGATCTACAATTTTTGTGAGATTGAACATCAGGGTTCGTTTCTATAACTTTGCGTGAAATTATAACGCTGTGAAACGAGAGATGAATAGAAATAAATTAGATCCAGTTTTAAATGAAACACAAATGAAAACCGTTATTGATTATCATTTTTTTAAAATTACGTATAAATTGCAAAAGAAAGAAGACTGGTTGGTAAAAAGGAAATTACAGCTGTACCATCAGCAACAAAATCAGAGTACTTATCAAATATCATGATTTATTTCAAGATAGAATAAACCACAAGGAATAACCTGCATAAATAATAAATAGTCATTCTATGTATCGCTACCATGCTAATCCAGTAGAATAATTCCGATCGTAGGATCCTATCGGTATCCGGGTGTGGAACCGACAATCGGAACCCCAGTGTCGGACTCGGTAGTAGGTACGTGATCAGGAATCTGATCGGATTTTGTCGGCGTGTCGGATCCCATGAGATCCGATAGGATTCACTGTCGGATTCATTCACCTGGGAAGCCTTCTCAGTGACTGATACAAAATTAGCGATATCTATATTATTTTTTATCATTTCACTCACAATCCTTTTGCACCTTTCTTAGTTGGTGTTTTTTAGCTAGAAATAAATTAGAATCTTAATTCCTAGTGCATGTGTATGTGCGAAGTATAGCTGAGAAACAAATCTCTGATACTAAGCCAATCGATTACACCAGACCACGGATCAGTAGAAACAAGAAGAAAAACACTTCGAACGAGACACTCAGCTGCTTTTTTTCATGACTGCTTATTCTAGAGGACGAACAATATTTTACTATTGGTTAACTAACTAAGACATGGTAAACCATGGTCGTACGATAATGTGGAGACCATCTATCAATATTATGTTTTATTTCTTGTTTTGAGTTATCTAGATGGGCATATATTACAGTTTAACATCAATATTTTCCTCAACAGCAGAAACAAATCATATTAATGTACAGTCAAATTCTAAAACGAAGAAACGACGACGACGCCGTCATAAACAGAACCATTTATTAAATCGATTTTTTTTGGGTTCAAAGCATTTTTTTATAAATACACAACCACATACATGTCTTTTCAATGATTATTACTATTTCAATTCAAGAAAATATGAGTTAAATCCGGTACATCTACAAGTTTCATTACCTGAAACGAATCAATCATCGATTATACGACCAGTACAATGTACTATAGCCATAAGAAGAGATTCACTTAAATTAGTTCATTGTTACGATGATTACTATTCAATCGACTTTATTTTCGATGTTGATCGCCCTGTACAAATCTTCAGTATGTTCATCACTTCATTATTTATTTATTTATTTAATTCATTCCTTTTTTATTTTAAGTCTATTTCATGGCTCATGAAGTATATACAAATAATAATGCATCATTATCGTATGTTACTTGTAAAAAATCAAGTAATTTACATACATTTAAACAATATTATGTATTTGATCGACCTGCTGGACACGGGCAAATATTTTCATCAATACCAAATGACATTCGTTTACCTTTATCGGTACTAAATGAAAATCATCATAACTGTACAATAAAAACTCATGTATATCCAATAGTTATTGTTTGCCGTGAAATAAATTCTCGGCTAAATAAGTACGAAACAAATCTTTATATTGATTATAGAATTCATTATTTTATTTTCATAGAAGCCCATCAACAATTTGTGGTACAGCAATAAATGAGCATACAACTGCTACTTTAGCATCCTTTCCAACATTTGATCAATATCATATTGTATTAGCAACAATAAAACTTCGATTAAATGAACCGGTATCAGCAATTACTTCTGATCGTGTAACAATTGTTTTACTTAATCAACAACATATTTATAATGGTATTGTTTTTAAATTATTTGAAATCTATAGTATTGAAAATCATCCATCAAAATTAGCCAAAACTAATAATGATAAAAGAAAAGTTGCGCAAGGCGATCAACCATTAATTAAAGTTGTTCAAACATCAAAATTTCATGAAAATGAGCCATTTCTAGATCGGTAAAAATTCAAAAACAAAAGAATAATAATAATAATAATTTGAATTTATTTATTTTTCTGTAGAAAAAATGAAATCGATGTAATTAAAAAATCTTCATCGGATTTTGATTTAGTTTCAAATAATACACATGAAAGTACTTGTGTAATCTGTTTAACTGATACGCGTAATGTGCTGTTGCTTCCATGCCGACATTTATGTATATGCGGATCATGCGCGGAAAATTTGAAATTTCAATCAGCTAACTGTCCCATATGCCGTGTTCCTTTCCGTGCACTACTACAATTGAATGCATTGCGTCGTCGAAAACATTTTTTAATTAATCATCAATATAGCGATGATGAAGATGAATTAATGTATGAGAGTGTTTCTTTAATAGATGCACTCAATTTAGCGACATCGACAACGAAACAAAATCATAAAACTGACTGTAATATTAAACATAGCATAACAACTAATGATATCAAGTATTTTTGCAGTGAACATGCAGTTTAATTTCTGTGATATTCAGTATTTCATTGTTAGAAGTAGTTTTATTTTTTTAGAAATTGCATGTTGAGTTGGCTTTTTTTTTGTTTTTAATTTTTATGTAAAAGAAATTAAAATCTATTTATGAATATTAAAATTTACATCAAGAATATTTTGAAACTATCATTTGTCTTTTGTTTTTTTCTCTTGTTTTCTAGAAATAGTATTCCAATTAGGAAGCTTCAGCAGGAAATTTATTCCTCTTTGAGTATAGCTGGAAAATTTAGGAGTCTGTTAGAAAACAACATAGTCAGTATTGCCTTAGATTTATTGGCATGTTCTAGCTATGTTGGGTATGTTGAAAATCATTGTTTTTTTTTCTAATCTTTTAACTCATTTCTGATATGAGCTGTATTTTTTTCTCTCCAAAGCTTTATATTTTTTCTTAATTATAATGAATTATTTCCTCTTCTAGATACTAATCAAGCTAGTGAAAACTTTATCTTCAATTCAATGCAAATTTTTTAGATAAATTAGGATAAGTACATTTATTTCATATTTCATTTGGATGATAAAGCGAGAGATATTTTGATTCAAATAAAGAAGTTAGCATGGCTGAGGTGACAATACTTGATATCAAATCTGCTGATGTACAGATTAAAAGAAAAGAAAAAGATTTGTAAAATATGCTTTTGATCACTTTCTTCTATTCATTTCATAGTTTATCTAAAAACGACATTCAATAGATTCATAACCCCAAGGCCTATGAAATAATACAGAAATATACATCCATATTGCATTTTTTTTTCAAAATACTGTTGATCTATCCACAGTCCTCATAAAAATATCGACGACATGTCGCTAATAGATTCTCTTTTAAAGAATAGTCAATAGTATATTACACTAAAACGATGGTTAGATGAAAGGTATTATTTAAGTTTCGAACTGTAAGTGATTTTTTACTATGATCAACGATTACTATCGACATAGTATATATTGTACTAAATGGTCTATCGTTGTAATTATATTTCATTGATAGAAAAATCGAAATCAAATCGATTATGATTTTATTCTTGAAAAACAAGACGAAGAAAAGTCTTCATTTACATGATAGTTAATATTTATTTTATAACCAATTCAGCACATGATGATACAGATAAGTTATCGACATAATCTTAGATAATACATAAATAGAAAAACTATTTTTAATCACACGATTTGCAAACAATATCTATCTAATTTGTTGTCTATTATTTGTCATGGTTTAAAATAATGAACAAGTATGACTTCATTCATCATTTGTGCATGATCGGATTTCTCATGCAAATAATCCCACGTGTTGTTGTCAGAATGATTAAGAGACTTCTTTCAAAATCTTTATATATTTCGACTTACGGATATGCTTATATGTATATACGTATATATATAAAGTAGTCAGATTACTAAATTTAAATTATTTTGATAAAATCGATGCGAGAAATGAATCATTATGAAAATAATTATTCCATTCTCGATGTATGACTTTGTCAAAAAACAGAGCTAAAATAAAATATCACGTTCTTTCATTTCATATATAGGTGTAGCTGAGCTACAATTTCGTCATCTGTCATGATTTGATTAATCAAAGTAAGTCTATCACATCTGTTGTTACAAGATCAAATTTAACAATCATATGATGATGTATATTATCATCGCTGATTAGATAGAATAGAAAAGTAGTAGCTAGTAATGATCCTATATTAAGTTGTTCGATGATATTTACGAGGGTACTATCATCTAATTAACTCATCTCCTAATGTGTGTTTATGTTCGCCTGCCGTTTGCTCTTACAGTTTCATTATTTAATGACTATCTACTTAGATCATTAGCAGATATTTTCTCAAGAACTCTATTCATTGTTGATGGTAAAATACAACGAGACTTATTAACTTAGAAATAGATAACCAAGAAAGAACATCAAGGCATTAATATCAGGAATATTCTATGATAACACAACTGGCATTTCCTTTTTGGAACAAAATGAATGCGTTCGAATAAGCTTATTTTTTTTCTACGATTACATTCAGTCTGTTTTTTTATGGGGGTTTCATCATTGACAGAGTCTGCTGTGCAATAAAAGAAAATGCATTTTTCCAGATTGACTTCTGTCCGATTAATGAGTCTCATTTGACGACGACGACGACGAACGAGGACACCAAGACACTTTTTAAAGTCTGCAATCATTGTCACGATCAGTAATTAGATTTGATGCGTTCTGCTTCAATACATTCACATGATAGTTGATGTATTATTATTGTTATTATTTTTTCTTGCATCCATTAGCTCAGGTATGTCCATAAATAAATGAGAAGAAAAAATGTTAGTATGATGATGTAAATTAATCATCAGTCACATCAACTATACGACAATCGTCTGTTATTTTTTCACAGATTGAATAAATACACCAAATAATCAAACATTTACACAGACAAAAAAAAGACTTGTTTTACTCTATGATTATGCTAAATCTTTTTTTAATATTATTATATGATTAAGAGAACAAACGAATTGGGCGACACGCAAATTGTGTGCAACAGCAGAAAAAAAATGGATTCCATTTGCATTTCTTGCTCTCTTAACAGTTTGTTATTATGTACCTTTGCGTTCGTCGACGCAGCAATATATCATTCTCGTCTTTGCTTTTACATATTGAGTTGTCTGGTTGAGATGTAACGCATATGTCTATAAAGAAGAAAAAAGAAAGCATGAATATTATGGCGATATATTTATATATATATATATATATATTGTTGTTGTATGTTCGTTGTAATGGTATGCATAGTAAAAGAAAAGCACGAAACTTGACATTTCATCGAATTTGATATGATCAAGGCTAAGAACCTGTTCAAATTTACGCAAGAAAAAAAAGTTTTTGATGTTAAAAAATATTTCAATTTTTTCTGTTATTTTTAAGAAAAAAAATAACAAACACCTACGTTTTGCGAATATGTTGGTTTCGTTTTCTTCCTTTTTTCTCTTGAAGCAATAGTTTTCTATTTTTAGATTTTTATTTTGTTTTTACTTCGTCGTTCTGTCCTTCCTATCCCTTCACTCGCTCATATCAAAATATGACAAATAAACGATAGTAACATTGATGGTTTGTACATAGTCACATCGTTGTGTGTGTGTAAGTGAGTATGAATAATCTTGACAATATTGATTTATATTTATATTGATGCAGAACACACGTGTTTAAAAGAAAGAAAGAAAAAGTTATGGAGGTTAGTTCGACAATAGCAAAAACATTTAAACGATTTACAATACCCCGAAGTACTTCATCCATCGGCTCGTTTACAACATCAAACGGTACTGCCGCTAGTAGAGAACAGAATTCAGTAGAATCAACACCACAATCTTCACATCATAAACATCCACCATTATCCTATGCTCAACATTGTCGACCGATTCAACAACATCATTCACAAGAGAATTTAAACGCATCAACTGTACAAAAAACAAATAGAAGTTTTTCTACTCGACCCGTAAGTGGAGATATTTCAACATATATGATTCGTTCAGCATCAACGGAATTTAATTCATCCACGAATGAAAATACAACGAAAAAAAGCAAAGTAATTTTGAATATTTTCTCAGAATTATTCTTTATTTAATAGAATACCATTATTGTTTTAGATGAGTTTTACTAATAAAAAATCTTCAAATATACGTGATATTAATTTTAATCATATAAAAGAATCTTCTTTGGATGATGATGATGATAATAATAATAATAATAATAATAATACCGAAAACAATGATAATACAATAAAAACACATGAAAAACAACGCTCATCATTTAAATCTTTATTAACAAAAAAATTTCAACCATTAACTGTTTCATCATCTGTCAACATAACAGCTAAACAGAAAAAACCACGTAATTCATTTCGTCAATTCTCTCAATTTCTTAAACGAAGTCATAGTACGAATACAGATCTATCAGTAATAGCTAAATCTAATAATCAACAAAGTTCACATAATGTTAATCTTGTTCATCAACATGTACAACCTGAATTTTCCGATGAATTCAATTCAACACATTTAACACGTTCAAATACAACTGTTATTTGTAATGCGAATAGTGCAACATTAGTACCGATATCTGAAGAAGAAAATTGTCTACCAATAAAACAACAACAACAACAACAACAACAAAATAGATTAAAATCATCAAACGATCATGTTGATCAAACCAATCCAAATCAAATGAATAATGGAATGACAACTCATCAACCTATAACAAAAACTATATCTAGCCTTAGTAAGAATTAATATTTCATAAAAATTATGTCATTACTTACAACTGTCTAAATCGATTCTATCATTCCCAGACTAGAACAGTTATCTGTCTATCATTCAACTGTCTTACTTTGCATACTGAAACACATACTAATTAATAGAGTTTCTTCTATCGGGAGACCCAAATGTCGACTGGTGAAACTCTATTTATACGGCAATAGTTGCGATCCAAACGTTAACTCTCTCAGTGCAATGTTATTTTCATAAATAAATAGAACTAAAATAGGTTTTGTTTTGCATCGACATATTCACTAAATTTGACGGATTGTATAACAAATAGATGAAATCTTTCAATCTCAGAAACATGTGATTTTGTTCTTATTACAAAGGTGCATCGTCATCATCATCGATTTCGGGTACTTCATCGACATCGAATAAATATCACAATTATAATAATCAATCTCAATTACAAGATGGTTCAATTAAACCAACAAAATCTTCTTCATCACCAGTGACATCAAACTCTGATAAAACCCTTTCTACTGTTATGAATAATAATCGTACTAATAAATCCTTTTTGACTAAAACAATAAGTATTCATGGAGATGTTAGTCATTTAATGAATAATCATCACTTATCAACATCGAATGCAAACACTAACAAAGGCATGTTACTTGCAAGAAAACCTTCTCCCAATTGTTTATTTATGTTTTGAATGTTTTAGAACGAACAGTCATTCATCAAACTATGTCATTAAGTGCAGACTGTGAAAATGCAAACAGCATGAATCAGCAAATGACAAAAGTTAAAATGCGTGACCATAGTGCAAAAAAGAAAAAAGGACTTCGTGAACTTAAATCACGTATATCATTACCACCTGAATTAAAAAATGGTTTATCACAGCGCACAAATAATAATAATAATAATGTTAGTTATCAAACAAACGACTCAAATAATATTAGATCAAAATTATCGCAACGTTCATCTTATTATCAAACAACGTCTGCATCAGTTCAAGCACTTGACGAGGCTTTAAATCAATCTAATATATCATCATCACATTTATCACCATATTTTAGTTCAAGTTCAGGTGGACAATTAAGTCGAAATGAACATCGACTTTCAATGCTTGATCTTGGCTTCGGAAAAATTGAGTCGTACGTCAAATTGGAAAAATTAGGAGAAGGTATAATAAATAACAAAAAATAAAAATTATTTTTGCTTATTATTCTTTGTTTTTTTAACAAAAAAAACAAAAGGTACTTATGCAACAGTTTATAAAGGAACGTCTACTTTACATACTGGTTTTATTGCATTGAAAGAAATTCGACTTGAACAAGAAGAAGGTATGATTAAATATTTAGTTTTATCAATTGACTAACTATTTCAAGGTTATATCATCATTAACAATAAAAGATGGCAAGGTCATTACCATATGTCATATGATCAAGAGAATTTAAAGTGTATCGGATGTGAATTAATTTAAATAATAAATAGATATACATATTCGATAATTGTACAGATTCTTTCTAGTAAATAATAGAAAAAGAAAATCAAAATCAAAGGCTTTCAGCAATAACAGCTAATTGTAATTGAAGATTTTTTTATTGACAAAATTCCTTTTATCAATTTTTTTTCTGATTTCTACAAAATATGTTATATCTAAATCAAATAATAAGATTAAAATTTAAAAAAAAAGCGGTTTCATAATTACTATAGTTAGAAAGTAATTAATTACTTTTAATTGATATTTTGACAACAAACTTTATGTCAAAATAAGCTTTCGTTGTAATTTAATAAGACTACATATAATATTATGACAACAATAGATTCATGATTAGTAACACGAGAATACAATAACATATTTTGATGACATAGATATTTTCGATTTAAAAGAGAAATGAATCATTTGTAAATATCATGATCTCAGTTGCAAATACTCAACAACTTTGATTTAAAAAAAATATATATATACATATATTTAATTAATGATATATAAACTTCATATGTTATATTATAGGTGCGCCATGCACAGCACTACGTGAAGTGAGCCTATTGAAAGGCCTCAAACATAATAATATTGTTAGTTTATATGATATTATATTTGATAAAACAACATTAACACTTGTATTTGAATATGTTGAAAAAGATTTAAAACAATATATGGATGATTGTGGAAATATACTGCGTATGAATAATGTTCACTTGTTTTTATTTCAACTTTTGCGTGGTCTCGAATATTGTCATGCTAGAAAAATTCTTCATCGTGATTTAAAGTAAGAATAAGTTATCGTTTGGCATTGATTTTCGCTTTATACTTTTATGAATTATTTATTTAGGCCACAAAATTTATTAATTAATGAACGTGGTGAATTAAAATTAGCTGATTTCGGTCTTGCTCGTATTAAATCATTTCCAACAAAAACATATTCCCATGAAGTTGTTACATTATGGTATAGGCCACCAGATGTTTTACTTGGTAGTACAGAATATTCTACACCCATTGATATATGGGCTGTTGGGTGTATTTTTTATGAGATGGCATGTGGTCGACCATTATTTGCCGGTACAAAAGTTGATGAAGAATTAAATTTAATATTTAAATATCTTGGGACACCAACTGAACAAACATTACCCGGTGTTACATCGAATCCTGATTTTCAAGCATTGAGACTACCTTTCTATCATGGTGAACCATTGAAACGTTTAGCAACACGACTTGATCAAACTGGTATTAATTTATTAGATAAATTCTTACGTTATAATCCAAATTGTCGAATATCTGCGCGAGATGCAATGATGGATGAACTGTTTTCAACTTATCCACCAGAAATACATACGTTAGACCCAATACGATCAATATTAGATTTAAATGGAATCGTTCTAATGAAAGACCATGGGTCAAAGTTTATTTCATCATCGCTTATGAAAACGGCTATTTCGAAACGATCGAGTGTTCATCTGTGATGCGTATTTTTTCTTTTAAAATCTTTTCTTGCTTGTTGAACCTCATTTATATATATATATCCACCATTTTGTATATTGTTCTACCATCTGAATCCATCGTTTTCTTTTTTCGATTTTGTTATTTCTTTACTTTCTTTTCGAGTCATTCGTATATAGGATCCTTTTGCGTATGAAATATTTATCTATATATGAACAATAATATTTCTCTTCGAATAACAGTACAATCTAAGAACGTACGAAACAATACAAATAACTATAAGCAAATAAATAAACTACGATTATGCTAGCAATACATATTAAACATTTGTTGTCTCATTTTTTTGTTGTCTCTAGTTATTCTAATAGCATATCGTTCATGTTATGGTAAAATTAATACTACTTTTATTGATGTTAATTATAGATATAAATGTGTTTGTGCGCGCGCAGATGTATTAATTTATGTTATTGAATAATTAGGCTTCGTTCGGAAAAGTTTTATACGTAAACGACACAATTTCTTGTACTTTTTAGCAATATACTACCATCGTCTTATGTTCATATTTAGAAACGAACAAAAACTCTTTTAGATTATTTCATAAATGGCACTTGAAAACCCACCGTCACTTCCCCATGTGCGTGTTTTTGCTTAATTGAATTAATAGTTAATTAAAAATATCTTTTTGAATTAGGCTCACCAACAAATTCGTTTAGGTGATATTCAAGCATCTACACATGAATGGGCACACGCCATTAAACATTATTTACATGCAATAGGTTCGCCGAACATCTTTTTTTCTTCTTTTCTACATTGGTTTTTGTTTTTTTAGAATATTTTAAAGCAATTCAGCTTAATCTAAATGATAATAATTTAGTATCAATTTTAGAAGCACAAATAGTACAATGTGAAAAAATAATTGATTTATGTCGTTTAAAAGATCGATCAGAACAGGTAAATATCTCAGAGAAACTCCACTAATGTATTATCCCCAAAGAAGGATTACAGCTATCGAATCTATTGAAATCGAATTACGAACGATGAAGATTTATTATTTCTTCACACCTATCACTAAATTTAGACGTTGATAGATGTAATTAGTTAACTTGAATGGCATTAAAATGAGCGAACGAAAAAATGTCGAACACAATAATAGCGAAAAATAAAAATGGCGATCGTATGAAAATGGCGAAGGGTATATTTTTCCATAAATGTCTTTTTGAATTTGAAAATTCAGTCAGTGATATTTTATTCCTCCGTTTTCTTGTGTTATCTATTTTCACTGGCTAGCGTTTTTCGTCAATAGTATTATCGTCTAATCTAGCTAACGGAGTAAACACAAAGTACACAAAAGATATAACGAAATAAAGATACGCCATACCTTATTTTTTTTCCATTGTTTATCACTTGTTGTTAATTTAGTATAAATTTCGATGACATCGAATACAAGCACTGTAGCTTTTACCATCTCTAATAAAGGCAATTCTCTGCTAATTTTAAACGATTTTATATATCGAATAAAAAATGAAATAGTATTAAAAAAATATTGGATTTGCGGAAGAAATGGATGAAATGCGCGCATACATACAAATATACAGAATGCTTTATTGAAATAGATGCTGATCAATTATTAGATGACTTCTCACTCACCATAGCCAAACAAAAGAAATAAACTTATACATAAAGAAATATTTTCTTTTTATTAATTTTTATAACTAATTATGCTTGATTCATTTCATTTTTTGATGTACCTAAAATTTTATCAGGCAATATAAAATCTTCATCTGAGCAGTCTAAAAATATAAAAATAAATGCTTTCGCTATTTTTTCCATTCGGCATTTTTTCGTTCGACATTTTTTCTTTGGCTCTTTTTTTTCGCTCTTCTATCGTTCACTCATTTTGATACATACCGTTAACACATTCAGATCGAACAGTCTCGTAGTCGATTTAGAAGCGAAAAATGCTAGATTCTATTTTTTGTTCATTGCTTCTTCTTCGTCATATTTATTAGCCACTCACTTCATTGATAAAATTTTTATCCAATTCTTAAGAATTGCTCAAATCCGTTGACTAAGATCGAATAGCTAGAATTTTGTTTCAATAATGTATTTCTTCTAAATGTAGCTATCTTCTGACTGACAGAATAAAATACATGCAAACTTTGAGAAACTGCATATAGTGTGTAAATCAAAGAAAAACACTATGACTGAGATATTTATCTTTCTGCTATTGTACCTATCAAGTGTTTGCCTATTGATAAATGATATCTTGTAGTCTGATTGATTTCATGATATATCTGTGGGCGAAGCTTAGCGATTGTCATTGATATATATTTATCTCTACGGACATATCAACTGCCGAGGAACATCATATTACATAGTATCTATGTCAATTTAGTAAAGATACTGAAAACCTAAAGTATACAACGAATATTTTTTGAGACTTGATCAAAACAAATAGAACATAAAACTCCATTCAATTTTTTCTAGATTTCTATAATTAAACTGGCCGAGTTTGACAGTTCTTTGTGGAATATTGGTGTTCTCTATAGAAGCCTAATATGAAATTCTCCTTAAGGTTTTCTCGAGATTCAATTCTTTGACATGTTCATGATTTTATTCATTATCGAATCTAAAAGGATCTATTATTGGATTCAAGTGTTTATTATTTTTTTCTAGGCATTAAAAGTTCAACAAGCAGAACGCTTATCAAGAATTGCACGTGCAAATTCAACATCTAATATAAAGCCATTAACAAAACCGAATACAACGATGCAACGCCATAATACAATACAATTAGAAAATACCGTCATGGCAGGTGGTTATAAGGGTATGGATTCATTTGCTGAGTGTATTTTTTCGAAAAATCTGAATTCTAATGAAACAAGTCCAAAAAAAACATCAATAAAAGCGAAGAAAAATCAAAAGCATGAATCAGATAAAATGGAAGAATTACAGATGAGTTATGAAGCGATGAAAACTCATCTTAAAGAAGCTTTTGATGATATTGAACGACTTAAATATGAAAATAATCAATTACGTATACAACGAGAAGCAAATTCAATACCCGAACATAACGAATCAAAATCATTTACGGGCAGTGGCGACGAAGACTCGGAGAATGAACTTGAAGTTACACTATAAATTTTATGTGTATGATTTTTTGTTTTTTTCAATCATGATATAATTGTAAAGAAAATAAATTCTATTTTTATTCTAAAACATAATTTATACGAAAAAAAATGCGGCTGGTCAAACTCTGTTTTCACGAAGCAACGTCATTATGAAATATTATCAATTCAATAACCGTATGTTAACATTCGCATGTTAAGATTAATCAAAGATCTTTCGTTTTCTCATAGCATGTATTTTTAGCTATAAAACACAGTAGAAAATAACTAACCAATAAGCAAGTTGTTAGAATAAATATAAAAGATGTCAAAAATAATTATTACTATTTTTTAATGATCATCGCCGATGCTAGTTTTGCTCAAATAAACGACAAATGTCTTCAATATATTGGCAACATTGACTCGGGATGTCGATCACTCGAATGTACATGAGATGTGAATTCATAATGGTGAACCAATTGGATGTCAAAAAACAGCTACAATTGCCTATTGAAATAAAGTTGTTGCTTCCTACAATTCTGGTTAAAACATATTTTTTTTATGCAAAATATATTTTACGCTGTAATTGATCCCATCTATCAAGAATATACTACGTTATTTGAAAACACTTATATAGAATAACATCAATATTGAATTAAAAGCTGCATTCATTATAATATAAAGTTGAATATTATCAAAGAATTAACAGTATGAAGTATAGTAATGTAACAAAAATATTTTGATCGACCTTAAAACAAATTGTTTTGCTAGATTTGTGTCAGAAAACAGAGTGAGAAAAAGTGAAAACATATTGGCACTGTTTTTTTTAGCCTCTGAATATGTAGAAAGATAAAATTATTTTTGCTTGTTAGAAATTCTATTAAGAGAAAAAGAGAATCTTTTACAGTAATACTTTTATCCCATGTATCATTCTCTGTTTAAAAAGTATGTTAGAAGTATTGCTTTGAATGATTAAGACAATGGTTGTGGATCAGGCAGGCATCTATGCATATAAGTCTTTATGTTGTGGCCATAGTCACAGCTAGTTTCGATCGAATAGCTAATAAACAATGTGTATCTATTTAAAAACAAATGAATATTTATATGATTCCTTTTAGACAGACATGATTTGTTTATTTAGATTGACACGAAATACTGGAAAAAAATGTAGAATCTTTCTTATGGTGGCCTACAAAAATATAATGAGTATATGTTTTTCTTGTATTTCTATAAATGAGTAGATTTTCTTCAGTTGAATGAAGCTAGAAATAAATTTATTATTCAGAGACGTTTTTGTTACTTGAAAATAATGGGTGACTATTTAGCGAATCATCTAGTGCAAGTTTTAACGACTCCATAATACTAAAAAAAAGGTGTGCGTACAGATGCGAGTGAGAGAACAGAACAGATTCAATAATCGATTTTACACTAAAATACATATACTAACAGGATGGAAGCGGAAATTGACCTAAATGAAATTCTGTAAGCATAGTGCTAAATTTTACTTTTTCTGCCGTTTTAATGACGAAAAACATCGACATTAGTCCTAGAGGGTGTGTGTGTGTGTGTGAACAGAAAATGAGCGTCATAATACGAGTAAGTGGATTTACCAACAAACCTCTCGTTGATTAATCTGATGCGAACGTTGCTCGTCAAAACAATGATTCTTGTACTAACGTCTTTCGCAGATTCATGACCTTTTTAGGTATTTGTAAATGCAATATTCAAAATATTAACAATCGCTTCGTAAAAATCTTAATGTTGCATAATATTGATTATTGAGTCGGCTCTATATCATTTCTCATAAACTAGCAATCGACCTTATTATTTCAATGTTATGAAGATGAAAAAAAATTGATTTTGTCTTCACATTAAACTTCAGTGATGTTAAACCTGCTTCTTTAAATAGTAGGATAATTTGAATAGTGAAATCTAGCTGCTGAAATCAGCTAAGTATAAAGCATGTGAAAAATGCTATCGTCTTTGTATTTCTACGGGCTTAAGAGGCTTGTCGTTTCTATGTTTACCTACAAATACCTGAATGCTACACAATATACACATTATAAAGATGATAAATATATATATATATATGAAAGGTGCAAGCGAATTTATATATAGACACAATCACCGCCATCGAACAAACGAATAACGAGGTTAGTCGAATTTTGGAACGGGAACAAGATGAATTTAATGAGAATCTAGGTAAAATGTGACTGTTCAAATAATAATCCATCGGTTGCCATTTTTTGATCAAACATAGAATCGAATGGAAACATAAAGTGGCACCTTTTTATTTTACAGTAAAGAAATCCGAAATACATTTCTGGCATAGATAGTAAAATTTACCTGACTAAAACCTAGTCCTCTACGCGCTTTAATAGTCGTTCTCGTAGGGGTTACAATAGGTCAGCTGATAGTTGTAGTAAAAGGAATCATATCATTATTACTTACTAATCGAATATATCTAGTATTTCCTTTCGGGAAAAAAGCATGCAGCTGTTATCGTTCATGATTCAATAAATTTTCGCTCATACTCATTCTTTGAAAATTTTAGTAAATTGGCACGAAAAAATGTTTTACAGATGACGTCAAAGTATTCTAAATCAACAGAAGGATTGCAAATAATTTTTATTAAGCTGTATTTTGCTTTTCTACTCGAATGGTAACCAATTCGCCTACGTGTATTATGCTGGTTCATTAATTCGTCCTAATGCATTGACGACTACCATTATCTTTTATACAGAAAGCGAAGACAAATAAACATACTAGTTAACGCTACAACGTTTCTTTTAGTCTTTGTCAGTCAAATTGGTCATAGTAACTCGGCGAAAGCAAAATATAGTGACGATCGGATGGAAGTAAAAACAACATAACAAATAAAATAAAATGGTTTAATATGAAAACCTCGAATGCCAAAAAGACTAAATAGTTTATGCGTTATTATGACGTGATAGCAAACTAAACGCAACATATAGAGAGACTGTATCACACCCTGAGGCATAGCGTAAATATCATGTTCATGTTTTATCGCAGACATATCGTGCAGAACGCTGACTAGTAATTAATTTCATTATTCGAAGGTAAATTGGTAAAAGCTAGTATAATTGAATCTTTGAAGTAAAAGAGTCTTGAGAATTCACCAGATTTTAGTGCTTGTCTTATATAGAACTTTCTTGGCGTCGGAAATTTTTTTTTCGAACGAACACAACACATCTGCTCAGAATCGCATAATTTGAAGCAAACTGCAAACTCTCATTGTTTCAAAACTGTGTCACGTTTAGACGAGTTTCAAATATATATATATATACATACAGATGACAACGGATCATCATCAAATATTTGTCTGAATGCTATTGTTGCAAGGAAAGATCTGATATCGAAGTCTTTCATTAAAAGGTTAACGTGGGCAAAACACTATCTGCAACAGATAAACGAAATACAAGCGATGAGCTGTTAGATATGATATTTCATGCAATCCAAGAAACAAACAAATTCTTTATTCAATTGGCATTGGCCACCGATTTCTCGATTTCGTTTTCGTATTTTTCTATTGCCGACACAAGTGAATCAATTTTTGAAGATAAATTCTCTTTCTTTCTGAGAATTCATTTAATATCGTTAACATCGATCTAGATATATAATGAAAATGTTTTTTTTTCAAATTAATTTCATAAACAAAAATAAGTCTGTTGTATTTCTACCAATAAATTAACTCTCATTAAAAAAACATAATTAATATTCTTTTGAATCACTTTTGGTGGAAACAAGATAATTAGATCTTCCCATGAATTACCTTTGAAAAGTGGATATGATGATTTAACAAATGTTTTGTTACCTTACTCTTCTTCAAAGGTACTGTACGTTTTGCTGTGACTACAATGAATTTTCAATTATCAAATGTACTTTGGAGTAGGCAATCTACAATGAACCAAACTACACAATATATTCTCACATTCGATTGTCCACAGGGTAGATGCACTCAACGCAAACAACTCAGCCAGCTTTTGAAACCATTTCCATAGAAAACTCACGGCTTTGCTTTTTCATGTTCAATTAGAAGGCATGCCTTTGTAGTTATTTTTCCAGAGAATTAATTAGAGAAGCTGCACAGTAATATCTCAATCGCGTCTTCTTGATTGCGGACGTTTTTTCTTAATTGTTGGAAAAAAACGTCCGCAAAGTAGAAACAGGGGGAGAGAGACAAAAATAGTCGCAGAGTGGAAAATGTCCGCAAAACAGAATCGGGGGGAAGAGAGCAAAAAATGTACGCATTGTGGAATCAAAGGAAAATTGATATTTTAAGATGATTCATGCAAATAGGTGTACTGAATAATATCAACTGTTTCGAGCTAGTCTAGTGTTGTTCATCACATGTCATCCTGGCCATTTTATAAGCATGTTTATTGTGAAAGAAAAACATTGAAAGTGACGAAGTTAAACCTAGACGAATCAAATAAAAATGTCCATTGTGAAAGATGATAACTTTTCTCCAGTTTCCACACAATCTAATAAAGATCGTATAGTTTTTAAAAATTATCATTTTGGAATGAATCTTGATTATCAACCTAACACAGTTAGATGCTCAACTATTCTTCATAAATGATTTTTCTGTATTTTTTTCACCTAATAAATCTTGTCTTGATTCCATAATGCTGACATTTTTTTCTCTCCTCTCGCCCCGATTCTGCTTTGCGGACGTTTTCTCTTAATTGGAGGAATAAAATGTCCGCAATCAAGCTGTAGTCGGCGGCTTACACCTCTATGTGTACATAGAATGTTAATAGGTTGCATAGAGATTTCTAATATTAGCAGTCAAATCATCTGTTCAGGGGACTGCATTCTGATTACAGCAACCATTCAACATGAATTTATGAATTGTTCATTATCTTGAATCTCACTTGTTAACGATCACTGTGCTCGATAGTCATTGTATTCATTTAGAAAACGAACAAATTTTTTAAGATAAATATATATATATATATATATATTAACATTGAAAAAAATAAAACAAAAAGCGATTAAATGTGAACATAATAAGTTAATTGATAAGACAAATTGATAAATAAAATTTTTAAACAAACAAAACACAAAGAATACTGTACATATAGAATAATGAATAATATTATTTCAGATCATTTCTATGTTTGATTGAGGTTCATTTTGGAATTTTCTCTGACATAAATGACTAGAGAGAAATACTTCTTCTGAGAATTTATTTAACAATTTCTATCAGCTTCATCTCCAGCTGTTTTACCAACAGCATCAGGATTTTGTAGTGGATCTAGTTCAGCAAATAAATTTAGCCAACTTGATTTTTCTGTATTTTTTCCTGCTGCTGCTGCTGCTGCTGTTGGCAGTGGTTTTGGTTTCAGGTTTGATGATGGTGGAACTGTTGACTTATTATTTTTAGTCATAGACGTTAATAATTCACTAAGAAGTGTTGACGGGAGAAAACTATTATTATTTGATGCAGTTGAATCTTTCTGAATGTTCGATGCTGGTTGTTGATTTGCAATATTATCGAATGCCGCTGTCCATTGAGCATCAAAACTATTATTTTCATTGCTATCAAGTAGATCAGTAGTTGTATTTCCAGATAAGATAGGTGAAAGAAAATCAGAAAATAATTTGTCATGTTCAGCAGATGTAGTCGACAAGTCAACAAGATTCTCACCGTCACCTGATGTCTTTTTATTGTTTATCGATGCTGATGGATTACGATCAATAGTTGTTAGTTTTTCTAGTTCAAGAAGTTGACTATCAAGTTGATCATCGGATATATCAATTAATGCATTGATTGGTTCTGTTGGATCTGATGTTTCTTTTTGATTATTGTCAATAGAAATTATTTGATCCTGACTTCGATCATTTTTTTTTTCATTAATATCAATAAGTTCATCATCTTTTACTTTTGATTTATCAGTCGATGATTTCGAATTCATCTCAGCTAATAATCGACTTGGTTCAGTAAGATTTTTAATAACAGTAAATTCATAATATTGATAACCTTTAAATGATTCAGCAACAGCTTTCATTGTTTTTGATGTTTTTTCCCAAAAGACAAGTAGAGACTTTTGATATGTAGCTAATGCATATGAATACATATTACTAGAAATGAAGAATGAAAGTTTTTTGTTTTCACATTTTTAATTAAAATACAATGTATTTACTAACCATCGACTAGCTGTTAATAAATCAATTTTTTCAATAACATCATTTTTCAATCGATCGTATTCTGTTTTTGTTTGTTTTACTTGACTTTGTACGCGACGAAATTTTTCTAATTGTTTTTCAGGATCAAGTTGTGTCGATGCATCTTTTAACCATAAAATACTTCCGCGATATTCTGTTCTTGCTGTTTCCATTCGGTTCACTGTTGACAATGTATCAGTTACCGCACGATGACGGAATGTTTCTATTTCGTTATTTAAACGAATCAACGGTGGACGTAATGCTAAACGTTGATGAGCAGTATATGCAAGAACTTTTGATACACTAGCCATCATTTTTCCGGCCCGCGTTTTATCCATTTGAGCATAATCTTTTAAAAAACGGGCCATATCTGTTTCTTCGTGTGCAAGAATGAGAAGATTTGTTTGATAATTCTCCATAATCTAGTTTCAAATGAAAAAAAAATTATTTTGTTTTTAAAACGCAATCAAATTATTATGTAACTGAACATACGCGAAGTAAATCATGACACGATTGTCGTATTGCATAAAGCAATTCAAGTTTAGCGTCAACATCAGCATCAGATGCAAGAACAAATTCATCTTCTTCTCTACCGAGTTTTTTCATTACAAGTTGTTTTGTTGTCCAGTATGTTGAACGTAGTTTTCCTAAACTTGTATTATCTTGATGCTCGGCATGTTTATCGTAGAAATTTTTTGAATTCATATCTCCTTAATATAGTTTTATTTCGAACTAAATCAATTGATGATTATCAACATCAACATTAATCAACACAACACGTAAACTCCTGTTTCCTCTTCTGTAAACCAGTAAATTTCATTCTTGCGTCCTCTACTTCTTCAATATGTGATTGGTAGAAAAGGTGGAGCTTATAGTAACACGTCATCCTTTCTTAAAAATATATATTCGACAGACAGGATTGATAGACAGATTTAGACAAAGATGAACCGTATATTACATACAGTAGCTCTCATCTTTATCGGTTGTTGTTCAAATGTTGTATTTCTTGAACTTATTGTCAAGTATGTGAAAAAGAAAAAGAAATCAATTTTCTTTTTAATCATAGAGAAAATTATCTTTTAGACCCTATCCTGGATGTGGCAATATAGTCACATTTGCTCAATTTGTTTTTATTTCAATCGAAGGTTTTATTAATTATTATAAATGGGGTTCAACACAAAGAAAAGTTCCTCTGAAGTATACATTTTGAAATTCTCAAACAAATTCTTTATAATTCTTTTGTTTCTACAGATCGTATGGGGTATTGGTGTGCATGTTTTTCTTGGTCAGTGTGATTAATAATTATGCACTGAACTTTAATATACCTATGCCATTACATATGATTTTTCGATCGGTAAATTACTTTTTAAGTTTGTTTTTCTCAGAATACGATTCGATAAAATACAATTGTATATAATTTCCTTCAGACTAAAAATGAGTAACGACATCGTGTTTTATATTTTCACTCTGGAGAGAGAATATTCTAATGGCTTGTTTATTTCAGGGCTCATTAATTGCGAATCTGATCTTGGGAATGATTTTATTGAAAAAAAGGTAAAACGAGTGATCATTTTGTCAACAATAGTACAATGGTTTTCCTTTTTAGATATTCGTTTCGTCAAATATTTGCTGTGGTTTTAATTACGTTTGGAATCTTTTTAGCAACATATGCATCTAGTCAATCATTAAATAAACAAAAAGTAACAAATAAGATCCAATCGAATGAAATGGAGCCTGATTTTTTTAAATGGCTTATCGGTAGGATTTTATGCTGATAACATATCTCGGAAGTCATTTACACTATCTATCTATGTTGACTCATCACTTCTGTTCCCTAAAAATCCCAGTGGCATTACTTAACCTAATTGATTTTATTTAGGTATTGGTATGCTAATATTTGCTTTACTTGTTTCGGCATTGATGGGTATCTATCAAGAAAAGCTCTATGCAAAATATGGCAAACATCCTCAAGAAGCTCTATTTTATTCAGTAAATAAAAAAGTGAATTCTTTTCAATTTCTGTGTTTATCTCTTTTAGCATTTTCTGCCTTTACCACTATTTGCTTTCGTTGGTAAAGATATTTACAATCATGCACAATTATTTAATCAATCTAGTAAATTAGTTTTTTGTTTTGCTCAGCAATATTTAATATTGATTTTCAATATTTAGCTTGGTTGCCACTCTTTTCGAATTTCGGGATTCCAATCATGTGGGCTTATTTGATTTGCAATATGCTAACTCAGTACTTTTGTATCAGATCTGTGTTTATATTAACAACAGAATGCCCATCATTGGTTGTGACATTAGTTATAACGTTAAGAAAATTTATTAGTTTACTTTTTTCAATTATTTATTTTCAAAATGACTTTACATTGTATCATTCCATTGGTACAGCATCTGTATTTATAGGAACGTTTCTTTTTAGTAATATTGACAAAGAAATTTTTCATTATTTTAAAAAACGACATCATCATAACGAATAAAAAAAATAACACTAAAGCTTTACCCACTTTGTCTTTTTCTAGATTTAATTGTTACTTTTACTACTCGAAATGGTAAAGACAAAATTTTGTTTTCTAGTGAATAAATGTTGTTCCTGTTTATTTATTCTTTTTGGTAGACTCAAATCAATGCTATTGATACTGGTCATGAAGAATTAATTGTAAGTTTACTATTGAAATATTATTCGACAAGAAAATGTTCCGGAAATTTGTTTTAGCACGATGCTCAATTAGATTATTATGGTATACGTTTAGCAACATGTTCATCGGATAAAAGTATAAAAATATTTGATGTATCAAATAATCAGCAACGTCTTATAGCTGAATTAAAAGGGTAAACATTTCTTTTTTTAGATTTAAAAATGCTTGATCATAATTAATCTTTGTTTCTAAAGACATGAAGGTCCTGTTTGGCAATTATCATGGTCACATCCAACGTTTGGAAGTCTACTTGCTTCTTGTTCGTATGATAGAAAAGTATTAATTTGGAAAGAAACACCTTCAACTGGATTACCATCTCAAAACAGTACGAGTGGTGGTACACAATATTCATCTATTTACGAATATGATCGACACACATCGTCGGGTAAGTTGCATTGTCTGCAAAGGATGGGGTTACATACGTATGTTCAATCTTGCTAAAAATATCAACCGGTTTTTATTTATCGTAGATCTGATAATAACTGTGCTAATTGTAGTGTCAAATAGTAGCGTTTTGAGCAGAGTTGAGATATTAACAATTGAACAAGATTATACATACATTCATTATATATCTATTGGAGTTTTCATCCATCAGATAAACCATTCTCTTGAATGAAAACGATCACTATTGTGAAGTATGTAATGAGCGTGTTTTTAATTATATTATTAATATTTTAGTTAACACGGTTTCCTGGGCTCCATATGAATATGGCCTTATGTTAGCATGTGGCAGTTCCGATGGTTCAATTTCAATTATTAGCTCTACTGGTATGAGTGTTATTCTTTTCAAACTTTTGAAACTGATTGATATGTATAGGCGACGGTCGATGGACAACAAAGAAAATTCCGGATTGTCATCCTGTAAGTAAATTGAATTTCAAAGAATATTTTCCCTTATGATATATTTTCTTTTTCACTTCTAGCCGGGTGTCAATGCACTCAGTTGGGCACCAGCTGTATTGCCACAAGCCAGTGATGATGCTGGTGTACAAGGCTCAACAGGTGAACCTGTCAAACGATTTGTTTCAGGTGGATGTGATTGTTTAATTCGTATATGGAAGTAAATAGAGCATTCACTTGAATCAATAGGTTTAAGAAGAAAAACTTACTCGTCTTTTTCAGAGAACAAGATGATGGATGGGTAGAGGAAGCTCATCTTGATCAACATAATGATTGGGTACGCGATGTTGCATGGGCTCCAACATTTAGTTTTAACAAAGATAAAATTGCTAGTTGTTCACAAGTAATATATCGTTGAATTGAAAATAAATTCATTTCATTACTTTATTTCGTTTTTTTTAAGGATGGTCATGTTTATGTATTTACACGAGATACACGTTCATCATCGAACTGGGAATTTACTCAAATTGGTACTCATTTTAATGATGTATGGAGCGTTAGCTGGGCATTGACAGGAGATATTCTTGCTGTTGCTGCATCGGATAAAGTTAGTTTATGGAAACTTGGTCTCGATGGTAAATATCAATGTTTAACAACTCCACATGCATCGTCGACAAGTGTAGAATCACCATCGGCTAATAGTACCATGGAAAGTGCTACAGGCGGCGAAGCGGGAAATATACCGTTAATGGCTTCTTAGAAAAAAACAGCTTCTATGTTTATTCTCTAATTGTTATTTTGTTCTTTTAGCGAAATTTTTGTGCAAAAAAAAGACATGGAAAAAAAATAATTTACTCTTTTCTTGGTTTATTTAGTTCTAGATTTGTATCGAGTTCAACATGAGTCAACTAGGACAAGTGGCCGGAATTTTACGTAAACTTAATGAAGAATATCAAATTAGTACACCGAAAAAATTAAAATTAATTGATGCATATTTAATTTATGTTTTATTAACGGGTATTATTCAATTTGCTTATTGCCTTCTTGTTGGAACATTTCCATTTAATTCATTTCTTTCGGGATTTATTTCAACAGTTGGTTGTTTTATTTTAGCTGGTGAGAAAGTATTTTAGTTTACAAAATTAATTTAATTATTTTCTATTTTCTAGCAAGTTTACGTATTCAATTGAATAAGGCTAATCAATCAACGTTCAATGTTACACCTGAACGTGCTTTTGCTGATTTCGTTTTTGCTCATATCATTTTACATTTAGTTGTGATCAATTTTATTGGTTAAATATAGAAAGGAAAAATTAGACATTATACTAAAATTAAATCGTTTAGCGTTCGTTTTGCTTTGAATGATAAAATAAAAGAAGACATTGTAATCATCATTATTAATAGATTCTTATTATTAATATAGATTTTTCAGTATAATAATTTATACACTTTCGTTTACTAATAGAATGTTGTTTGAGAGAAAATATCTTCAAGCATTAGCTTTGTCTTTGATAGTGTTAGGTCTTCTATAAGCTACGAAAGAGAAAAATAATATTTAATAAACATACGATCGTTATTATGCCAGTGACTTGAACTTTCATGAATAACAAATAGTTTTAAAGATCGAAATTGTATTATTTTTGAAAAAATAATGATAGTCAAATTTCCCTCACTGTTTCAATAATTCTAATTAATTCAAATGTTTTTTGCACTTCTTTTTCATCACTACTCAGAGTTTTCAATTGAATATTATACGCTTTACGTGTATATTCCAATGTTTTATTATCTTGATTCATTTTCTTATAGGCTTTTGCTAAAATATATGCTGATTCAGCAAGTCGTCGATGTTCTTGTGAGTTTCATTTCAAGAATATTAAAGGCTTCTTGTGCATATTGCTACGCATTTTGTACATCATCTTGATCACATAAAATATCTCCAATATACATTAACGATAGACCAATATATGGATGTTTACGTGGTAAACTTTTCGCATAAATATCAATAGCTTTTTGAAAATGTTTCAATGCTAGCTGACTTTCTTTTTCTTTTGCTCGATAGACTTGACCTAAATTATGATGTGTAATACCGATTTCTGCATGGTCCGAAGGAACCCAGGGCGAACAGTACGGTCCGTATACGGCCGTTGACGGTTACTTTACGACTATTTCCGGGTAAAAGTTTGCCGTAATATCTGGCGCAGTAATACGAACCGTATAATCATGAGAGTACGGAGCACAAACAGCCGCAAACCATGAAAATTCAGTCCCATTTACGGTGCCGTATTACTGTACCAGGTGTTACGGACAAATACGGCCTATTCACTACCGTAAATATACCGTTTAGACATCGTTTACCGTTGATAAACAGACCGTAAACGAGTCCGTTTTGATCAATCTGGGTATAATAAATAATGGCTTCATCGTAATGTTTCCGAGCTAAATGAGTCCGACTAATATTACAATAGGATACAGCTAATTCAGAATGATTCGATGGTAAACATCGTTCTTTCATTGCTGATGCTTGTTGATGATAATCAAGTGGTTGCTCAAAAGTATAATGATTATAATATGCTTAACCAATATTATTCAAACTTGTTTCTACATCAGGGTGATCATATGGGAAAAGATGTTGTTTCATTTCTAGAGCACGAATATCATATTCTAATGCCCATTCAAATTTACCCATACGATCATAACATACATCAATATTATTCACTGCTTCAGCAATATGAACATGATCTTTTGAAAGCATTTTTTCACTTATAGCTAAACATTCGAGATGTTTTTCTAATGCAAGTTCATATTTTCCTACATTATCATAGATTACACCAATGCCTCTCAATGTTTCACCGAGATCTGAATGACCTTCAGAAAATAGTTTACGCTGAATAGCAAGCGCTTTTTCATATTCAATCATAGATTGAGTATAGTTTCCTTCTCGATAAAAGTTTAATCCTTGGTAATAATAGACGAGTGCTAAATCACGAGTGTCATTTTCATCAGATATAATTCTCGTTAGCTTAGTTAAATAATCATGTGCAAGACTATATTCTTCCATTTGTATTAATAATCTAGCAAAAATAATGTCAACATTGGTTTCATTAGCTTCAATTTGGATTGAATCGATCTATGCTTGTACAACGTTAGTACCTTCATCGGTTGTCATGAGCTAGATATTCCGTTTTTGATTGATTTTATCATATTTAATATCAGTAATTTTGAATACGGATGTAAAATAAGATAAAACTTCCTCTTCTTGTGAAAATTCGCTCATAGATGCAACATCTCCAAAACACCCATGACTTAAAACAAATGTTGTTTGAATAATAAAAGTAGCTTCTTTTGAAAACAATTCAGCAGCTTCTGACTTTCGACTTGTAGATAGACATCCATTTATCAATATTAACTGATCCTTTTTACCACGTAGAATTCGTAAAGCTTTATTAATAAGTTTTGAAACAAACGTTTGTTTTGTATGCCACTCAATAGCATCTTCAGTTTTCTAATTCTTTCGAATTATCTTTATAATAATTTCGCCATTCGTCTTTCATTGTATCTTGTGTATGATGTACTTTCTGTAAAGCACTTGTAATTAATTTAAGCCATAAAAAGAAAGTATCTGCTTTTGAAATAGTGTGCATGGAAAGTTGCTTATTTCCATCAAATATTGTATATTTAAGATGTGAAGAATCTATTACAGAATTTTAATCACGTAATTCTTTTAATTTTTCAATATCAAAGATATTAATTATTAATCCATGTTGATCGATTGATTTAGGACGCATTTGCAAATGAACTATTAATTCATTGTATGTATTTAAAATTCGATGAATTTCATGGTAACGTTTTTTCATACAGAAAACAAGAATCGAGTCGATTTGATCGATATTTTGAATTAATGGAATCACCGTAATACCCACTGAACCGGATGTAATAAAACAAATTGGTTGATTTTTGTTCTTCAATGAATTAATATAGTCGATACAATCTTGAGATAAATGAAATGTAATAAGATCATCTGCGTTCTGTCGAGCCATATGATAGTGGCATGATATTGAAATAATTGCTGATATGAAAATAAAATTGTAAAATCAAAATCAACAGAGATTCTTACTTCTTCACAGTTTACAATTCTAGAAAAAAACGTTGAAAAATATAATAGACCAAGAACACCACCCAATAGATGATCACCATCAATAAATATACAAAAAAAAAGAACTCCTCCATTTGCTAATATCCTAAATGTTACTGAAGACAGTCAAAACTTCTGTATTGAATTTTATTCGTATTCAAATTGTCTCGGCGCAAAACAGTTTTTTTTCGAACGATGATTAATAATAGTTGCTTGATAGCATTACGAGAAACGGTTGTGACTATTGTTTATAATGGGTGTTCCAAAAAGAATGGCCACTTTTTCTTCTATGATTTTCCTACACATACTTTACTTGGGCGACCTCATTTTTTTTCTTGTTATAATCGCTTCTCGACCCTCTCTAGAATGGAGGATTCACTTTTTGAAATCAATTTCAAAATAAAGTTTTTCAAGATGAAAAGTGAAGACCTTCGAAAGCTCGTACTTTCCAAGTATCAAAAAGATGAATCTCTAACAAAAGTTTTTGAAAACTTGAATGGTTCGGTCAGTTACAGGACCATTCGTCGGTGGTGCAAAAAGGTGAAAAACCGAATGAAACGTAGGAAGAATGTGTCAATCAGAAAACTCGCCGGTGAACTGGATATTTCTAATGGATTTGTTGTCAGAATCTTGAAACAAGATCTAGGATATCGTTCAAACAGAAAAAAAAGTTGAACTAACTCTTACAGACATCGATAAGCGTAAACGAATGACATTTTCGAACTGGGTGGTGCATAACTTTCGTAAGGAAGACACTTTAAGAGTCCTCTTCTCCGATGAGAATATGTTTGATCTTGATGGCATCTACAATGCTCAGAATGATCGAATATGGACAGTAGATCGCGATAAAACCGATAAAAAAGGTGGTGTCAAGCAGAAACGAAAGTCTCCGCAGAAAGTAATGGTTTGGCAAGGAGCATACTCCAAAGGATTGACACCAGTGATCATTCTGGATAAAGTAACGGTGGATCATCAAAGATACATCAATGAAGCGTTGCCGGCGACTTTAAAATATGGCGACGAAGTTCTTGGCGATAGTTGAACCTTCCAACAAGATGGTGCGAAGCCACACGCACATGCTGAGACGCAAAAATGGTGTCAAAAGAATTTTCCATCATTCATCGACAAAGACCATTAGCCTTCAAACTCACCCGATCTCAATCCTTTGGACTATTCAATCTGGGATGAGTTTAGTCAGAAAATCAACTGGACCAGGGTTAAATCAAAAAAGACTCTGAGCGATCAATTAAAACAAAGTGTAAAGCGAATAAGAGAGTCCGTTGTGGCGGAAAGTTGTAAAACTTGGACTGACCGTTTGTATAGCTTGTCCAAAAGCAACGGAAATTATTTAAAATAAAACTTATACCGAGTTTTGTAGAGCTCAGCAAGGCGAATCTTTTACAAACAAGATTAATTTTCTAGCATGAAAGATAAGCGAATTGGATCAAAAATACAAAGTGACTATTCTTTTTGGAACACCCGTTCTAATCAGTTGAACTTTTCGAAGTGAAAAAGAAACAAATGACTCATAACGCTTGAAAATGAAAAACCAACTGATCAGAGTCTTTACATGAGGAAGTAATTCAAGCGGAAGTGCATATTGAAGCAAAATTTCGAATGCGATTCTCCTTGAATTATTTGGTCGAAGACGAGAATATCATCATTGCTTGGTTCTTCTTACAGGAGCTTTCTTGCACTTAAAAACTTTTCCGATTGATTCTTTTCAACAGTATACTCTGATCAAATAACTTTTGGATACATACAGTTACGTCACATATCTACGAGAACATTGATCACAACACTTGTAAGAACCAAACGAACAGTTTCAGTGCAGCCTTTAGTTGCAGTCAGTACGTTTACAAAAATCTATAGCGCTCTTAGTAGAACAGTCATAGTTCTAATAAAATATGCCATTAAAAATTGTTTTACATATCGATTTTGATAGGTTTCTATCAAAATATCAAAATACTCAACATAGTATTTCTTACATTGTGAAAAAAAGAATCCCTACTATTATATATGAAACCATCCTTTGTATTTGTCAAGTACTTAATGCACGTTTCTGTCTAGATGCTTCTATATAAATATCACTATCCTATTCGTCTTCCATATTTGTAAACACTTATTGTCTCAACAACGCTGATGCTGTTCATAAATACATTTAATTTGAGTTTTTTATACAAAGAGCAAAATAAAATGAAATCAATCTTTTTCTCATACTACAGAAAATAACATTTAAAAAAATGGATAAATTGGCTGTTGTCGCTGCTGTGGCATCATAAACCAGCCGTGTGTGTTTGCATTAGGATGCATCATTGGATAAAATGGTTGCTGTTGAATTTGAGGATAGAATTGCATCGGTTGGCCCATCATCATATCTTGCTGCTGCTGCTGTTGTTGTTGCTGTCTTATCATATCTTCTAATTGTTGTCGATATTGAAAATGACGAACCATTTCAGGACTGCCAGGAAGAGAATGTTGCTGATGATAAAATGGTATTGAGCTACGTGGTTGTAGTAGATCATGTGAAAGGTTTCGTCGACGAAATTTAATCGGAGTACCAGGTAGATCATCGTGGAAATGTTCACAGGAACCATCTCGTGCAGCACGACTGAATGGTCTTTCATGAGATTTTGATCGGCTTTGGTTCAATTTAACAAAATTTTCATCAAAAGCTTCATCTCTCAGGTTCTTTTTATTTTTGAACTGTGATTTTTGAGCGAAACTTGGAATATCATTGTAACCATCATCTTCTCGAGCCATATTGGCTGCACCGAAGAACGTTTGTGGCAATGGACCATATTCGAAACATGCTGGTGGAACTTCATCTCGTTTTCGATTTGATGTTTGATCATGCGTCGTTAGTGTGTCGATTCCGATAAGTTTCTTAAGTTTTCGAAACATTCTCATGTGAATAGCAACAGTAATAATTGACAAACAAATAATGTTTATTTCTTTATTTATATATATATATATATGTATGCAACACAACACAAAATCAGTCAAGCAAATCGATGGAAAAGTAAAATTATACAGTTGATGAATCATTCATATTATGTCATATCGATAGGTTTTAATATTACGGAATAATGATATTCATTCGAAACGAATGAGTTGTTGAATATTACTATCTTGATGACATTGAATAATTTTGCTTAATAATGAAAAAGTTACTTACTAGTAGATATTCATCATCTCTCTATGTTTATCATACGGAAACTTCTTGTGAAAACAATGGATTTAATCCTTAACAATATCTTCTTTGATAAAAAAAAAACAATAGCAACATGCGCTACCATTTTCACAATAAAAATAGTATAATACACTTCCTAAACAAACACATGCCACAAAAATAACATCATTCATTTATCTTGATATTTACGGACGAGGCAGGTAAATAAACTAGGTCTTTTTTCGCGGCGCTTCGGTTAAAAAAGTAACGAGCCTTACTGTATGTCTTTAACATAATATTTACATGAAAATCTTACATTTTTTCCTTTCTTCGATAGAAAACGCCTTCAAAAACCGCAAAAGAGTAACTTAAAAACGCTGGAATTTAACTGAACAAAATGTTACTTCGTATTAATGGAAACCGGAATATTGTATTGCTTGTGTTTTGCATATGATAAAGGCATTGACTGAGCAAAACAACTAATAGTTCTCATCAAATGAACGATTATTGATCGTCATTCGCGTCAGAAAGATCTAAACAAATATTGATACAAATAATATCACACATTTCTATTCTTTTTTCTACAGTTGTTCAGGGTGGGGTATGGATTAGCAACTTTCTACCATTCATCGTATAGGGTAAAAAGCTTAGCCTGAATTTTGTTCCTTCTCTTGGCCTACGCAAAAATTCATGTCGATTGAAATCAACATCACTAAAATTATAAATCGACCATAGTCCATTTCTATGCAACAAAGAATTCTCTATTGCGAACGTTTTCAAACACACTTATCATAACACCCATCGATTACTTGACAAAGTTTTGTTTTCTTTTCGAAATGTTGATCTAATCGACACATTTTTATTCTAAACGAGTTAATTGATGCGAAAGATTATATCAGCTTGAATTAGGATCTTACCTTTCCCTCTCTTATATCAATTTACATCTGTAATTAATTGATTTCAATAATAAGAACTAAAAAGGTGTTTCATTTTTATCAGTACATCAAGTTTTTTCCTTCCCCATCTCGTCGAAATTCAAATGATGCAACCATCTCCATTATCGGCAACATCAAATTTTTTCTTTCTATGATTCTGTTTATTCATCACCTTCATAATCAATTGCCATCTTGTTCATATTTAAATGAATCGTTTTCTATTTCTTGTCATGCATGTAAATTTTTTTCCTTTCCATTTTATTTTAAATAAACTTTTATTAATTTCTTTCGTTTTTAGATCTATCAACACACATATAAGAGTATCAATCATGCGTGAATACTACTTCTTATCGATCCAATAGTGTATGTTATCTTCCGTCTACTGAACTACGTCTTAGCATGATAAGAATTTGGTGCTGTTTTTTATTAAATTTATTTTTCTGCATTCTCAATCAAACAAACAAAAAAAGAATTCAAATCGATCATCTCTTGTAGTGTTTGTCTGTAATTTTATGCTGTTGTCTGCTATTAATATTCTTCTCGTGATTCATCGTGCACTGCAGGCGCACGGAAACGAATTAGTGAAGAAGCAATTGCGATAGTCTCAATGCTTTTTATGCAATAAATAAACGTCCAACAGATGTTGAAAAAGATCATCTAGTGATAGAATAGAATATAACAGTATAACGCAAGTGAATACATGATTAAATAATGCGCGCATGAAACTAGCAGAAAAATCACTTCAAAAACAAAAATTATTTTATTTTAAATGAACAAATCGTGTTACTTGTTCAACCAGAGCGTCTAGCCTTCTGTTTAATATAAACTTTTTTTGCTTCTTTTCTTTTTCTCTTTGTTTAATAAATGTCATTTTAACAAATAAAAAAGGGTGATCTTTAAAAAAGCAGACAGATTTTATTTATCATGTGTATTTAGTAAAAAAAATTCATTTGCATAATTACATACTCTTGTCAGAATTTTATGTTCGCTTAATATGTATGTGGATGTGTTCTTCTTTTTTTTACATGACATCAGATTCATATTGTATCAAGAACAGACAGTTGTGTGATTATGTATGGCTTACAATAATTCATTCTCTTCGCCTTCATCTGATAGTGACAGGTCACCGCACGCTCCAAGCAGTACCAGTGCTAGCAACCGTAAATGAGGTGGCTCCCTCCACTTGACTGCATTCTTTTCGCTTCTTTATTTTTTTGCACTGTACAATAAACGTTCAGGGGAGAGATTGCCCTATGCTCGAACTTTATGTCTAATAACACAGGAGAATAGAACATAAAGAAATGTTTCTGTTCTCTTTTTCTTCTCTTTCCCTCTCTCTCTCTCTCTCTCTCTCTCCGTCGCTCATTAGTAGTCATACATACAGGGAATGGGGCGAGACTATCATACTCTTGAACAATAACAATATAGTCGGACACAAATACTAAGATGAACTCATCTTGTTAAGTACGGGTAAGTATACTGACTGGACGTGTGTGTGTGTGTGTGTGCGCGTGATTGATTGACAGAGTGTGTTTGTTTGTATACGTATATCCTCACGTCAAAAACGTTTAAATTTTAATACCATCAATCTAAAAGAAAATAAATGAACTGATACCTATTTGCTTATTTGATAACCTTCTTTGTGGTAGTATAAAAATTTACTTTAGTACAACATATCATACACAAAAAGAGAAACAACGATCCAAGGAAAATAGGAAGAACAGTGATTGTTTCTTTTTTCTTCTTTTTACTTAAGATACACATACAGAAGAACAGTTTTCTTTTCTTTCTCCTTTCTTTTTTTTACTAAGTTAATCATACAGAGGAAAAACGAGTAAAATGTGTCGTCACAGATGGTGACAATAGAATTGTGTATGTTAAATCATGAAACAATAAAATGAACGCAAAAAAAGAAAACGACGATTTGTATGTTTATGCAAGGAAAATGGAGCTTAGAAATCTTCACATGAATGTATCGATTATGATAATCAGACTATTCTTTTTGTTGTATTATTAAAGACATATCAGGAACCAGAAAATCAATGATAAATAATTTTTTTGTTCACTGCTTCATTCTTTTAACATCATCATCGATAGTCTCATTTATTCTCACGTTTGTCATTTTTACAAGCGTATCGTTCAACAGTACCTATTACTTGACATACTAGATGCTATTTACACATTCACCATCATCCATTACTATTATACATGAACAGGAAGGACGTGCTCACCTATCAAATTCTTCTCAACTGTCGTTTTTCTCTTTTTGTTCTATTTATTTCGCGATTCAACGATCAGTAACAATCAATTTCGTATACATTATGCATATATATATATATATATATATATATACATTACACTTTCATCTTCGAAAAGCGTACAGATTCTTTTGAAACTATATTTGAGTGAACAAATCGAATAATAAAAGAGAAGAGAAGAGAAAAGGCATGAAAATGCAATTTTCAAGATGCAAGGACACCCCATTTTTTTTCAATTTCTTGTTATAATATACGAATTTGTCTGAGTGAATGGTTCGACTGGATTTTCTCTTGAAAGCATCTCTTCTTAACCTTCATAGTCCAGATGTTTAGCGACCTTTATTTTATCAATGATACTCGGATATTTGAAATCTGAGCCAATTGCTTCTATTCATTCTCTCTTCTCTTTACACTTTTTTGTTTGCATCAGTTTTTTTCTTCTTCTCGTCGTCACCATCATCATCTTTGAAAATGCGAAAAGTATGAGTCCATGTCGTTTTCTTTTCGTATATGAAATAATGATGCGGTCGATTTTCTTTTCTTTGCGTTCATATACACATCAGGAGAGAAAAGAAGAATTGTTGTTCAGTTCGTTTCAATCATTGCGGTCATCTCACATATAAAATGTCAAAGCACATAGGGAAAAAAAGAGGTATCGAATGAGAGAATAAGCAAACAGGGAACAAAAATTATTACGCGTCGATATGCATATGAATTCTACAGAATATTAATTCTAATTTTTATTTATCGAATGATTACATTTTTTTCCCTCTGTTGTCGATAAATGTGTATACCTATTGAGGAGTTTTCAATCATATTTTGACAGTCTAATCGGTGATTAAACCAATCAAAATTTCTTTTTTTCTTCTTCAAGGCCTATTTTTCTTCTCTTTTTCTTCTTCCATTTCTCTCGGCAACTTTGACCGGACGGACAATGATGAACGAAAAGAAAAATGCTTTCGTTCTCTATATGCAAAGGTCGAGGTATATTCATATGCATCGACCTAGTAGGGCATCGTCCATTTATATTCATGATGAAAAGAAGATCTTCATTTTCTTTTAGATGTGCAATGATTCAGTCAGATGTACAACATCGATACTTATTGATTCATTGTCTATTTCTATTTCTATTAATTAATTTATCTTCTACACAAGTATGTCAAACTGATATTCCGGATTTTTTCTATAATGTAAGTTTTGCTGGCCCTCTATTCGATCAAACTACTTATACAAGTTTACCAACATATTTCTCTGTTGGATCACCCATTGGAACAACTGTATTTACATTTAATGTTCAACCTCAAACAATCAATACACGTCCAAGTTTTGTTTCAACGGCAGTTACTGGACGTGCACTTAATCTAGTGGGCGGAATTATAACAGTAACATCAAGCAATCCTAGTTTTATTGTTACTACTTTATCAAATGGCTCCTATGCCCTTGTCACTAATACTACGTAAGTCATAAAGAAGGTTAAATACGTACGAATGAGAACAAAAAAGAATTGATGTTTTTTTTCTTCTCTTTCATTGATAGTCCATTAAATTACTTTTCACCTAATCATCGTTATTTATTTAATCTTATTGGAACTCAATCGTATTCAAATCGGCCACCAGTAAGTTCAACAGCAGTTGTTCAAATTAATTTAGTGAATGATAATGTTAATGCACCCATATTTCAACCGGCAAATCAAACATTTTCTATCAGTGAAACAGCTAGAATCGGTACAAGATTCGGTACAGTTTATGCAACTGATGCTGATAATGATGGGATAATTTATTCAATGAATAGTAATCAATTTTCCATTGATCCATCCACGGGTGTTTTACAATTACAACAAACATTTCAATCATCACCAAATGCACAATATTCTGTTGTAGTTACAGCTAGCGATGATGGTTCATCATGTTTACCGTTACAGCCTGCATGTCCACGGTTTTCGACATCAAAAACTATAACAATTTTTGTAACCGCTGTTAATAAACGATCACCACAATTTTTAAATCAAATATGTGGTTCGGTAGTTTCATTTTATGAAAGTAATCCCGTGGGTGCTAATATTACAACAATAGCCGTATTCGATGATGATAGAGGAGACAATGGACAAATTACAATATCATTTCCATCGGAACAATCGAGAACTACAGGTAAATTTTGATTTGAGTTCGTTTTGATTTTTGTGAAACAAAACTTTCGTTTTCTTTCAAAGAGAGCGGCTGGAGAAATACAGCCTATTCACAATTTTATATTCAACCATTATTACAAACATCTACTACTCGAACGGCTATATTACGAACGAATATATCATTTGATTATGATGCACCAGGTTAGAAAATTGAATCGACATGAGAATAGAAACAATAAGTTGTTGATAGTTATGGTTGAGTTATTAATTTTGTTCGAAATGAATTTTCATGTTAATATATGTTCAAGCGTTAGCGCTATCAACCATGAACAGGTCACTAACCTTTTGTTTTAGTTCACATTATCAATTCAACAATATATTGAACACCGTGTCCTTTTTTTCTTTGACCAATTCTAATAGATTGTTTGCAGGTTGAAATAAAAAAAAACATATTTGAATGATTACTTCGAGATAAATCAGTTTCCAGAACAAATATCAATCAATATATTCTATTGAATTCATAGTTTCTATGATCTGAAATGCAGTTGAACATTTAACCAATCTCAGCAGAGGACAAAAACGGACTACTACTTTAGAAAAAAAAAGAAGTGAAACCGATACTTGTGTTGAAGATATACGATACTTCGGTATTCTGTTACAAACACATAATACACATCTTAATAATGAAATCATAATTATTTGTTACTATTCGATTATGAATGATTCCAGTCGAACTCTACTGAAGTCTTATCTAAATCGATAGAATAGTTCGATGCATATCATCAAATGTTAATCAACGAATTGTATGTGTTGCACTATTGTGCAATAAAGTTCAATAGAGAATTACGAGATGAAAAAGAGAACACTTAAACTATTGACAAAAGTCAAGTAGGAATAATAAAAAAAGTGCATAGAAGTTATATTTGAATTATAATTGATTCTTTTCTTGAGTAAGAATTTAACCGAAAAAAGAATTCTAATTATAGGTGCTGTTCGAGTTTGGTATTTATTCTTATTAGCTATGGATAATGGAACACCACAACGACAATGTAACGATTTAATTCCGAATAATATTTCTGTTTTTTTCTATTGTCTTCTTTTTTTCTTCTAATTTTTAGCATTCTGTAGTTTACGCATTAATTTACTTGATTTGAATGATAATCCACCAGGTAATCTAGACGAATTTAATTGAAGATTTGTATGAATGATTTTTTTTCGTTCTTTTTCTTTTACCTTCTTAGTATTTATAATGACAACATGGAATTATACAATATATCGTTCAGCATTTGGCAATTCGAATAGTGCACGTTTTCTACGTATAATTGCATCGGATGCCGATTCAGGTTCAAATGGATTAATTAATTATTATATTGGAACAGTTAATGTTCCATATTTTACAATAAATCAAACAACTGGAACAATTATTCTTCGTAGTAGTGTACTCGGAGTATATGGTTTAGATGTTACTCAATTTCCAATAACATTTCAAGTTTACGCACAAGATCGTGGTTCACCACCACGAATAAGTGAAACAAATGCAACGGTAATAATGTATTATAATAATGGTAATGATCCACCACCAGCTCGGTGGGGTGATGCACGTTATGAAGAATTAAATTTTTCAATAAGAGAAAAATATTATGAAGTTAATCGAAATGCACCAGTATCTAATAGTACCTATGGTTTTAATGGAACTATTTTTTATCAATTAACGTCACAAACATCGTCGATTATGACTGTTAGTAGTCCATTTCCAAATACAAATATACCATTTAGTGATTTGCCAGTCGGAAGAAATGGTTTTACATTTAACAGTGGAATTGTAGTTACTAGGTATGAATGAGGATTTTAGTTATTTTGTTTTATACTGATATTTTAAAATCATGTACATATTTTGTGTCGACGAGACTGAACAAAAATTTTGAAGAATAATTCATAGACTGAATTTAGAAGATTCTAAGGCTCATCGTTACCCTATTGTTGTCTTGTAAATAAATATCGATCCAAATTTTCACTGTTAATGCAAACTCGAGATTTCATAATAACTCTTGTTTTAGTTGAAAATATGAATAAAATTCCTTTTCTCGATTGTTGTTAACCACAAGTAGCTAACTGTAGTACAAATATCAATGACAACAAACTTATATTCGGCAGACAAGTTTTACATGAGCATTTAATATATCGTTTTCAGCTCTGACAGATCCACAATCATTCATACATTCAATTGATAGCTATAATTTGAATTCTTGATATCGATATAGTATGCAGTATAAGATACGGGATATTACGTGTATAGATACTGTTTTTTTTTAAAATAAACGACCATGATTTTTTGTTGTTTAGGGGTCTTCATGCTGAAATTCAAATTGTTTATTTAATCTATATTCGTGTTCTTGTTAATCCTCCATTAATTGGTTCAACAACAATAACATTAGTCGATGAAAATGATCAAATACCTACATTTGATATTCGTTCAATTGTATTGAGTGTTGTTGAAAATGAAAGTGGAAATCGTGTCATCGCGCAAATTCAAGCGTTTGATCGTGATGTTGATTATCCGAATAATTTTGTTCAATATCGTTTAAACGGGCAATTGAGTGATGCAGAAGTGCCTCCCATTTTTTTTGTTGCAGCAAACGGCACAATATGGACAAACACAACATTCGATCGTGAAAGTAATAAAACACTCTATCGGTTGTTTATCACTGCTTACGATGGTGCACCAGCTTGGGATGCAACAAATAATGAACCAAATACACAAGATTTTCAATTTGATATTCAAGTCATTGATGTTAATGATGTTCCACCAGGTAAATATTTGATTAATTAAAAAAAAAACTATATTTGAAGTGATTGATTGATTGATTTAGTTTTTGTCAATTCATCATCGATAACACTGACAATCAATGAAACGGTAGCCAACGGTACTGGAGTTCTTAATTTAACCATCACTGATACTGATTTTGATACAATACTTGATTTTGGAATATTAAGTGGAAATATAAAAAATGTTTTTTCATTTAATTTACTATCAGATAACTTGGCTGATACAGCACGTACACAATATAGTGGAACAGGACAACTTTCTGTTGTTGGCCCATTAAGTTACACTACAACACCAAATTATACATTAGTTTTATTTGCATTTGATACACAGAATTTAGCAACAATAACAGTTACAGTTATTCTACTACAACAAAATATAAGACCACCGGTTTTTCTTTTAAAACCTGGTTTTTCAGCTTATGAATATCAAGTTCCTGAATCAACAGCTGTTTCTATTCTCAATGGACCTACTGTAAGATATGAATTTTTGATCTCAGGAAAAATTGAAGTCGATAGAGTTCGATACATATCTAGTCTTTATACTTCTTGTATAGTTAGACATCTTCATGTTCATAGATAATACTTCATTCCATGACTAACAGTAGAATACCTAGTTCGGATTTAAAACAAGATCAGAGAATAGAAATCAAATTTAGTATAATATTCTGTCGTTTCTATTCAAATAATCGGTATCATTAATTCACGTCAACATCCTAGGATTGAGCAATTTCAATAAACATTAATAAGAGAAATGAATGTCGAAGTTCTCTGTATGCTGCCATAACTCGATAGCAGTCGAATACTTAAAGATTATTCAATAATACTGAAATTTTATGTGCCATTAGATGACTATTTTTAAACATTAATTATTTGAAAAGCATTTATATATCTATAGATTTTGTCTTTTCTTTATTAAGATTCAAGCACTTGATTATGATCCATTACCGCCATCAATTGTCTATAATATAGTTACTACTAATAATAACTTAAATCTAAATACTTTATATTTAACTCAATCAAATAATGAAGCTACACTTGGTATTTCAGCACCTGGTCTATTACGTGATTTACCATTTGGCTATAATATATATAATTTTTCTATTCAAGCAACAGATCAAGGCGGAGCAGGTTTATCTAGTTATGCACCAGTTACTATTCAAGTTATCGATATAAATAATAATGGACCGATACCAACGGTAAAATAATTTCAAAGAAATTTCTTTTTCTTTTAATAATTTGAATTTTCTTTCTGATAATTTAGAACCCACCTTGGATTTTAACTGAAGGTGTACTAAATCCAACTACTAGTATTGTCTTCACCGATTATGATGATCCAACTCAAAATAATACAGTACCGTTTATTGTTCAAATCATTAGTCCAACAACATTTACACTTGTTGGTCCAACGGTAAATTATAATGGTACATATCAATTGATGTACAATGGTATTTTAAATCGTACAAGCACAAAAAATTTAACTGTTACATTTAATGGAACGGATGCTAGAGGTTTTTCTGCAGTAACTACAATATCAGTTATTGTTGGTGATGTTCTAAGCTCATCTCCAATATCGGATGGTTTTAAAACAATTAGAGTTGTCTATATTAATGGCTATATCAATTCATTAAAAAACACTCCACTTGGTTCAGTTTACGTTAATGATTTAGATGATTGGTTTCGTAGTACGGGTCGAACATATTCAGTTCGAAGTGTTAGTAATGGACAATTATTTAGTGCTGCACAAGGCGTCTTATCAACACCCGATCCACTTTATCCAGGATCTTATACAATACTTGTTGATGCAACAAAACCTATAGCAGCATCAACAGCAACAAGTACAATCGATCTTCAAGTTACAAGTGTCGATAGTGAATATGTTCGACAAGCAGCAACGATTCGTATTCAAGGTATTCTAGAGCACGAGAGATAGAAAGCTTGGAACTGAGCTCAATAGAAAGTAGTAGCGGAACAATATGTTCTATGTAGATCGTCATAATCATAAAGCTGTCTAAGAAGTCCATTTGAGTTCTTAGATGAATAAATCGGCTGACAGTACTTTGTTACTTTTCTAAATCTGATTTTTCTAAATGTTTAATTAATTTTATTATAGGCGAATATCCTGCAACATTAATCGATCCATCACTTGGTAATCGTATGAATACGCTTCGTACTGCACTCGAAACAATTTTACTTGCTTCATCTAATTCCATAATTATTCTTGCCATACGTTCTGTTTATCAGTATCGTAGTCCATATTATCCACCGTTGCCATTGGCTGTCGCTCAGCAACAAGCACTAACTGATGTCATTTTTTACGTACCATCAATGAATAAAAATGATATTGAAAATACATTAAATGCAAATCTTGGCCTATTTGCATCACGTTATGGTATAACAGCCACTGCAAGTGGGCCAAATCCATGTTCTGGTTATGTGTGTCCAACAGGTAAAATTGAATTTTGTTTTTCTAGACTTTTGATTATTTTAATTCTAATATATTTTTTAATTTATTTAGGTACAGTATGTCGACCAACACGAGCTATTCAATCATCACCTTACCCCATTGATACAAATCAAACATCATTTGTTGGTGTAAATGTTGTTGATTCAGCTGATTGTGTTAATGCAACATATGCAACAGTTTACACAAATACACAAGTTGGATGTTCAACAAATACATTCAACAATTTAACATATTGTCCTTGTACATCATTACAATCTTTAGCACCTCTTGGACCTTATTGTCAAGTACTTGGAAGATCATTTAATGAAAATGGTGGTGCATATGCTGTATATAGTGGAGCCACTTTTTCAAATCTTGCACCAACACGGTTTTCATTCGATTTTGCTATACAACCACCAATAGCCGATGGTTTAATTTTATTATATGGACGTAATACGACACCTGTCAATGACTTTTTCTGGACAGCTGTTGAAATTTATCAATCGCAATTAAGATTTCAATTTCGAGATACAATGCTCACTGTATCAGATATAACACTTAATGCATCAACGTGGTATCATGTTGAATATCAAGTAAAATTTTACCGAACTTAATTATGAGAAAAGCATGCGTACAAAGATCCCTGTCTTTTGAAATATTAGGATAAAACGACTTTCTCTATACATACGGTATATTTGATCATTAGGGAACTGACATTATAGTATAATAAATGCGGAAACATCGGATTCGCATCCGATTGTTATGTGTACTTCAAAACTGAGTCGATTTAGATATGTTGTGAATAATTCTGAGAAACATATTTTTGTTTTGAAAAAATCCTTGTAGCCCCTCTCATGGATAGTCCGGTCAATAATGACAATTTTTTCGATAACTCATCCATTTCTTGATGGATCCTTCTCATCTTCGAACTCGACTGAGATATTGATAAGATCATTCTGTGTACAAAATTTCATGACAATTGGATGAAGCTTTCAAGAGTTATCGTGTTAACGGCCGGGCACACTGACCAAATTTAGAGTGTACTCACTTTTTGAGTACACAAAAAGATTATTTTAATCAATATGATTGAATTTCAATACACAGAAATGATTTAAACTTCTTTACCACTACTTTTCTTATGGTTTAAACATAGTCTTTAAATGTATTATTGTTATTTTTTCGTATTTTAGTATGTTGATTCTACTATTCTTGTTTCAATCAATGATTGCAAATATACAACATCAGCTAATGCTACATTGAAAAATTATGATATCTCAAATGTTCAATTATATCTAGGTGGTTTACCAGTCACTGGTTCACTAGTATCTGGTCTTTATCCATCATTGACACAAGTCAATACATTTAGCGGGTGTATAAGAAATGTTTTATCGGGTGGCTATTATCTCGATATGAATTCTCCATTACTATCATCTAATTCAAATGCAGGACAATGCTCATGTTCATTAACAAATTCATGCCTTCTATCGCCATTAAAACGTGATTCCGCTAATATTATACCATGGTATACATGGTTAATTTTAGCATTAGTGTTATTATTATTATCAACAATTATTGCATTAGGATTATTAACATGCATCAGAAAACGACAACAATTGAAAGCATTAGCTGGATTATATCCAGATGATACAAGAGATAATATTATTGATTATAAGTAAGAAAAAGAAAATTTTCAAAGAGAATAGAATTTCGAATATTTGAAGTTATAGACGGAAGAAAATATCAGTAGGCATCAGTTCCATGGACTTATTTTAATTATTAAATGAACATTTGAATCTATAGGAAAAGTACTATCGTTGAAATATAGAATGATTTGCATTGACTTTTTCTGAGTGGCAAAGTATCTCTGTTAGACTAAGTCAAGAGTGTGCGTGGGAAAACGTGTCGAGAATTTTTTCTCTGATGAGACGAGAAAATAGAATGACGTACAAAATAGTGTCCATTCATTAAGCTTCATAGTTTACTTGATTGCATAGTTGACGTATCAAGATGATAGATAGACATTACTATTTTCGTCTATGTCTGTTTAACTTCAATGATCGTTTTTGATTCCCTATACTGAAGGAAAGAATGAAGTAAATTTGTCATGCACCGAAGAGGAATGTTCTCAAACATAACCAGGCATGGCTCCTATAAATTGATTCATTGGATGCTCCTATTTCAGAAAAGTAGCAAAGTCAAATACTGAAAACTTTTGTAATAAAATCAATGCCATTGAGAGTTATCTCTATAGCAAATCGCAAGTCGATCGATGTTTTAAAGTTGATTTATCTATCGATTTTGAGATAGAGCACAGTATTCATCTAAATAAACAACGCGATGCATATTGTGTCCAAAGCAACATACGCAAAATATATCAATTTATTTAATTATACATAATACAGAACGAACGTCTTAATACCTCGTAGTATTTCATCGGTTAAAAAGCTAATCAATGTTAATATTGACAAAAGAAATATATAGAATAATATTTCAATAGAATAGAATTGATAAATCCTAATCGTTTATTAAAAATTATACTTATTCGCTACTTTTCTTTTCTCTAGAGAAACTGCCGGCGAAGAAGATCATTCAACTTATAATCTAGGTGTATTAAAGAAACCGGTTTATGCATTAACAGACGAAGAAATTATAGCAAATGGTGGTCGATCTGGTTTACCTAATATGGGTAAGTCTATAATCAATATTCATTCCTTCTTATTGCTATGTTTTCTCTTTAAGGTTATACTGATACTATAACAAACCGTCGGCCAGCACTAGGTGATTATATAGATGAAAAATTAAATGAACAACAAGTAACGCCATATGCCAATGATACACAATTACATTATCGATACGAAGGTGAAGGTTCCATAGCATCAGATTTAAGCTCAATAGAATCAATACATTATCAAGATGAAAATGATTTTCGATTTCTTTATTCATGGGGGCCAAAATTCTCGCGATTAGCTGATCTATATGCTGGTGGTGTCGACTATGATGATCTTGACAACGCTTAATAAAAATCCATCTATTTATTATTCATTATGGGATTATTTAGAAATATTTTTGTTGCTCAATAATTTGTGTAGACTAGACATTTAAGAGAGAAATTGCCAATGTTTTTTTTTCGTATCTCTCTTTTTTTTCTCATTTACATGTTTCAGAAAAGAAGAAAATCAAAAATTTTTTATGTATATAAATTTGATCAGTTTTCTTTTTCTTATCTTTATTACGAATAATCGTACCTTTCTCTTCTTTTTGTGAGTGCGCATTCAGTTGTTTGGTTTCGTTCATTCTTTCTATATTTTTTACAATTTGTGTATTTGTTTGCGTGAAAGAACAAAATAATAAAACGCAACAGAATTTATTTAATCAGATTATGGTTGAACCTTGAAGATAATTAAAGAATTGACATTTAACATGTCTAAACAAAATATAAGACCAGCTATTTCAACTTTTTTCTTTTTTAGAGAATTTCGATTCTTTAAATTAAATAATTAGTAGAAAAAAAGCAGCATGTTCAGATATAATCAATCAAAAGAAAAGAAAAAAACTACACTAATAACATAACTATCAGTCAATCAAAAGAAATTATTAAACACGAAAGAAGACATGATCCTTTTCTTTTAAATTTCACTCCTCAACAATGAGTGTCAATGGTGTACCTTGACAACAGATGAGTTACACACACGTTGTTAACATAACCATTAAAAATAAAAATAAAAATAAAACAAACGTTTTAACAATGGCTTCCGATGATCGCAATGCTACTCCGAATCAAACTAATCCACTGGAAAGTACAACATCATCATTGAATAATACGAATAATTTCTTTGTAAAACGTTTCTATCAATTAAAATGCTTTATAATATCTTCTATTGATTAGAGTGATCCACAGGAACCTGCTAACAACGGATTCGATGAAGAACAGATTTTAGATGAAACTTCTCGAGAATGTAAGAGATTTGAAAATAGTATTTCAGTACTAGAAAAAAACGACGACGACAACAACAACAACAATAGATAAATTATAAATAAAATAAAAGATAACATAAACTAGTGCAATCGTTATCATGTATTATTTCTTTGTAGACCTCAAATATGGTTTTAAGAAAGTAGCGAAGAAAAATGATTTCATCCGTATTGAAGAACTAGGGGATGCCTTTCGTCAATCTGGACAAAATCCATCAGAAGATGTTGTCAAAGATATTATTGAAAAAGCTAGAGCTATTAAAAAGTTGAGTCAAGCTGCAATGAGTGACGATGGTTCGTATAGAAACAACTTTAATACAAATAATAATAATATTTTTATATAAGCAGATTTCAATGATCAAGTATCATATTCTGATTTTTTAACAATGGTTCATGAATATTGGTATCCAGTTGATCAAGATAGACAAAATTTAGAAGAAGCATTTGATGTTCTTGATCCTAAACATACAGCTAAACTATTGACTGATGATTTTGTTAGTTTATTAAAAAATTCCGATTGGCCAGAAGATGAGATCGATCTTATTCTATCACAAATTAATTGTGGTGATGGATATTTTCTTTATGACGGTAAAATTTTATTATTAATATTTTTATAATTTAACTTAGTTTTATTCTTAATAGATTTAATAAAATTACTTTTAACACCCGTTGAATTACCAAAGAAAAAATCAGCGCAACCAAAATCAAGTAGCAAGAAGAAAAGTGCGAAATAATTACAGCCACAAAACAATTAATGCTAATAATACTAAAGAAAAACTGTTGACAAGCGACGATTCTTTTTTTTCTGAAGTTTTTCTTTTATATGACACGATTGAGACAGCGTCTAGTCGAGGATGTAAAAAAATATAACACAATAAAAAAAAACGAGAGAGACAGAGAGAGAGAGAGAAAGAGAGAGAATCATAATATGATATCTCTATGATAAAAAGAATTTCTTTCTTCTTTTTGTTTTTCTACAAATACGGTTTGACTCTGTCGTTTTTCTCTTTCTTTGTCTAATGTTGAGCGATCTGACGTCTTCCAGTAGATGTCAATGAGCCGCAAACATCTATCATGAGAATATTGTTCCCAAAGACTTGGCCTATTCAAAATACCTATGAAGATCGTCATTATTATAACTGCCATCATTCTATACATGTTACCTCAGCAAACTATTTCAATCACAAGTGAGTAGACAAAAGTTGATTTCATTCGTATGATTCATGTAAACTGATCCAAGATCACGATCACTCGAATAATTTTCTGACCTTGCCGATTATTGTATGAATAAATCAAGACAGCAGACAACCTTGAGTATATCTGCACAATGACACTCCATGTATTGGTTTCTTTTCTATTTGTATTAGCAATATGTTTTACATATTAGAAATATTGTTTTCTCGGGCAAAAATGAACTTGGATATTTTTTAAAAGCTCTAGTTCTGATGTGAGAAGAATGTCAATTCGATCTAAAAAAAAAATATATATATATATATATATAGAATAGTATTAGTTAAAGCGTAACACCAACACAGCAGTTATTACTAGTGATTAACATATAAACCACTTCGAAGCTATTTGCTAGAAACGATTAATGTATTTTTAAAAAAACGAGGCAAGATAATGACATATGTCAATATAAATATATACATCACTCCTAACTAATATAATATCATCTTCACATGTAGCAGTACATAATAACTATTGAGAATTCCGATAACGCCAATGTGAAATCTATCATGCAAGATAAGTGATGAGAAAAGAGACACGAACCTTCAATTCTTGTCTATAGTTCTGATTGGAATGATTCGACTTAGTATATTGATATTATAGAATCAAATATTCATGAATCAGCCGTTAATCTAAGATAAATATCAGGGTACACAATTGTTTCATGAATCCATAATCGAATTTTTTACGAACGATAAAAGAAAAGGTTTATTGTATCCATATTTCCTAATTTTTGTTTTTATCTTTTTGTAAGAAAATATCAAATGTCAAATTCTTTTTCTGTGTAGAAATAGGTTATCATTGACGTGCCGTTGCAAATGTTTTCATAATCTAGACATGTAGAGCTATTATTGATCTCGGAGGTCATCGCTATTTTTATCGTTTCTAACAAATGCCTAAAATAAACATTTCTCAAAATGAAACACTTGAATACATCTGTCTTTTGATCAATTAATCGAACAGAATTCGATTATAATCCAAGGATAACATATCGATTTTTCACTCTTGATCGATTTTGAATTACACCAACAAATAGGCTTCAGCAGTGTCGGCGAATAAAAATGAGAAATATTGATTGATTTAGATGTGATTGATCGGAAACAATTTTTCTATGAAATTGTTATTCCAAAACCTTTATCTCTGTATCGGAAATCAGCTCAACAAAAAAAGTTCTCTGACGCAACTGTCATTTATCAAATCAATGGTTTTAATCAAACATTTGATTTGTCCTTGATTAAAGATGAAATACTTCTATCACCATCATTTATTACACAATATTATAATGAAAATCAAACATGGATCGATCGAGATGTCAATGATTGCTTTTATACAGGCTATGTTAATAGAAATCATTTGTCAAATATATCGGTTAGTTTATGTAATGGTTTGGTAAGAAATAACTTCAAAAGTAATTGTTTGCTATCAAAAGTCTAATTACTTTTTGTAGTTTGGAACATTTATCTATCATGATATAGAATACTTTATTGAACCGAATTACTCTAGAAATAGTAGTTCATGGAATTTTGAGCATTTATTATACACACATAAAGACTTGTCAGTATCAAAGAAGTCGATTGTTCGTTGTTCTGTAAACGGTAAGTTGTGATCTAGTTTTTCTAAATTCATTGTTTGAAACGTTTTGTCGTTAGGCAAACCTTATTTCGAAGAACAGACAGATCTTCATTATTATCAATTACGAAATCTTTCTTCGTCTAGAAAGAAACGTCAACATGATTCTGATTCAATGGCAAAACATGTTGAAATACTTGTTGCTTATGATGAATCCATAAAAGAATTTCATTCTGATGTAGATATTAAAGCATATATTCTCGCTTTATTTAGTTATGTAAGTCTTATCAAAATTAGAGACGAAAACAAAAGCATTGTCTAACAGTGATTTTTGTTTCACAGGTTTCACATTTATATTCCGATGCAAGTATTGGAAATAATATAAAAATATGGCTTGTGAAATTAATTGAATTAGGAAAAGATTCAAGTGTAATGAATGAAACAAAAAACTGAATATTTTAATTTTCTAATTGATTTAATTTTCTACTATTCATTAGAATTATATTGAATCGACTAGTGATGCAACTGATATATTAAATAGATTTTGTGCATGGCAACGAGAATACAATATACCAGAAACATACGATGCAGCAGTTCTTCTAACAAGGTATTAACATTAAGAAAAATGTATGTTATAGTCTTTCATAAGTTTCTAGTAAACTATAACCCACACCTCATGTTGCAGTATGAGATTTAAAAATTTGGACTTATAAAGACTGTGACAGATGTTATTGATATACAATCAAAGACCGTATGTCAATAACGTCTGGTTATAATAAGAAACGGTCGACTTTCTTCTTCCATTTCTGAAAGATAATGTAAACCGATGGTAGAGACATTGGTTTCCAAATCGATCGGATAAAAATATCTACTATTAATCGCAATTCAGAAAATTCAACATGAAGAAAAAAGAAGGATTTCAGTTTTTCTTACAGATTAATCTAAGACTCATGCTTTAGGAAACCTTACGAAATGAAAGACCGTGCGGTTACGCGTGAATATTAAAATTCAATCGGGATGCGATAATGAGTGTTTTTTTTTGTCTAATTCAGGATACAATTATGTAATAAACATGCTGAACATTTTACCAATAGTAAGTGTGATACATTGGGTTTGACAGAATTAGGTACAATGTGTAATGTAACATCAAAATGTGCTGTTGTACGTGATAATGGTTTTACAACTGCGTTTACAATTGCTCATGAAATTGCTCATCTGTAAGAAAAAAGAATGGAAAAAAGAGAACGTTCGCAGTATTTGTGTGTTTCTAATTTTTGTTGCATAGAATTGGTATTCGCCATGATAATGATAAAATCTGTTTGGATTTAAATAGTGAACAAAATATAATGGCTCCTTCATTGACGTTCAATCATAATCATTATAAATGGTCCAATTGTAGTAGACATTATTTTACTCAATATCTTGAGTAAGTCAACTGCTTCTAATGAGATCACTTGACGAAACTTAGCACTAAATATAGAATATGAAATTTTGGCTTTAATCTTCTTTCAAACGAGCCGTATCAAGCGATGGATGCAATAGTGAATAAATAGAGCGTTTGATTAAAACGTTGAAAGTTGATCCATTGAGTGAAACCGAATAGGATGATATGTTTGACATTCACATAAGAATAGGAAAAAAAGTAATGATTGTGAGATTTATTAGTTTCGAGGTCAAACGATATACTTTAACTTTTGATACAAAAATCAGTGAAGAATAAATGGGGAAACTTCGGATTTCATCCGAGAGCTATGTGTACTGCAAAAAATGTATGCGACATATGAGTCATTCTAGAATGCCTGAACACGAAAATTATCATGAGAAACTAGACAATTTGATTTCTGGATGGAGTTTTTGTGAATTTTGAGACGTTTTTCAGGCGATGTTTCGTTAGAAAGCTATGACTTAGTTCAAAACTAATATCAGATTTAGAATCAGCGTTAAAAACTGAGTCGATTTATATATGTTGTGAATAATTCTGAGAAAATTTTTTTTTTGAAAAATCCCTGTACTCCCCCTCAGGGATGGTCTGATCAAAAATGACAATTTTTTCGACAACTCAGCCATTTCTTGACGGATCCTTCTCATCTTCGAACTCGACCTAGATATTGATAAGCCAATTCTGTGCACAAAATTTCAGCTCAATCGAATGTAATTGTGAAGAGTTATCGAATAAACGGACGGACACACTGACCGATTCTATAGTGTACTCTTTTTTTTTTTTGAGTACACAAAAATGAATTCATATAGGCTCGGACAAGTATTGTTTGGATTGCTTAGTCGATCGAGTAGTACTAAAAACAAAAAATTCATGTTCTTGTCAAACAAACTGAAATCGAAAGAATCGAAAGGGCTGATAATTCAACATAGGTATATTTTTCTGGGAGAAAAGTAAAAATTCCATACTGAAGTGTTGCTATAAAAGAGAACTTATGGGAACGCTATGCTAACCATGAGCATTAAACTGTTGTTTTTTTTGTAATAATTTAAAGGTCTGATCGATATTCATGCTTAAATAATGTTCCAAGCCAAAGCTCAATAGCATTTGAAGAATTTAATAATGAACAAAACGTTGGCGCCCTACCTGGTCGCTTCAATGATCTTGATGAACAATGTCGTCGAGCATTTGGCCTTCATTTTGAATATTGTAAAGATCTAAGTCATGGTGTAAATAGACTTTTGCTTTTGCTTTTGAATGAAACCATCTGGGAAAACTTTTCTTTTTTATTAGCCAAAATGTATACGCCTTTATTGTCGTGAGATATTATTGAATTCATCATCATGCATTACTAATCATGCTCATTGGACTGATGGTACTCGATGTTCAGAATCGAGAACTGAAATTAAAGTAGACACTAGCCAAATAAGTTTGCAGATCATAGATGTATCGCTTTTTTTTATTCTTCTAATAGCAATGTCTACGTGGTCAATGTCGAGGTATACAAGATTTCGAAGTAATTAATGGGAGTTGGAGTGAATGGTCATTGTGGTCACCGTGTACGCGTACTTGTGGAAGTGCAATACAAAAATCACAACGATTTTGTGATAATCCAAAGTAATTATTAAAATTCTTTTATGAAAACTGAACAAGACTATTTTTAAATTTGAAAATAATCATATAATTAATTTTTTCATAGGCCAGAAAATGGTGGCCAATATTGTTCGGGTCAATCTACTCGCATACGATCATGTGAACATAATTTAGTGAATATTACATATAATTTAATATTCTAAATTTTTCGTTCTGTTTCGTTTTTAGCCTTGTCTAGATTCTGTTGATATGTTACGTCAACGGCAATGTGCTAAATATAATAATCGTATGATCGATCCAACATTACCCATCGGTGTACGTTTCGAACCAAAATATAACGGTAAATATCATAGATTCTTATACAAATCTTTAAAATGTTTTCCAACTTAAAATGAAAGATAATCGAACAATATAACACATCTTGAATTCGAATAGTTGTCGAGAGTTCACTATTTGTTTTTTAACATTTAAAGTAAAATTTAAATTTAGTTTTACCAAGTGAGCGATGCAAATTAATTTGTAAAGTATCCGATGACTATCTTGAACGATCATTCATCTTCGGCGATCGTGTTAATGATGGTACACCATGTGAACGTGAAGATGAAACTCGAGATATTTGTATAAATGGTATTTGTATACCGTTTGGCTGTGACTATAGATATGGATCCAATGCAACCGAAGACGCTTGTGGTGTATGTAATGGTCAAAATCGTACGTGCAAATCTGTAAAAGGACAGAAAATTGTTTCAAATTTTGGTTTGTCATTAAATTTGACTTTTGGTTTTTTTGATTTGATTGTTTTTTCAAGGCATAGCAAGTATTATTAATATACCGATCAATACCACACGTGTTAATATAAGGCTAATCTCATCAAAACAAGATCAATGTTATTTAGCAGTTAAACATATCAATGGAAATTATATTCTTAATGGATTACATAATCTACAATTGTCTAATGTTAAAATTTCTATTGATAATTCAAGACTTTTCTATAGTGGATCTGATTCTAGTAATGAAAGTATTTCAATAGTAGGACATCTGAAAAGTCCACTAGAAATTCAAGTTATCTCAATTTATCAATCGCATTCACCGTCAACACTAGTTCATTGGGAATACTACGTTCCATTGGATGAAAAAGAGTTAGTTCGTCAAAAGGGAAGTTATTCATTAGATTATCATTGCGATCGGCCATGTCAAGGTTATAAACACGTGAAAAAATGTATTTTACATGAACGAGAATATGATTTAGTTTACTGTTTACTTTTTAATATATCATTTACTTACACAAAGGAGTCATGTCATGATCATTGTACACTAAGTTGGACTGCAAAATACCAACAAACTTGTTCAAGACGATGTGGTAATGGTTATAAACGTGTCCTATATGAATGTGTAAAAACAAGTTTTAGTGTGCAATCAATGGATGAAAGTATCTGTAGAAAATATGTTGGAGAAAAGCCAAAAGATATTGTGCCATGTGTTGGAGATTGTACGAGAATAGGATGGGCCTATGGAAATTGGAGTGAAGTATGTGAACTTTGGTTTTTTTCTTGACATTGAATTTTATAATGTTCAATAATTTTATTTATTTTTGAAGTGCTACTATGATGAATACTGTAAACGTCAACGATCAGCTGAATGTCGAAATTCATCGAATCTATTGATATCGGACGATTATTGTATATCAGACTTTAGATTTAATGTTGAACGATGCGCTGAAGCAGCCTGTGAACCGTCAAGATGGAATTTTACTGCATGGTCTGATGTATGTTTTTCTATGATACTGAAACCATTCTTTATCAGTGTTGAGAGATGGTCGATCTTTTCTTTTTCTCATTTTCTTTTATAGAAACTATGGAGCGATTAAGTTTTTTGAATTCGAGCTCGATTTGAAAAGAAAATATTCCACCGATAAAATGATTGCGACGTAGATTTCTAATAGTTATTTACTTGATGGGAAAAAACTAGGGAAAAGAAATGAAGACGAATTTTCAAGTTCAATAAATGAGCGTCTTTCTAGTGCGACTGCCAGTCGAAGCTTCGCCGGCGAAATATCGTTTGTGTTCGTCATGGTAAGCAAGTGGATGATCGGCATTGTTTACATGAACCTAAACCAGATAAAACCAGTTCGTGTTTTCATGAATGTTTTACACCATATTGGCAAACATACTCATGGCAGCCAGTAAATATTTGTCTTCGTTCGAATTACTATTTACATAATTTGTTTATATTAGTGTTCGGCGACATGTTCATCACATAAAGGAATTCGTTATCGTCGTATCGTTTGTTCGCATTATGGTTTAATTATAGAAGATAATTATTGTGATCGACACTTAAAACCTATTGAGCAAGAATCATGTACAACAAATCTTTCCTGTTTGACATGGTTTACAGGCGAATGGTCGTCTGTAAATATGAACTAACATAACATATTTTAACTATTCTTAGTTTTTTCTCCTCGTAGTGCTCAGTTACATGTGGTCAAGGCATTCAACAACGTACAGTTTATTGTCACGATCCATCACGTCCACGGTTGCGCGTATCCGATAGTGAATGTCTAAGTCTTGCAAATGAAAATAGCAAACCTTATGAACAACAAAATTGTTCTAGTACATCATGTCCTTATTGGAAAATAAATCAGTGGAATAATTGCTCAGGTAAATGCGGTTTAGCAAAACGTTATCGAACTGTATTATGTTTACATAATGGACTTACAATTGATGATGAGCATTGTTTACAAGTTTCTAATGAAAAACCTTCAACGATAGAAACGTGTAATTCACAACTTTATTGTCCTCATTGGACAACAAATCTATGGTCTGATGTAAGTTTCGATTGTTTTTCTTTCATCTTTTATTTATATTACTCTATAATTAGTGTTCGGTAACATGTGGAATTGGATTTCAATATCGTTCCGTTTCCTGTAAAAATCAATATGAAATAGTTTCAGAGACGGAATGTAATCATCTTGATAGGCCACTAGTAATAAAACAGTGCTATATGATTGCTTGCCAGAATTTTACATCGATATGGATCACAAGTAATTGGACATCGGTAAGATTCTCAGTGCAGTAAAAAACAAATAGAAATCATATTACAATTTCATTGCAGTGCAATCTTCAAACTTGTACACAAATGAGAACAGTTACATGTGTTAATGCAACAGATAGACGAAACTTTTCAATGTCCGAATACACACAGAATTATGTTCAACCGTTAGCTAATCGCATCTGTCCAATATCATATTGCTTAGAATGGCGTGTTGCTCATTGGCATGGTGTAAGTCGATTAGATAAAGATCGAATCGTAGAGAAAAACTCTTATTTAGTGTCCAATCAAATGTGGTGTTGGTATTGAATATGGCTCAGGTTTTCATTGTTATACTCGTCAAATGCCGATAAGAAAGTTAAATACTATAGAATGTGAATTAGTTGAACCACAATTAGCCAAGCCAATATTAAACCGAATCTGTCGGAGAAATTGCATTGAATGGAGAACAAATGAATTGAATGGGGTAACTATGTTGACTTTTAATGCGAATCTACTTAGATACTCACTTGAAACCCACAAAGTGAGCACATGTGACTGTAGACACATTCGAATTCATGTAGAGATCGAAGACTTGCATGCTTTATTAGTGTTGTCTTAATGACCGAAGACAAGAAATTCGTAATCACACAGATCTTTTATAATAATGTTTTAGAGCGTTTTCTCGGAATAAATGAAGTATAGTGTTTTCATCACAAAATATACTCGTTAAGTGAAGTACCATCACTATTTACATTCTTCAAGAAAACAAAGTGCCCCCTTGAAAGTGTTTTTTACACCTGATATTCACCTGTAGTTTGTAACAGATTTTGTGACGTGGTAAATTATATATTAGTATTCATTATTTCTTCATAAAATTTCTATCGATTACTTTTTTTCTAGGTTGTGTTATACAATAATTCATCGAAAAAATGTTTTTCATCATTATATTCATTGGTAATTGTTTTTATTTCAATGTATCCTTCAATCCATAATTATTTTGATATTAATGTTTTTCATTGAAAAACATTTCATTGAAAATGTTTTTTTCTTCGATCCTAAGAGTAGTTTTGTAAAAGAATTGAACGTTCAGCAGAAGTTCTTAAGCATCCCACAAAGTTTTCAATGTAAAATATAAAAATTCTCTTATTTTTCTTGTCAGATTCTTTTTGTAATACAAGCATAGGTAAATATTTATTAGAATTCTTTTTTTTTTATCATCTTTCTCTCACATAGAGATTGATCTTTGTATTAATGTGCGTCTACTTTCTGTACATTTATTTTATGAAAATAGACCTTGCTTATATTTATTGTTATTTTTGTTGTTGTAATGAGATTTATACAGTGTCATCTTGATAATTTGTATTTGAAGACGATGCTGATGCTTCTGTGGCATTTCTAAATTGTGTTAGCTGATTAAATAGAGAACGAAATTCATCTTTAGACAATTTTCCATCACCATTTGCATCAGCTGATTTAAGCATAGCTTTAGCTTGTTTATCAGTTAATCGTTCACCAAGTTCTTTCATTGTTTTTTTAATTTCTTTAGCTGTTATAAAGCCGTCGCAGTTTTTATCAAATGCATTGAATGTTTCTTGAAAATATGCATCGGCTGTAGGTGAACCATGTTGTTGTATTATTTGACAAAATTCATCAAATGTTATATCCTCACGATCTTGAAATGAATCTTTTAATTTAGTTTCATCCATAGGCATTTGTAATTTGTGACAAACAGATCGAAACTAAAAATAAAAGAGAATTCAACTTTGCATGAAATCATTGAATTTACTTCATCGAAACTAATCGAGCCATCTTTGTTTGTATCGAATAATTGAAATGCATCAAGCAATTGAGTCAAATTGACATTATGATCGCACATTATTTTTTATTTAATTACCTTTCTTTTAGATGAAAAAGGAGAAAGAAATTCAAAATTCATTGATTTATGAATTTACCTTGGAAGGGAAAGAGTTATTTTTCTATTGAGGCTGAATTGTTCTTTAGTAACAAGCACTAATTATATTGAGTTTAATGCAAGTTTGGTCTTTAAATAGTAACTGTCTATGGGGAAAATGTTTCCTCTAAAACACAATACATCACCCAAATGGGCTGGCCATTTGTGTTCATTTTAATGCTTTTTCATCGTCTGTCATCTTACCTGTCTGCGTCAGCAACTGCTTCTATATTGTTCTGTATAATGTAAATAGAAGAAATGAATACAAACGATTTATTGACGAAGAAACCTTTTTTCAGCGTGTACATTCTCCTTTACATGAAGTTAAGCAACCAAACAAGTGCATTACTTAAGGTGTGTCTGCATCGCTCTAGTGTACATAAGAAAAAAAGATTCTTTTTCATTATTCGATGACGCACAACGCTGAGAGAAGTGACTTTCAAGTGAATCTGTGACAATCGATAGTGCAAAGATCGGGATATTAATTTAAAAATTTGTTTTTCAGTTTTGTATTGGTGAACAGGGTTCCTCTAGTTCTCGAAAATGATGTGCTTGGTTGAAAGCATCACATATTACTTCGTTACAAAATGGCAAGGCAAATTTGAGTAGGCTAAAAATTTGACACAATAGTTTTTTCTATTTTGATTATTTCTATAAACAGTATTATTTCATATCATGAAGGAAAGCAACAGAGTGCCACTTTGCTTTTTCGATTTCATGACACAAATGAATTACAAAATAATTCAAAAATGTAACGTAATCAGAGTCTGCCATTGGTAATTAGGGTCTGCCATTAGTAATCAGAGTCTGTCATAGGAAATCAGGGTCTATCAGGGCCTAACAGGATCTACCAGGATTTATCAGGGCCTGTCAGGGTCTACTAGCGTCTACTAGGGTCTACTAAGGTCCTAAAAAGATGTGAACTGTGATATATGTGTTCTCGCTGTGTACACCCTTCATCACACCCACACCCAAAATGAGTAGCTATCTAATTCGAGTTCGAATATAAATGGAGAAAAGAAAAAGTTGAACTAAAAATAAATCTAGGAACAGATTTAGTTTTAGTTTTATATATAGTTTAAGATGGAGTGGGTGTGGGTTGAGGGGGACTAAGGAGTAACTGTAGGCAGCGGTGCGAGTGAGGGGGTGGATAGGAGGGGTACCCAGTGTACTTTAAATGTGGTTGTGGGTGATAGATACCATGGAGTAGTGCTCAAATGTGGGTGTGGGTGTGGGTGAGGGGTACCCGGAAGGGGTGCAGAGGGGTATCCGGGATACTTCAAATATGAGTGTGGGTGATGGATACCATGGAGGAGTGCTCAAAAGTGGATGCGGGTGGAGGGTATATATGTATTCATATGTCGCATATATCGTAAAGTTAAACTAAAACTAAATCTAGGAATAGATTTAGTTTTAGTTTAACTTTTTATTTTCTCCATTTATATTCGAACTCGAATTAGACAGCTACTCTTACTTTCTACGTATAATTTCAAGCTCTCAACATATATAACATGCTTGCTTCCTACCTATAGTTTCAAATTCTCTGCAGATGCCAACAATACGCTGTGATTGTGAAATTTAGAATTATGATCTCCAAATCGTATATCAGTTGTTCAGCTGTGTGCTCGGTTATCAATTTCTTGTGAGATCGTATAGGTAACATAGTGTAACTTCGATTATAAAATCAAAAAGTTTGATGAGAAAGTCGCGTACTAGAAATTTAGTTGTTAGTACATTTAGAAATCGTTTCAGGCGAATTGAATAAGAATTATTCACTTCTTAGTGCATTTTTGCGTCAAGAGCAGAAAAATGGAGGTAAGCGCAAAGTTTTCTTTAGATTATATTTCTTTTTAACTGCTGACTCAAAACTGTGTATGAAATAGTTATCCTGGAAGAATATTTGACATAAGACTCTAGAAGCTGCTTCTGGTTTCATATCTTCATCGTCACTAAGTTTTACTGCTTCTTTTTTTTATATTCTCCATTACGATAGAAGTCTAGAACGCATTATAACTTTATTGTTCGTGATATTGTTGCTCTCAAGTGGCAGAATTTCGCATTGTAAATCTAATTGAAAAACTGTAAGGACAGAGAGAATGCTATCAGAATATAGCATAGTAAAAGTATATGACTTATGTTGGTACAAAAGGGTTGTTCGCTATTCGCTATATGATGTAGATAGCGTGTTATCAAAACATCGGCATTTAAACTAAGAGAAAAAATTAATTAAATGTTACCAAACAAATAAGATGTGTATTCGCCAATATATATATATTCGGCATTATATTTTTTTTCTTTGAGAAGTTTTATGCTTCTTTGTTAAAGAGAAAGTTAAGGCTTATATACGGAGAAGATGACCCCTTCTTAATTTATTTGCACATGCGTAGTACGACACAAATGGGGAGAAAAACGATGATAATATCGCATTTGTTTCGATCTTGATAAAAACCAAAATTTAAACCAATTGATTAAAGAATGAGAAAAAGAAATAACGAAAGAGTAAAGAAGGACAAAATCATGGGTGATATAACAGAAAACAATAAAGTTCTGTTCTCGTTTTCACTTATTCTATATTATTCGGTACGTTCCCTAGGTGATCTTTTTGTTCATGTTTGACCTGCGCACACCTTACGATTTACCCATAGCGCATCATTTTCTTATTCAAGAATCTCCAGAAAGTTATGCGCATGGCAGAAAAAAGATTCGATTCTGAGAGTAATTGGAACTCAAAACTATCCTTTTGTTGTACATATGTTCTTCTTTCGCATCGGCAAGTCTCAAGATTTCATCATCCTTAACGCATTACTTTCTTGCAACACATTCGCAAGCGGTTCGTACGCAATCGAAAGATGTTCGTGTGGAGTTCTCTTTGCAATTAGATAATGTTCTTCGGTAAGTTCTCTTTCATCTCATACATGCTAGTAACGCTTGTCGGTGCATCTCGCTCAACTCTCGACTGTATCTGACCCACACTACATAAAAAATGCAGAAAACTATACTCTTTGAGATTGATGAAAGTACAACCTATAATCAATCGTTGTTATCGCATGTAAAAATTTTCATCAAACCTTCAAGGATTTATTATTCCAGAAGTTTATTTATAGTGTAGTCATGCTTTGCCATTGCTTCTTGCATTCCATGTTGAGAACTGTGCGAGAAAGGTCATGCATCGAGCGAACAACTACAGAATATAGTTAGTAATTACTACTCTACAGCTTGACAAGACCTTATTGTTTTCGTTTATAATACAATAAAGAAATGTTCAACACCCAGGTCGAACTCGTACGGCGGGAAACTACAGGAAAACACCAGAAATCACTGGAACACTGAAGCAGCAGTATTCCGACCGGAAAGTTTCGGAAATTCTCCTGTAAAATCCCAGCGATTTCGTGTGCTTTCAGGCAGGAACCGATTGGAAAATCACTGGGAAACAACTGAAAATTTTCGGCTGGAATACTGCTTCCGATTCCCACGATTTCCAGTGTTTTCCTGCAGAATACGGTGGTTTTCCCCGCATTTTCCTGCCGCTTCCCGCAGCATCCGCTCGCCGAAATCATTGACCTGGGTGCAAACACGCGTCTGTTGTCCTTTGCCTGTTCCTCAGGCCGTTACTTCTTATCACCCCTCTTCCACATGATCACGCTATAAGATCTATATGTACTGCATCATCATGCGCCGATCACCTTGCAATGATATCGAAGATATTTGTGATTATCTTCGTAGCATGCACATGTTTGCTATCAAGCTGTCTACAGTGCATAACATAAGACAGCAGACAAAGGCGAAACAGTTCAGTCCGTATTACTGCATGAACAGTAGATGAGGGTTCTGATATGTGAGCTAGTTATTCACTCTATTTCAGTTCAAGGTAAAGGTCTTCTCATATCTCGCTCCATTTCTTTGAGACATTGCCATATTGAGGGTTTGTTCGATTTGGTAATTTTTTTCGTCAAAATATTTTGAGTCAATTGAAGAATTTCTACGTTTTCAAGGACATTATATTTCCGAAAAAATAATCCGACACGCTGAAAAATCCTTGGACAGATAATTAGGCTATCTCATACTTCAATTTTGAGAAAATTCACAACTTATTGTACATTTAACAATGATTCTATTGATTCTGAAACTTCAAGTAGGAAAACGGTATATTCTCTTTCACTCTAACCGAGATATATTGATTAAAACTGCGCTGTGAATGTCCTGTCTGAAGAGTTTTCAACAAAACCTTCGAAATGTAGAAACTGTTTGTCTTGTAATATATGTTGTACTTTTGCGCAAGCTAAAACCCTGCTAATTACATGACGCACAACTCATATTATTGATTTCTTCATACCTGTAAATTATGGTGTATTAAAAAAAAATATCGTTTGCTCAGTAGAACAACCATCTCGTTCTACATTAGTTTTCTTCTCAAAAAAGAAAAGTATTATACATCAGAGTTGACTGATGCAACGTTCTTCTTACAGTGTATTCATGAGAACAAGACAGCGAGCCAATTCGCAGAGCAGTAGGTAGTCGTTCGTCGGCGCCACTCATGACTAGCCGCTGCTACAATCCAGTAAACTCTTCGAAAGGGATACCATTGCCGATTTACAGTGGGTTCAATGGGGTAGGAGTATGCATGAAGTCACTATCGGTCGAGTCAGACGAAATTTCGAAGGTTAGCGCTGATTACTCTCATGTTAGTTTTAGATATTTTCAGGGGCGATCTCCAGCTAAGAGAAAATGCTTTGAGCAACTATCACGCATCGGGGGAAATATTTATGGCCAACTAACTATGATTACGTGGAGAATAGACGTTGTAACGTACATGCGATAGCATACACTCGTTACTAACATCTGTAATAGTAAAAATATACCATACAGTCGTAACTATGGATTATAGTAATGAAAACGACAGATTTTGAAGAGTAATTAGATACTAAATCCTAATTATAATGATATATAATTAGTGAAGCTAGATTTTAATTACTGATATGAGTAGTGGTGAACACAGGTAATTGATCTATACCAAAATTTTTATCTAATTAGCGCACCTAAAGTGTTACTTTTTTCATGTTTTATGTCTGTAATGGGGAGGGGGTACAGGAGAGTCGCAAAAACCTTACACTTCAACTTACACTCACTATTTTCTTCGAAAATATATGTGAATTCCACCAAACAGGAATGTAAGAATCGATCTAAAGTAATTCAGCAGCGTTGATTGCTAACCAACGGTCAGTAACACTCTGACCAAACTCTAAAGAAGGGTGTTCACTATAGAGAGAGATTCAATTCTAGCCAAAATCACAACACGAGACTGAGAAAAACCCGTTCATTGAACGGAGGTGTCCACTATGGAATGCTTTACTGTAGTAGTTTTACCGGGTCATTTTCAAAAGAGATACTTTTTTAGTAAAGATCTCCTGTATTTTGGTGAGTACAGTTATTAGAACTATTTTATGATTATCTTATCATTCCACAGCTACTTGAAGTTTTCTGTGAGTACTTAGGACTTCGTGTAAAAGAATAAAATTCAAACGTTCGTGATCCGAATCACGTTCTAATGATTTAATCTGAGCAAAGGGCCTGTTAAAAAAGTGAAAACAAACTCATAATTACAATCTTTATCGTGTTTGTGAAAAAGAAAATCGTTTTTTTAATTAATCTAAAGCAAACAAGGGGTTAGCAAAAACAAATTTCAAGTATTCATAATTGAAGCGGTGTTATAATTTTATTAGAATCTATTATATTAAGCGAAGAGAAAATATTAGATGTTTGACGCTGGATGCTGCAATCGCTTGTAATCGAGATGACAGTAGATACTTGATTNGACCAAACTCTAAAGAAGGGTGTTCACTATAGAGAGAGATTCAATTCTAGCCAAAATCACAACACGAGACTGAGAAAAACCCGTTCATTGAACGGAGGTGTCCACTATGGAATGCTTTTCTGTAGTAGTTTTACCGGGTCATTTTCAAAAGAGATACTTTTTTAGTAAAGATCTCCTGTATTTTGGTGAGTACAGTTATTAGAAATATTTTATGATTAACTAATTACTCCACGGCTACTTGAAGTTGTCTGTGAGTACTTAGGACTTCGTGTAAAAGAATAAAATTCAAATATTCACGATTCGAATCACGTTCTAATGATTTAATCTGAGTAAAGGGCCTGTTAAAAAAGTGAAAAAAAATCATAATTACAATCTTTATTGTGTTTTTGAAAAAGAAAATCGTTTTTTTAATTAATCTAAACCAAACAAGGGGTTAGTAAAAACAAATTTCAAGTTTGCATAATTGCAGCGGTGTCATAGTTTTATTAGAATCTATTATATTAAGCGAAGAGAAAATATTAGATATTTGACGCTGGATGCTGCAATCGCTTGTAATCGAGACGACAGTAGATACTTGGTTCTAATCTTGTGGTTAGTTTCAGTAGAGACGGTAGATAAATATCTGATATCTGTTATCTTCTGAGAATTTGAAACTATAGGTACGAAGTGAGCGTGTTATATATGTTGAGAATTTGAAATCACACCTAGACAGTAAATATCTGATGTCTGGTATCGGCTGAGAGTTTGAAATTATAGGGTACTAGCTTCTAATGGAATTCGTTATTTTTATCGATTTCAGATTCGCAGAATTTTTCAAACTTTTGCGCTTTGAAAATTTGAAATTGAGAAAATTTTGAGACGCTTATACTAAAATTAGTAACAGTTTAAGATTTGGCACTGTATGATAGCATTTGTAGAGTATTGTTTTGTTGAAATACAAATATAATAGATAATCAAAATAAGAATCACAGAGTTCTTTAATATACTTGTTTATCAATTTATATCGACATCTGTTGCATTCAAGTATGAATGGGAGTGGCAAGTAATCAATAACATTTGTTTTTTATTTTCAGAAACAAAGAAAGAAAGCTGTAATCGAAAATATTTAATCTCATAGTAATAATAATACATCTGAATAATTTACTTCTGTTAGGGCTTTCTGAAAATCTACCGATGACATAACTGTGTGAATAAATTCTTAAGTTTATCATTTTGCTAGTCATATAGATAGATGGATTTGACGCATTTCATTTCGCACGCAGTAATTTGATTCTTCCAGTAATCATTTGAAAATGTTCTATATTTACCTAATATGGTAAACGAACAGGAGAAGGGAGAAAATTTTTTTTTTCTGAAAGCATGCATTTAGTTTCGACCGTCGTTGCAAGGTCCCATCATTCTCATATATCAAGCTATTGAAAAAACGTATTTGATTTACTCGTACGCATTTTTGTTGATATCGAATTGCCTTTTACTTTGACTCTACCATTGGACAGTATTCTCTATTTGTTTTAGTTATGGCAAATACTCGAGAAGTTACAGATATGAAGTCAATCAATGATTATTGTCAACAGATGACTAAAAAATTACTTGAACTAGCTCAAACATTTGCAAGAAAATCTCGACGGCCATCGACAAAATTAACTTGTGATGATTTAATTAATGCTTTAGAATGTATGAATATATTATACAAACAAAATATTTATCAAGATGAACAATATCTTTTAAGAAACTCTTTTGATCAGATGTTTACAATTGAATATAAATAAAATAAAATAATTTGTATGCTGTTGTTTTTGTACTCATAATAACATTCAATGGAATTTCGATGCATATTGTACAATAATCATCTAAGTTTCCATACGAATATCCCGCTGTAATACAAAAATTATTGAGTAAACTATTCAAGTGCATGAGTCAAAATATCTATAGCCCGTTGGAAAATGAAATTCGGCTTTATTCATGATTAATAATCTGTCTCACTCTTTCGCTTGAAACTCAAGATGATACTTCCAAATGACTCCCAGTGACCATACAATTTACTAGTCATCTATAATATTATGTGGATTTTATTCAATGAGCTTAATCGTGATCTGAAAATAATAAGGATCAACAAAATTGTACATTGTATCGACGAGCTAACTGCACGATTCTACTAAGACAAATACTGTTCGATTGGGCACAGAAATTGTTAATCCAGCAAATTTTAATCATATTATTAAAACTCTTATATTCGTCTAGCAGCAAAATAAGTACACTTTTCGAACATAGTTCGTTTCATTTCTAAAAATAGTTTCAATTGAATTTTAATCGAATCTATTCACATAAAAATGACAATGTGTATATTTTATTGATATAAGAAACTTGAGTTATTATTAATTTGATAAATAGAATATTATATAATTTTATGATTAAATATAAATATATATTTTCAGATGATTTTGTCTTTTTTGTGTACTCAAAAAGTGAGTACACTAGGTTGGGTCAGTGTGTCCGCCCGGCCATCTGTTAAAGCGATAACTTTTGAAGGCCTCATCCAATTGTCATGAAATTTTGTACACAGAATGATCTCATCAATATCTCAGTCGAGTTCCAAGATGAAAAGGATTTATCAAGAAATGGCTGAGTTATCGAAAAAATTGTCATTATTGGTCAGACCATTCCTGAGAAGGACTACAGGGATTTTTTCAAAACAAAAATATTTTCCTCAGAATTATTCACAACATATATAAATCGACTCAGTTTTTAACGCTGATTCCGAACCTGATATTAATTTTGAACCAAATCGTAACTTTCTAACAAAACATCGTCTGAAAAAAGCCTCAAACAACAAAAAAACTGCATCCAGAAACCGAATTGTCTAGATATATCCCAGATGACCAGTAGTTTGGGTTTCCCAAATGCTTGGTTTTGTAGCTAGTTAAAAGGACTATCGAAAGGTAAAAACCCGAACTCGATAGCTATTGATATTGGTGATTTATTAGGAAAATACTGATGCCTGTATCTATCATATGTTTCTTACAGATTCATGAGGTTGCTTACGATCGTAATCCCGCTAGACACAAACGCAGATCCATTCAAAAGTAACTCTTCTTACCCAGTTTTCCAAGCAGAACACGAATCTGAACTTAATTTCTGTGATCTCTAAAGATATTATATTACTCTGAGAGTAGAATCAGTGGTCACCGGATAGGATCGCATACAGTGTGGTTCATGCTAACTTAGCACGCCTGTATTTTCTCCTTACAATTTAGTAACAAGGGATGTATCTTGATGAGATCAAATGTCTTATAGAATAAATGTGGAAGCCTCGGATTTAAATCCTAGTTTTATGTGTATTTCAAAAAGTGAAAAGGTATATTCACTTTGCTTTTTATTTTTTTAGATAGTTTGATCAAAATCAATCTGTCATCAATTAGTTTTTTTCTTTTTGAACTACTTATAACACTTGGATTTAAATCCGATGTTTCCACATTTATTACTTATCTAAATAAAGTTTTTGAAAATTCATCCTGTTTAATAGAATATTATCAATCGGCCATATTTTTCTAAAACTAATTGATTTTATTCTTAGTCGATTAACTATAACAGACGACTGATTATGAAATATAATAGTTTCTATTTTGTTTCAGTTGAATTAATTATGACTACGAAAAAATGCATCTACTATATGCGACATTTTGAAGCACTTCACAATATTCCGCCATGTAATTTTCGTATTCCTGATCCAGAACTAAGTCCGTATGGTCAAACCCAAGCGTTTGCTGCTATTGAAACTATAAAAAATATACCATCGATCGATTTAATTGTCTGTTCGCCATTAACACGTACACTTGAAACATCTTTACTTGTTTTTAAAAATCAATACCCTTCACCATTCATTATTCATCCTGATCTACAAGAGGTTTGTACGGAACCATGTGATATTGGAAGTTCAGTTGATCAATTGAAAATAAAATTTCCAAGTTTATCTAATGAATTAGATATGTTTACACAAACATTTGGTGACACTGAATGGCTTGATAAAATGAATCCGGATAATATTTATTCGCCTACAAGAATAAAGGAAAGAGTGAAACGTTTACTTGATTGGCTTCTTAATCGTGTCGAAAAGCATATTTTTATTATTTCTCATGGTTTAATGCTAAAAGAATTTTTATATGGTGGCAATGATCAGAAATACAATTTCAAAAATGGAGAAATTCGAACAGTTGAATATGCTTGTTAAACTTCTTCTTGTGTTTAATCAATAAAGTTAAATGGAATGTCTTTTATTCTCAAATGCTTTTTAGAAGCGGTAGCTACGGTGCTGATTAAGCAATGATAAGTACAAAATGACTCAAGTTTGACACCATTAAAAAAGACGTCATCGTGACGCAATATTCGGTAGTTATTTGACATGATAATTCGTTTATCATTATCGGTTTCATTTTTTCATTTCACGCAAAATTCTGAGTAGCTGAAAACAAATAGGGTCGAAAAAACTGATATGTGCCTTTTTTTCTCATAATGATTAATCAGAAACAAAGTTTGGCGGCGCATACTGACTCATTCGATTTATTTTTAGTGTAAATTATTTTCTGATGCAACTATGCATGAGACAATTCGCTTATTATTCAATAATAGATTACATAAAAAAAGTTCAATGTTCCGATGAAGATCTTTAATAATTCTTTACATGTTGTTGTTCCTTCAAGTTTATTTAAAGACAAAACAAACTTTAGAAGTCTCCTTGTTTTTGTATTTTCGATACAATTTTAAAACCATTTTTTCCGTTTAAAACACGATAACATAGTGACAGTTAATAGAACCATACATCCAAGAACAACAAAATAACCATATTTCCAATGAATTTCTGGCATATTATCAAAATTCATTCCGTAGACTCCAACGATAAATGTTAAAGGAATAAATATTGTTGAAATAATAGTTAGCGTTTTAACAACTTCATTCATTGCATTAGAATTTAACATCATGTAAAAATCAATAAATGATGATAACATTTCTCTATATGTATCAATCGTATCATTGACTTGTACAACATGATCAAATAAATCTTTCAAATAAATATTTGTACTTTCATGCATTATTTGTGTTTCTTCTTCTTTTTGTAATTTATTAATTATTTCTTTCAATGGTGATATTGAACGACGAAAATACAACATTTCACGTTTTAGATCATATATAGTCTCAAGAGTGTCACGTGATAATGTTCGCATTAATTGATGGTCTATGGACTCAACTTTTGTGCCGATAATGTCTAAAACGTCCATATATTGATCGACGATTCTATCCATTAATGAATAAAATAAATAATCGATTTTAGATCGTCGAATACGACCTTTATTTTGTCTTATACGATCTAATAGAAGAGATATTATCAACAATAATAAACAAAAAAAAAGGAAAGAAATTGATGACGAACTTTTAATTGGTTCGAAAATATCTTTGGATTTTTCTTGAAATGTTATAAGAATATTTTCTTTTAAATAAAAACTTATTTGTTCAATATGTGTTATTTGTTGTTCAATATCGGGATAGATCATTTTACCGACAAGAAATAGCGTATCTTCAAAAACGTCTAATTTTGTACGTTGTTCAGTGGTTTCAATATCTGCAACTACTAACGGATGAATGTTGAAGCGTTGTCCAAGACGAGCTATGAGATCATGATCATGTACCTACATACAATAATGATTAGAATTTATTTGATCGAACTAAATAATTCGAAACAATATATTTTCACTTACACCTGTAACATCAATCCATAAACATTCATTCGTTTTTATTTCTCGAATATCTTCAATAGACCGATAGCATGCTTCTTGAAAAGTTTCTTCATTATAAAAAAATACAGTAGGTTGGACACAGAGAGTTTGTTGCAAATCTTGAATATTAATCAATGTCGATGGTAGACCTATTAGAGTACTACGACGAGCTTTCGGTAATATATTAATTATTGTTGAATGATCAGTTGAATTTTCAAGCATATTATGTTCATCGTTAGTTACTGCTCGAATACGGTGTCGTTTTAAAACTGGAATATCATTACAATTAAAATATGGCATACAAATAATAGTGTACTATGGTGACTTTATTTTGAATGTATCTCAATGAGACGATATCTCATTTTGAAGACAACGAAAAAGAAATGATTGGAAATTAAAATCTTAAGAGAAAAGAAAAGCAACTTGTGTTTTTTATTTTAGAACAGCTGACGATGAATATTGTGCAGGATGAGAATCGTCGTGCTTTTCTTTTTCAATAAAATATTTCGACGTGTGAGAATTTATGCGTACTGCTTTCATTTGCATATACAACAATGAAATTGGTCATTTAAATAATTATGACGTTTTTATTATTGCAATCTATTCATAGTCAAGTGTCGTGTTAATAAGTGTTATTTTCTCTACTATAATAAATCAAGTTGTGCGCCGGGGGGTGTTGACTTCTTTTTTTTTATTTAAAAACGACAGTGTTGCCATTCTATACAATTGTGGACAGTTGGGTTAGAACACATGATGATAAATGGTTGGATATGCGATCTTTTGAAATTTGCCATCATTCCAAATGCATACTATGTGATAGAACGCATATTTGATTTATGCTGGTTTATACGGTGAAAACATTTTAATATAAATAAGAGATTAATAGACACCGTTTTAATCATTTTATTGAAATAGCGAGACGTTTCGTTATGAACTCATAACATCATCAGTCAGAAAATGAAATGAAATGACAGAACAAGATAAGAATAAATATATTGAACAATACAAAGAGAAAAAATGAACAAAGACACGTATTAAAAGAAAACGTTTTCTTTTAATATGTGTCTTTGTTCATTTTTTCTCTTTGTATTGTTCTTATATTTATTAGAACGAATATCGTTGTACTATTGCACGTAACGAAGATCAACATAAAGCTATTTGTGACTGTGTACATACAGTTACGTTTTAGGCGATTTTGGCAGTAGTTGTTCTCGTGTATTGATTAATCGATTCTTTCCGTAGCCATTAGCCGTTATTTTTATCTATCTATGAATTGTAATATTGACTAAACCGGTAGCTAAAAAAGTGATTACTCTATTCGAAGATAATTTTTTAAATGATTTATGATTCACTAACGCGAAAAAAGATTTCATCTTGTAATTTTATTATATCAACGATAATGATGATATATTAGCTAATGAATTGATCTGGTCTATAGAGAATAAATTATCCAGTTGAAATAATATGAAAATAGCAAAACATTTTTCTAATGATTTATATATTTTTTGATCATGTAACGGTTCTACTGCAAAATATTGTTTAGCAATGGCGGATATGCTTTTACATTGAATTCATCAGACTTCAAAACAGTCAATAGTTTTATTATATTCTTGTTCAATATGAATTGAAAATAAATAGAGATGTTTCGGATCTATCAGTATTTTGACTATATACGTATGAGACCAGTACGTGCCAATGCTTTAAACTTAAATCTAGTACATTCTGTCGATACAATACTCACTTGATCATGTGATTAGGCTGAGTCAAAGTTGATCGGATATGAATCCATAAAAGAAAAACAAGAACTGCACGCGCATACGTGTAAGAAACTACTACATATTATACTTATAATAAATGAGGAAACATCGGATTCGCATCCGATTGTTATGTGTACTCCAAAAATTGAATCGATTTATATATGTTGTGAATAATTCTAAGAAAAATATTTTTGTTTTGAAAAAATCCCTGTAGTCCTTCTCAGGAAGGGTCTGACCAATAATGACAATTTTTTCGATAACTCAGCCATTTCTTGATAAACCCTTCTCATCTTGGAACTCGACTGAGATATTGATGAGATCATTCTGTGTACAAAATTTCATGACAATTAGATGAGGCTTTCAAAGGTTATCGTGTTAACAGCCTGACGGACACACTGACCGAATCTAGAGTGTACTCACTTTTTTTTGAGTACATAACAATGGTATATGATAGTTTTATTTTTTCTTAAATATTATCTTATTTTGCAAAATCAATTTCTGACAAATAAATGAATTGCATCAGGATATAATTATTCTAAGAGAATTTTGAATGAAGTTGCTCATCAAAAAAAAATATTCTTGATTCTAATTAATAGAATTGAAATAAAACTACATTTTGATGAAGATTAAATAATGATGTTATTTTTTAAATGTAAGCGTATTAACGGAAAATTCTCTTGTATTGTGATGGTTATGAAAAAAACACAATCTATTTTATAGTTAACACAGATAAAAAGAAGAATCTTCGACAACAGTCAAATGCAAGTCACCATTTATTGATATCAGCGAAGTAGCATCTAACTCTTATCAGTAATAAACAAAGTTGAAGAAAGCGACGGATAATAAAATGAAAAGATCTTTTCTTTTTTCTCTTTATTTCTTACTACCCACTAAACGGTACCAACAAAACAAGAATATTATTCGTTTTTAAGAATTGAAATACATGGCGACTCTCCCCAAAGAAACTGCTTCGAATTTAAATGAAACAAGAAGCAGTGGAGGTATCCGTCACTATGCACCATTACGTTCTGTGCCAAAATCATGGATTATTATTGCTGTATTTTTTTATTGTGCATCTCTCCTCACTGTTGGTCTTCTAGTTGGCCTCGTACCTCGACGAACACAGTACGTAACTGTACTTGCTACAGCAACGCGACCACCTAGAACAACTGAAACCACTGAAACAACTGAAACCACTGAAACAACTGAAACAACTGAAACAACTGAAACAGCTTCTACCACGACAAAATCAGCTACTTGCATTGATGACGAATGTAATCCACGTTTAGTAAGTGATTTAATCGTTCATAGTTATGAATTAGAATATATATACAATGATACAACACAAACAACTGTTCAAGGAAAAGTCACAATTGAGTTTACATTAAAACAACCAACCAAACAGCTTATCTATCATGCGCAAGGATTTGCGAGACTTGAAGAACCTGCGTTATATGAGGATGGTGTCTATCGCTTAGTTTCCATGAGAAAATATATTCCTAATGATTATTTAAGTTTACGTGGTATAGCTGATGATTTATTTCCACCTAATCGATATCGATTGGTACAACAATTTGCTGTTCAGTTAACTGATACATTTACAGGATTTTATCAAAGTACTTATCAAGATAAAGATGAAACGATGGGGTAAATGATTCTGGTACTTGACAAAATTCGATGTTTTTATTTATTTTAGAAAACTATTAGGAGCAAAATTAAGACCAACTAACGCCCGAAAAGCATTTCCATGTTTTGACGAGCCACAATTAAAAGCACAATTTAAAATTAGTATAATTCATCCACAAAATACCATCGCTTTGTCTAATTTTCGAATTGTATGTTGATTTAGGGATTTTGTTGTTTTTTCCAAATGAAATTTTCGTTTATTTTTTTTTTATAGATTGAAGAAACAAATGAAAATAATGTAATTCAAACAAGATTTGCTGACACATTTCGTATGAGTACTTATATTGCTACGTGGGCTATTCTTCCAGATACCTACGGAAAGAAACTGGATGATCCTGATGAACCACAAGTAAATATTTAGAGACTTGAAAAATAAATTCAATGCCCGATAATGAATCTTTTTCTAGGTGACAGTTTGGGCTCGTCGAGAGCCAACAGAAAAAAATCAAACTGCTTTTGCACTTGAAATAGCGCTGAATTCTATTACGTTTTATGAGGAATATTTTAGTGTATCTGAAGCTCTACCGATTAAAATTGGTAACGAGAGCTAAAGTTGAATAAATATATGATAGCTTATTGTTGTAATTAGATATTTTGGCTATTAATAATTTTGCATCAGTTGCTATGGAAAGTTCAGGTCTTGTCTCATTTCGTGAAGATCGCATAACATACAATGAAAAAACGATGTCAACATATCAAAAACTTCAAGTTGCGAACATAGTGGCTCACGAAATTGGTCATTCATGTGAGTTTAACCGATGATCAAGTTAAATACAAATTGAACTTCTAGGGTTTGGCAATTATGTAACATGCAAATGGTGGGATGATTTATGGTTCAGTGAAGCTATGGTTAGTTGGCTTTGTCGAAAACCATTGGACATTAATTATCCAGATTGGAATATAGTAGGATATTTGTTTTTGATTTTTACATTAATTTGTTTTGTTTACAAAAAAAAGGATGTACAAGCATTAACTGACGATGTCATTCTAGCTATGTGGGAAGATGCTAAGCCATCTTCACATGCCATTGTTGTTAAAAATGTGACAGGTGTTTCTGAAATACTTGATTATCTTGACCTATTAACATACACAAAAGGTGTAAGTGTATTACGCATGCTAGAATTTATTGCTACTCCAGATAAATTTCGTTCTGGTTTGCAAGATTATTTAATGGTTAATGCATTCGATGTTGGCGATCTTAATATGTTTTATGATCAATTATTAAACAATACAAATGGAACGCAATTTATGAAGAGTTGGCTCGAAGAACCTAATTATCCATTATTACATGTTCAATTAACTGTAGAAAATGGTGACACAACATTGACTTTTACTCAGTCACGTTATATTCTATCCAGCGCATTGAATTCGTCACATCTTGATAAAAATTATCGATGGAAAATACATATTAAATGCATATTAGGTAAACAAAAAAATAGAGTTTTTCTTTTTCATGAAAGATTTAAATTAATAATTCTTTGTTTCTAGGTGGTAATTCTTCAGATTTTGATACAAATCATAGAAACAGTGATACAATTGATTTTATTCTTGAAAAAGAACAAGATACTGTAAATCTTCCCGGAACATCGTATTCATGGATTAAATGTAATCAAAATTTTCAAGGCTTTCATGTTACACAATATTCATTTCCAACAGCTACTTGGCAACGTTTTACATCAGTCATAGAAGCACAACCAACAGTTAATAAAATAGATAGTCTATAAAGTATAATTTAGTCTTTTGTTTTTTGTTTTTCGTTGCTTTAGTTCTTTTCAATTGAAGACAAAGTTAATTTAATGCAAGATACTTTTCTACTTGCTTATAAAGGTCTTATTGATTATGCTGAGCCATTACGAATTATACGTTCGTTAACCAAAATACATATGACAGAATATGTTCATTGGAGAACATTTCAATGGCATTGGGATACATTAGCAGAATTAATCGATTATTTACCTAATACATTAACTAAATTTCGAGTTCGAAATAAATTTTGAAACATGAATTCATCTTTTTATCAAAAATATTACTTGCAGGATTTTGCTATTCAACAAGTTCTTGCCAACGATGTCACACTCGATTATATTTTGTCGCCAGACGTAGATGATAATCATAATGAAAAGTAGGATATATCGAAATGAAAAATACTTTTCTTATGTTTTTTCTTTTATTCATAGATTAGTGAAAAGCATACTGTTTGCACTTCTTTGTCGAATGAATCATCCAGATGCGATTCAACGAGCTAGCCAATTATTCAAATCTATTCCCATCGCACATTTTAATGATAGCGACGTCGCTATTGGGTAAAAACTTTTCATGGAATATTTAATCCAAAACAGAATTTTATTTTTCTATTTAGTGTTGCTGCTGATTTCCTATCGGACGTCTATAAATATCATTTACAAAATGATGATAATGAAGCCGATTGGAATAATATGTATAACTATTATCAAGTAACAACATCAACACATGAAAAAACGCGTGCCTTAATTGCGATTAGTTCAACAAATAATAAAGATCGTTTGAGCAAGTCAGAAATTTATAAAATAATTTCATTTTTGTTTTATCTTCATTCGTTTTTTCAGATTACTCAACGAAGGATTAATAGGGGGCCCAAATACAATTAAACGTCAAGATTATTTTCCTATGATGGGTCACATGAGTCGTCATGCTATTGGGAGAGAAACAGTCTGGAGTTTTTATAAAGAAAATTATTCAAATTTAGCTAACACGTAACACGTTTTTTTGTTCAGAGGAGATACTTTAGACTAGCATGCATTTTTCATTTAGTTTTACACTTGAAAATCGTCCATTCACTACAGCTATTGCTTCTATTACGCGTTCATTTGAAAAAGAATCTTTTCTTCATGAAGTAAAAAGACTCCTATTTTTTTTTTCTATACCAATATTTTCTCCTTTTTGTTTTCTTTCAAGATGCTTGATTTATTTTTGCAACATCCAAATGCTGGTACTGGAGGAGAAGCAGCACGTCAACAAGCCATTGATCAAGTCAAGATGAATATTGAATGGGTTAAATCAAGAGAATCAAGTTTACGTGATGCATTTGACACAATTTCTCGACATTAATATATTCGTTTTATTTCGTTTTTACTATACTATGCTGCTTTTATTTGTTTAATAATTATTATGAAAAATAATTAAACGTTTATGTTTATTTTTTGAAAGATTATAAAAACAATTATTTTGAAAAGATTCTAGATTAGATTTTCGATTTTTTAAACTAATTGGAAAATTAAATTTCAACATCAATAATGAATAATACTTTTATTAGATTTGGTTGGATCAGTTTTTTTAATTCACCTATTTCTATAAATGCCATACCAGCAATCGTTTTTACCTTTGTTTATACTCAGTCATACTCAACTTCTGCTGTCAGACTAATTTTCTATAGTTTTATTTTGAAACAATAATACATTCTTTTGTTTCAATATACACGTGTCATAAGAAATAGCTAACAACAACAATATTTTATTTGTAGACTCAGTATTTTTGTTCGACCATTCTGGACCTCAGAAATATTTACAATTTTTAAAGTGAATAATAAAAACTCAGTGGATATTTGTAATTGCTATCAGGTTACTAGGTCAATACAGATAGTTTTCAATTGTTCATAGTTACCATTTGAAGGAGATATAATTCAAGTATTCTAGATATAAAGCGAACTCGATAACAATCATGATATCTGATCATTTTGTTTTCGCAGCATTTATCTAATAGATATACACGACATTACAAAGAGAAAAAGGTCTGTTCGATAGAAATTTTACTCTTGTGACAAAAATTTAAAACAAAAGCAAATGCCATGTTTTGAGAAACATGGTTAGTTCATAAATAGATTTTGTTTTTGGAATCCAGAATAAAAAAATTTGAAATGGCATGTTCATAATATGCCAGGTTACTCAATCCTTGCTCTCGGATTCAAGTCTGGATTTTATCGGAATCGGGCGACATCTGGGGTCGGTTTCCGGGAGCAAGGATTCCGGCAACTATCGGCAGGAACCAATCGGTATTTGATGAATCCGACAGGATCCTGGCGAGCGTGAGTGCTCTGGGATAGTTTAAATTAAACTCTTGAAAGTATGCATATAGGTTCAGTAAGTTAATGGTATAGTTAAATAATTTTCTTTTCCTCCATTCGAAATTATTGCACATATCTAATTATCATTATATATTTTGGATACGTTAGTGAACTTGAGAAGTCAATTGGTTGCTTTTGGCAACGATGAAAAAGACGCTTAATATAGGATCTATCTATGATGAAATTCATCGCTTTCTAGGATTCGTAGGAATTTATTCTCAGTCATAAATAAACTGATATTCTATTTCCTATTGGTACAGCATTGGTACAAATAAGAAAAGTAATCGTCAAAAAATTCAAGATATCTCTAAAATAATAAGAATAATAACAACATTTTCTTAGAAGTTCGATTAGACTGAAAACGAAGAGCTCGCTACATCTTTCCACGATAGAAGATCAATTTGCTTTTTCGCAAAAACTTCATCTTAAACATTCGTTATCGAGATGTAAGTCAGTGTATGCGTAAGTGTCAGAATGTAAAGCATGAGAGATGTATGAAAATAGGTGGCAATGATGAAATCATATATACACGGATATTTCTATTCACGCTTCAACAATAAAAGCATCATTAAAGAACTTATAATTCTTTTCTTGGTGTGAAAAAAACAATTTTGAATGATGAAAAGAAGTACTACAGTATCATTTTCTGGTTAACGAATTGATATATTACCGTTTCATTTTTTCCTTTATTGAGCAATTTACTTTTGTAAAATAGAAAGAGAATAGTAGGGTTTTATAATTTGTGTTGCTATGGCATTTTTATTTTGCATTAGATTACGTCGTTAAAAAGTGCTAGATACTATTGTCTGACTGATGCAAGATGTTGTTAAGAAGAAACGAAATTGACCAATATGTTTGATTAACACAGCTGTTGACACAGTCAAACACCTTGACACACGAGGAAGTTCTAAAGTGTCATCCAATCGTTTTCATTGCCTTATAGGACACAGTAATTCGGTGTTTAATGTCAAAAGGAAAGACAAGAATGTTGTCATTCAAGGTGGAATTAAATGCAGCCAATTTCGATTTTCACCTTTGACGAACAACATCTTTGTGTAAAATAGATGTAGATGTGTGAACGTAGAGTTTTTTTTATTACCCACACCACAAACCCTTCTAGCATTTTATTATTCAAATTTGTATCTACAACAATTATATGACTGTAGGCGTAGTTTTTTCGACTCTGTTTTGTTGAGCTGTTAATGTTTCTCTATTGAGTGCCTTTTAGCTAGACAAGCTGAGATCAAAGTGTTAATTAATCAACTGTAGTACGTATTAAATATATTTTATACTGAATCAGTCTTGGAACAAAATCTGTTACATTATTATAGATTCACTGCAGTAGTAGGACCGGCAGTTTTGTAGTTAAGCATGATCACGGAATCAGCAAACACAGAATCAACAAAATCACACATGACAACATTGACACCATTCACAAGTGATGGATCTCGATGGCGACATGTAATCCATGGAATCAGGCGTCGATTTGTTTCTTGACTCGTCGAATGAAGTGAACTGAAAGGGTGGTTTGTAATAGATTTATCATCAGGTGTTATTTGACCTTGAATAACATTGATGCAGTCGGTTGAACGAGGAGACGCAACATTTTCATCAAGAAATTGAAATAGATTGTCGATTTGAGGTGTATTTGGCCATGGAGATTGACAAATCTGAAATACAAAAATATCCACTATCATTCCTAGCACCATAAAGATCGAATAAATATGAACCTTGAAAAAGTGACCAACACGATCCATGTATGCGGTACATTTATCAGCATTTTCTTCGTATAATAAAATGACTTGTTGTTGATTAGTCCACAAATAGTTTAACGTACATTCACTGATTGTTCTTGCTGTCGTACATAGTTTCTTTCCGAAAATCTCATGAATCAATTGAAGTAATTGATCATGCCCGAATTGATCATTGAATTCATAGAAATGATTGAAGTCAAGCAAGACGATTTCTTTCGAATGCTCATCAAGAAATCGATTAATCTCTTGCAGACACTCTCCCACGAGACCACCAAGTAGACCATGAGTAAATTTAAACTGAGGCGTTTGATTAGATGCCTCGCTTACAACATTACAGACACGCAAATCAAAATAACGAATTCCAGTCTGCAACTGTTCTATGATTAGAATAGCAAGAATTCAAATTCGTGAGAAATCAACTCTGAAATCTAGAGCATACCAGTGAATGTTTCTTTTTGTGTGACACTCCAACGTTTGATGAAAAATCCAATCACTGGAAGAAAACGTTTCAATCCTTGAGACAAGTCAGGTCCACCGCTACGTGTCAGATTGTAAGCAAATGAATTGTGAGAACCTAGAAGAACAAGGTATAATTTTTGTTACAAGAGTCGCAAAGTTGGCCTGTCATTTGAGTGCGTGCATTTAACGCGTGGGCCGAAAGTTTTGGGACAAAATGTTTCTTCATTTTTCGACCGATTAAGTATGTCAACAGAAATTTTAGAATAGTTGGTTAAAATCAGAATTTTGTGCTCTTTCAGAATCTATGCTCAGAATTTTTGTAGAATTCATAGTTTCGTAGTTATGATCGAATCTTTGGAAGGCCTAAAAGTAAAGTTTGGACAAGTTTCAGTGCGCAAAAAACCATCCAAAATACGCGTAAAATTTATTTGAAATACATCTAAATAAGGAGCAAACATTTCTCTACGAAACGATAGGCTGATCATTAATTTCTAATCAGGCTTATTTGAGTAATGAGAGTTTCAGTAAGAGACACAAAGACGTTTTCGAAACTCCTTGGTTTCCAGACTGTCCAAAAGAGGTTGATTATTTCTGAAGGGATGCTGCGAGACTCTTGGTTCTTAGCTCACTTTGTAGAGAACAGACTCGCCTTTGACGTTGTGCAAAAAAAACGGTAATAGAAGATATTCAATAAGGGGTATTATTGTCGAGAAGGACGTATATTGTCAAGGTCCTCATCCAAAAAGTTTCAAAACGTGATGCAATCAACCAAAAGGAACTTAGGCTAAGCTAAACTGGACGTCTTCAGGACGAAAATAAGAAAGTGCCGATGAACGTTACTGAACAATAGCAGGATATCAACTCCAAAAGACGTACGATCACATTTTTCTTCTCTGGATCTGTTAGCATAACTGCTTTCATCCAAACTTTATTTTTAAGCCTTCCAAAGATTCGCTCATAACTACGAAGCTATGAGTTCTACAAAAATTCTGAGCATAGATTCTGAAAGAGTACAAAATTCTGATTTTAACCAACTATTCTAAAATGTCTGTTGACATACTTAATCGGTCGAAAAATGAAGAAACATTTTGTCCCGAAACTTTCGGCTCACCCGTTAGAATGTAGGAAATATTTTCCTTCGAAAGTAATTAACAAACAATTCTCTAATGCATTCAACTGTTATGAATTCAAAACAAATATGGAGTTACAAAAATCTACCAGTGCTCTTTTTATATCATAACGACATTTTCTTCGTTTACTATACTGAAATAGTAGAAGGAACGAATAATACTCAATATTCAATACTAAGATCTAATTCAACTAGCAGTAATTGTATGGAGAGTTTAAATCTCAGTTTCATACCAGGAATCGCAAGTTTTGATACTGATTCATTATGAAGACTTGTTGGTAAATTTGTCATCCACTCAATATGTTTGCCATGTGGTATAGTCGAAACTATATTAGATCGACAGCAGGTTACTGCCATTGCATAAGTTTTGGTCGAAGACCGAAATAAATTGCAGAATACTGAAATAAATTTAAATAAACAAAAAACAATACTGTCAATCAATTTCTTTTACTTTTAATCTAAGCTGCTAAGAGTACTGAAAAATATATCGACAGAGAACATATCTTTATCAGCATGCTGCTATTCGAATAAAGCAAATACTTGTAATAGGCAATCGAATGCATTATATGTGTACTTCAATACAATGCTGTGCTCTTCATCTGTGCGCTATAGTTCGATGTGAATTCGAGCAATAAAATAATCGAGCACGAGGTAAACCATTGACTGCTACGTATCGATACAATATTCAAGAAATTACTAGTGCATGTGCATATAAGCCATTTTATGTAAATTGTGACTGGATTTGCTAAAACAAGTTCGTCAAATTCTGCTCAATTTCTGATGTTCTTATGTACTGAAGATTTTCAACAAGTATTGTGTGGAGTGTGGGTGTTAATATAGATATAGATTGTTCAAACCCACACCTATAGCCTCAAGAGGAAAATTTTTGAAAGGGTTTTAAAAATTAGTTGTTGGGCTTTGAAAATCGCGCTTCTAAAAACTTTGACGGACAATGCTCTAGGTCAAAAACAATTTTTATAGAGATTTTCTGATTCAGTTTTTCACGCTGAACAAGAATATTTCCTTTTCGAGTATCTAAGTAGATTCAGAAGTCCAGAAATTCAATTTTACGAAAACCGTGCAAAGAAAACAATTTTTTTCGATTTTTCGAACTGAATAAAGCATCGAAATAACTTAAACAACATATATTTGTGATTGCCGCCAAATTCTGTATCAGATGAAGTATAAAAGAAGAAAATTAAAAATTTTACTCGAAGTTCGCCTTGCGCGAACTTTATTTCGGTTAATTCTAACCGGAGTGTATATGCTAGCCTATACTTATTTAGTACCAAAATGATCAACTCACTGAGCTCTACAAACCGTGAAAGTTTCAGTCAATTTGGAGAAAGTTTATGTAGACGTGGTACGTTTCCCATGGATTCACCCAATAATAATAATCGTGTGAAGGCTGCGCCCGTAACAAGTCTTACAACAAGTATATACAGGTATCGTTCTTGCCGTGTTTGCTCAGCAATCTTGATTAAATCTTTGTGCTTTTGTTGGTTGTGTCTTGAAATTACTATCGTGACTTTGATAAGGGACACGTGAGTAAGGTGTATATTTACTCAGCCACACACTATGCATGTGTGCCTGATATATGTGATATAAATAAAAAATCCATTCTTTTTATGCAGTATGAGGATTTTTGTGTTGAAATATCATATACCTCGAGTGCATTATCTGTGTATAAGTATCAGTTCATCCAATTTTAGCTATGATTCTAAGGTGAAACTGTAGGCTTTTCTTTTGAATTTGTTTTTTGAGACAATCAATGAGCTTGGTTTTAACTGTATCTATTCGCGTGTCAACAAAAATCCACCACTAATTCTTCTTCTTCAAATGAACAGGAAGCCAACGTACAAAATCTGCGCAAGTAGCATCTTTCTTGAAATGTACAAATATATCAAACTTTCAAGTTTCATAGCCCAATGATGATCTGTCTTGATGTTTTTTTACATTGACTCTGATCGAAAAATCTCGATCACCAATTGCTAAACCGATTACCGCCAAACTGTTTCAATTATTCGAAAGCTTTTTAGCAAGGTACATCAGTGCTGGTAGAGATGGTTGATGTACTTGCATTTCAATCTGCTCACGTTTCGAAGGCCATATCCGCAAATAACTTGATGTAAATTAACGGATAAATCAAAGACGGTTTTGTGTGTAGTCTCTTCACGATTGCTAACAGGCGTGCAAATATATTGTGGTTTTCATCTTATGGTCATTGTCATGTTATTTTCACTAACCGTGATGAAACTCATACTGGCATTGATATTTTCGGCTGTTATTCAACTGAGAGCGAGCAGAGCATCGCATCAGCATGTACTGAGTCTTTTTCTCGTGTCATCAAGTATACGTTCGTCAAAACGAAACCAAATACATCCGTCAAAGACACAATAATAAAAAAGTGATTTGTATGAAGTTTTCCGTGAAATATACTGTGTGACTCTCTATGCGTTATCGCTTAATGACGATTTAACTTGGTCATGCATGTGATATTGTCATCTTGGAAAATTTATTTAAAGTGTCAGTAGCAAATTATAAAAAAAGACCAACGACGAACTACATAGTCGACCTGATCGTTTAAAATTTTTACCCACAAATTCAGTTATGATTCATTGCATGACGCTCATGTTTTTTCGAAACGAATAAAACTAACACATAATATGGTCACGAAAATGTCGTACTGGTCGAGTTGAGATAACGATGATAACAGGCACACAAGCGAAGAATTATTCAAGTTTTATTTTGTAGTTTTATATAGCAAAAAGTGAGTGTGAGCTTTTGTGAAAGTGGCCTATTAATATTACGAAAGATAGAATATTTTGGGAAATAAGAGCAAGTAAGACGATTTTGTTTTTGAAATGATACGCAACGATTGCTAGCAAGCGTTTCAAAGGGTTCCACGACATTTCCGCGCGCGCCACTACGGCGCAATACAGATTCATGCATAATATTTGCTCGCAAAGTCCTCATTCTAACTCTCACGCTCACCCTCACTCGTCCTCTCACTTTTGTTTTCGTTTTCCCCCTTATTTTCGAGCTCATTCTCAACTTTTGCTCCCACGATCACTGTTGCGCGGAAGTGTCGCACGCGGTAATGTCGTGTCACGGTTTCAAAGGCGTTTGCAATACTCTAGAAGCAATTTTGAAAAAGAACGGTGTTACTTTGAGAGAATTTTTAGTTAAAATTACTGTAATAGAACTCTGTTTCGAGTAAGCAACAGAGACGGCGAATTGATATTTCAAGCTTTTACGTTTCGTTACACTGATTGATGATTCAGCGAACAGTTTTGTATATGGACATTTGATTCATCGTCGCATGACTTCAGTGCATTGGCAATGCTGTACTATTGTGACTCTAACGGTAGCTTCATGTTGGTTAGGAAACGTTGGAATATCATTGATATAAACAAGACAAGTACGTGGTTAGGTTTTCAGAGCATTTATTCATATACAGAAGATTTTAGCCTATAAGCGTGCGAAAATTCATCAAAGATGTAGGAATTTGAATATCCCATTGAGCATGTTAAACCTTTCTAAATTAAATCTTCTATCTGCGTCTTTGGACATAGTTTTAGCTGTTATTTTTGTAAGTCAATTGTGAGTGTTGGAGCATTCCTCACGTAAGCACAAATCCATGGTAAACTCACGTGCTATTCTATATTTACTGATCGAAATGAAAATTCGTATAATATTTAAAACATAATTTCATTTGATTATATGAATTATGTCGTCACAATCATATTCATATCGGCACTTCAGAATCAAAAACTACGATTAAACCATAGATTTTTATAGGGGCTGAATATATAAGTTTTATCACGCTGAGAAATCTCCTCGTGTAATCTAAACTTTGTTTATGCAAGCCTTTAATGTTAAAAGCTTTAAAATATCTCAACAGAAATTATATACAATTCGATTGGTTCCTAGATAATGTTGAACAGTCTTCAGTATGAGTATGTAAATGAAGAATCTATCGACAATGAATTCATATGCACCATTTGTCAAAAGCCACTTGATGATCCACGATGTACACCATGTGATCATATATTTTGCGGAAATTGCATTACCGAATGGATTCAAAGAAAAATCCATACGTGTCCTACATGTCGACAACCTCTGCGTCACCAAGAGCTGACACAAGCTAATCGAATTGTGAGAAGTATTGTTGGCAAATTTCGTGTAAAATGCATGGCATGTGTGAAAATAGACTTAGAACGAAGTGATTTTGAACGGCACATGAGTACTGCATGTCCCATCGTCTGTTTGGAAACGGACATTACGTGTCCATGGACAGGAATGCGTGAAGCGTTTAACAACCATGTGACTAATTGTAGTTATCAAAATTTGCGAAAAATCTTCGCTTCACTATTAGCTGAACGTCAACAACTCAAAGAAAAAGCATCGAAAGAAAAAGTTGATATAGAAAAATTCAAAGACGAAATTCAGCAACTGAAAAACGAATTGAAACAGAACCAGATTCGTAATCAGAACAGCAATCGAAATCTCGAAGAACTGGAAAAGCGGCAAAAATGCCAAATCGACGAACATCGAAATAAATTACTAAAGTTTGAAGAACAAACAAGGAAATTAGAAAGTCAATTTGATAGATATAAGAAGGAAGGTGAGACTCTCAAAGAACAGCAGAGAGCTGCAGTGGGAAGTTCTCAAAAATATGCAATGCAACTAAACAATCAGTTGACACAACAATGCATTGAAAATAACAAATATCAAAGAGAAGTAGAACATCTTAAAAAACAAATGAGAGCTCAATCCACTCAAAACGCGTATGAAATCTGGCAACTGAAAAACAATGCAATCCATTATAATGCTGATAGTATTGAGTATCAAGATATAATACTGCAACTCAAGCAACAGGTTGAACAACAAAGAATTCGTCTCGACGAACTTCGCGGCGAAAATCATGCTAACTATGAACACAATGCACAACTGGTGAATCAAACGGATTTTACACGAGGTAAATTTCGAAAAAGCAAGTTAGAGAATAGAAGACAATTTCCTCCGTTGGCTAAATTTTATGTCTCTGATGTTTGAATGTGGAATAGGGGCACAGTAAGAACTGGTAAACAAAAGAATGTTCAAGCTCTTAAGCCCATCATTTTGCTCTGAAGATATCAAATAGACTATAGGAGACTATTTTTGATGAATTTCATGGAAATTACTGCTGATTGGAAGTTTTAACCGTGACAGAGGATTCTTCTGTTTTCTTGAGAATACCCGAGCCGGGTTAAAGCTTTTATCTACTCAATTTTACATAGCCACATCTTATTATTGGTTCATAGCCACTTGGGCAATAAATTATAATTTTATCTACTTTTAGAACAAGTATCGTCTGAACGGTATCGCTTGTCTCATTCTGATGATTCGTTTAAATCAAATCGAAGAAATCTGGGATGTAACAAGAGAAAACGTGGGCAGTAACAAACTTTCAAATATAGTTGAAGCACTTAAACATTTAATCTAATTTTGTATACCACTAGTATTTTCTCTGGCTATTACTAAGTTTCAAAGTGCAAAACATTTTATTTTCTCTTGCTCATGATTGTTTATTCATCTAATTATATCACACTACTGTCACTTCATTAGAGAACATTAACTTCTTCTATGGTTCTAATTCGAGAATAAATCCCACCATTTCACATAGTCAACTGATATTCCCTCAGATCGATTATAATAATAGTTATAAATTTGTTTTAACTGAAAATTTCATAGTAAGTATTATTTAATGTGACAAGTTATGTATGAGTGTTGCACATAACAAATAAGGACAATCGGTGAGTAAAGCTTGAGAAGTAATCTCGTGTATCTGAAAAATCTTGAAGATATTATTTCAGTTGAAAAATGAAGATACTTGCATTTCTAATAGTGTTTTTTACTAATCTCATGTATGTATGTTGAAGTCAATACGTCTATCTATTCGAAAAAAAATAATTTTATAAGATAAATAAAAAACAATATTATATTTATTCATTTGAATATCATTCGCATCAATAAAAATAATTGAACAACTTTTAAGAATTGTTTCCCGTGAACTTTTGATAGCGATTAAATTTTATAAAGACGAATATTACACTATCAAGATAATTGATACTTCAAGATTTGCTTATCAAATTTAATTCTTTAAGTCACTAACGCAATAAATAAATAAATAGTCTTTTTACCGAAAGAAATCAGGATCAATGATAACATTATCAGTCTCATCAACTGAAAGAATTTTTATCATATATTCGATTGTTTTGCAATATTTATTTGTATGAACTACCAATATCTCTAGTCTCAAATCATCTTAATTGAACACTAGTACGCTTTTGTATTCATGCACCTAGCTTATTTAAACAAATTGATAGTGTTGACACAAGAATTTAAGCTAAGTGATTATCTACTTTTCTTTTAGCTGTTGATGAAAAAACGAAGAAAATCTACTATACAGTTACTATATGAATAAAACGAGTAATTTTCCTAGTTTTTTATTCATTACTTAATAGGCGTATATCATTACCATTTTTCATCTTTACGAGTTTTCTACTGATTCGATAGAGGAAAATCAGTTTATCAAATAGTATCATTTCTATTTCTATCCTTGTTTACTGTGAATATTTTTAATTAGTAATATTGCAATCGCTACACATTTCATATCGCCAATTGCATATAGAACCATAATCCACACACAAATCGTGTTCTTCTCGACTATTTTCCTACTACACAGTGTTAGAACATCATTTTACTCGAAAATCAATCAAAAGTAGTTTTTTGGTCATTTATTGAACAGCTAATATTATGTATTAGCCACAACACTGCTGGTTCGCCTGTTCGAAAAGCTTAAATTTCTTATACTTAGCTTTCTGTTAAATATGATGTTTACATAGCTAATAAGTGATGTTTTGTATGCATGCGTGACTTAAGTTTACCGTGTCAGCTAATATTTGCGCACATGGTCGTATTATTTCAGTAGTATAATTATTCTTGTGTTATCATTTAATACGCATAATGCAACTATTGTCGAATATGAATCCTCTTAAGCAGATGTTTTCAACGGCTTTGTTTCTTAAATTCAACACTCCGTCTTCGATATTGTAGAATATAATTAAATTGACAGTATTATAGTTGCATGCTCGTATTTCATTAGCCCAATAATAATCTTTCAGATCTCTTTGGCTCTTTTTTTTATTGTATTGAGTCGAATGCGAAAATCTTGTGGTTTACGATAAGAATCAACTAGATGAACAATTCAAAATACTTTGTTTATTTATTTTATTAAAGACGAAAGAAATAATTTGTAAAAAGAAAGAACGATTTTTTTATTTTGAATCAATTGGAGTACCCATTTGTTGCAATTCTTCAGATCGAGAATTACTGTCTGCAGTATAAGGAACAATTTCTTCTACTTCATATGTTCCATCATCTAATTGAAGAACAAATTCTAATTGAACAGGTGTTTGTGGTCGAGCTTCTTTGGTTGTAATACCATATTCAAGTAATTGTTTACCATCAATATCAAATAGTTGTCCTTTGCATGTTAAACGTATTATTTCAGGATTTATTTTAAGTATATTTGCAATAATTTGTTTTAAATCTCCCGCTGTTGTAGTTTCAGAAACATCAGTAAATATTGTCTGTTTACCGCGACGTATTTGTAAGTAACAATCGGAATTCGTATTAGCCGATGAGAATGTTGGTTGCATCTAGAATCTAATAACAAGTGTTTCATAGATGAAAACATGATAAGAATCGCAAAAAAGGTTTGAATGTTTATTCTAAACTTAGAAAAATCAACAAGAAAGGGACATGATTGCACTTAGAAGGATCACAGCGGGGCNGAAGTAACAGATTACTATATGTTTGTAAGTCTTTATTTTATTAGTTTAAAGATCAAATTCAATTTTTTTGATTTTTGAGTTGTGCAATCTCTTGTTCAATTTTTTGTTTTTCAGCTTCAAGAGCAGCGAGACGTTGTTGTGGTGTACCTTGTGTTGTTGATTGACGACCACCTGCAGGATGTTCCGATTGATACTTGCTAATTTGTTCAGCATCCTGCACACAAATATATTATGTATACTAGTTTATATTTTAAATTATCTCTTACATGACGACGAGCCCAACGTGCTTCTTCGGCATGTTCTCTCTTGCTGAAAGCATCATTGCCTGAGCTAAGAAAAGAACATAGTCTAAAAAAGAAAAGAAATTTAAGGTTACATACGCTACGGAACCAGCTTCAGAATCAGTATTTGATGCAGCACTGAAATTAAAATTAAAATTAAAATTAAAAACAGAAGATCTGCTAAAATGTTCCTAGTACCGTGTAAGAGTTAATGCTGGTCGAATAATTCGTTGAGCAAGAGCCCGATTTGATGCGCTAATTATACGTAACATGATATGAAGATGTGTAAATCTAGAATTTGATGTGAATAATAATCATAAATGTTCCAAAGATATTGAAAATAAAAAATAAAATTTAGTATCACTTTAAACTAATAAAATAAAGACTTACAAACATATAGTAATCTGTTACTTCTCTATATGTATGCTTGTTTCTAGGGGGATCCATGTATTATTTTTAACGTATAATAAAAGAAGTTTATGGAATCACTTGCAATAGTTGTTCTCATGCGACATCTATTTATTGGAACTCAATTGTATGTTAATAGTAATGAGTGAATATACATCAGAGTATATAGCAGGGAGAGAATGTACATTGAGAGACATTTAGAAATGATGAAATTTGAAACAGAAAAATAATTACTCATAATATAGAAAATAATCCAACAAATACCGTCAGTTTTGTATCAGATCTTTGATTATAAACATATATATGAAACACACTGTAAGAGTAGCGAATTTAAAATTTTATCTAAATTGTGATAGGCGTAGACAGCAGTGTCCAAGTTCCCAGGAGTCGGGAGATCGTTGGGAATTGGGAACTCAGAAATGAATGAACTGGAACAAGTGATGATAAACTAAAGCATAGCAACGTTATGAGGGAAGTCAGGGACCCAGGTGAATGAATCCAAGAACGGATCTTATCGAATCCTATAGGATCCGACTCCCCGACAGAATCCGAGAGGATTTCTGGAGACGGACCTACTAGTCGGCTCCGACGGAAAAAAATCATTTTCTTATTCACAATCAAATAAGCATTTTGAGTCATCAGAGTGCAAGGGTGATTCGTTAGAGTTGGATTTCGTTAAAATCCAGCATCGCATCCTGAGGGTGTGGGTGTCTTCTACTACCTTCCTTCATACATATACTTACACTGAATCCTGGATTCCTTGGATTCCCTGAGTTCCTTGATTTCCCTGAGATGCTTCACGTGATTTGGTTTCACATCGTTCGTTGTCGCTTATCTATTTTCAAGTTTCCAACTTCCGAAGAGTTCCCGACTTCTAGAAACTTGGTCACGTGTCATATTTTAACAAGACAACAGCAAGATCTCATATCTTATCGCATGTAACATGTGTAAAACGATTATTAGATTTGACAAAATGTTTTCTTCATACTTATTTATATATTTACATAAGAAAACGCGTATCTATTAAAGGAATCTTTAAATTTTTCTTGGTCACACACGAAAATAACATATTTACTGACGCAACGGTAAGGATTCGATTAGCGAGAGTTGTTAATATTATAGAATGATGAAGTGTACACTTCCTTTCAAAGGATATACTTATTTAAATTGTGCAAACGAATGTTTTTATGAGAGAATCACTGAATGACACTCGAATGTTTCGAATAAAAGTATTTAGAAAAATGTTAATGAAAACTAAACAGAATAATCTGTTTAACTAGACAATACCACATTCTGGAGACAAAATTTTTATTCTAGCATGCTGTTTAGAAAAGATATCCCGGTTTGTTCTATTTAGATCGCTAGTAATATTTCTAGAGAAAATGTTCAATTCCAAATACTTTACTTCGCTAAAGGTCATTATCGGGTTGATGACTTTACTCACCACGGAAGTTAAAGCAGAAAATACTCGGGGTTACATCAATCCACTGAACGGTAAAGCGGTCGATTTGTTCATCGCGGTAGATGAGTCGAACGCATATATGAACTCGATGCAATTGGGTTTGATGAAAACAGCCTTAAACAACATCGCGACAGAGCTGAACCCAACGGGTTCAAATCCATTCTTTGGTGTTTACTTCTATGGTGCAACACAAGCAATTGATAATGTTGTTCCATTTAAAACAGGTTCGGCTGGTTCACTCAAGACATATTTGGAAATAAAACAATATACAAAGGCACAAACGAGCCCCTCCACACTAAATATGGCTTTGGGTGCTGTCAAGCAAGATTGTCTTACGCACTGCCGACCAATCGTACCACGAGTGACTGTTGTGATATCTAATCTGCCCGATTATGCAGCCAGAGCTACGATTCGACAAATGGAAAAAGATTCCGGTATGACCGTTATTGTTGTCGGCATTGGATCGACCGCAACTGCAACTATTGTGAACCAATTAGCCACATATCCTGCAGAATCTTATGCTATTCCAGTCTCTACTCACTATGAGCTGATCATGGCTAGTTCACACATCGGCTCTACGGTCTCGGATGTCCCACGAATTCTCAACATAAACAACGCTGTACACATACCTACGACAACAAGTGGTGTTTATCATACGGTTCAACTTAATACTCACTCATACACGACTACAAATGACATGATCATCATGTTCTCATCAAATTGCCCAACCTGTTCCGTGTTTGGGTCATTATCTGAGCATAATCCCACTAGAACAAATACAGTTGCAAATACAAATCGACGCAGCTTTTTTGCTTACAGTGGATATCCCAACAGCATGCATTACTTTCGTGTACCAAAAGACACTGGCCGATTCTTTTTAAGCTTTCTAGGAAATGGAATGAGTGGCGTCTATATTTGGGTGGATGTGTTCTCTTTACCAAATATGTTGAGCAGTTCGACTAGAATTATTCAAAACATGAACCTAACGAAATCCAATTCATAAACAATATGTGAACTTTGGACAGTTTTTTTATCTTATCTATTCGAGTGTTTGTCATAAGACAAAATATTTTAAGCACTCTAGCCATTCAAAATATTTTTTAATATGCAAGATTCTAATTATTCAAAGTTTTTTTAATAATTTAATTAAGGATTGCTACCAAAGAAGTTGTCTTATTTTGATTTTTCTCTTCCTTTTGTTTTAATGTTTTGAATTAATCATTTTATTTTAAGACGTTTCGGAGATATTTTTCTCTTTCTTCAGTTTTATTTTATTTGGTGTTAGGTTTTTGTTTTTACTATTTACAATACGTATCTGACTATTCTTTTTCTTGAATAGTGGAACGTACTGACAAGACGGTAATACTGACCGATAAAACTTATATGTTTTGACGTTCCGTTCCACTATTAAAAAGAAAAGAAAAAGAATAGTCAGGTACGTATTGTAAATAGTAAAAACAAAAACATAACACCAAATGAAATAAAACTGAAGAAAGAGAAAAATATCTCCGAAACGTCTTAAAATAAAATAATACAATTATAATGACCTTCGTTAACACATGTAAGATATCATACAAGATATCTTTCATTTCATCGAATTCAGTACATAATTTTGAACGCGAAGTCGGTTGCAAGACACATCAACAATGTTATAGCAATGCACCAAATCTAACCACTACAATGAAATCGTTTGGAATAGTGCCTATCAATAAGATCGAAATAAAGATACCTTTGATCCTAGTTCTGCTGTGAAACAAACTTACATCTTCGAATATCTTTTGCTTCATTTTACATAATTTATGACAATAGATTAATGAATTTCAAGAAAAATTAATACTTTTTAAGATCAAGTGCGCGAAGAAAGCAGCAGCATTTGTTGCTATACATTTCAGTTTATTAGTTTTCTTAATAATATTTTTTATCACAACTAAATTCACTTGATAAATATCATAACAGGTAAATTTTGTATCCAGAATTATTAATTGATAGAACGCAAAGTTTGTCTCTTTGCACGTTAACTTTCATAAGAAAACTTCCATTGAGACATACTGGAAACTCAATAAACAATAAAAATTGATTTACTTGCAGAGTTTAAAAACTAAAAAAAATTCCTATAAAGACCATAGATTCTTTCTTTTGGATGTAAATGCCATTATATAGCTTAAAAAAAACACGAATTTCCCAGCAATATTTGAAAATCAGCTTTTTTGTATATTGAAGACAACGAAAAAATAAAGATTTAAAATATGTGAACAACTTGAATTAAGCATCTATCTGAATCAATAAAAATACACCTAGAAGATAACTGATCTTTTATCACATCTCGGTAATGAGAAAACCATTTAATTTGAAAAAAAGCAAAAGAGCTCCATTGCGTTTTCTATGTTTTTCTCGCATTTCTTGTTTGACAAAATTCAATCATACAGACTCTTTCTGAAGTGATGATAAAACATCGAAGCAGATCAAGCCGTCTTCGTTTTCAAAAAGAAAAGATAGAATAGTATCTATGCATAGTCGACTCATTCAATATTAGAATCTGTCGATCATACATTGCCGGATATACATTGGTTTTTATGTTTTTCTAAGAATGTTGTTTTCTTTAATCGTTGAAGACCATTAATGAAATGAAGGAGTTCATCATTCCAGTTATGCTGGTATGTCTGTTGCGAATTGAATGGACAACTACTTCAAAATCGAATTCAGGTAACAAATAGCAACACTTTATCTGTGTATCTATTAAAATTATTTATTTAAATAATACAGATATTCGGAGTCGTTCATCGTTGAATTGTTCTCAATATACTGATGATGATGAAATTCTTGTCTCATTTCCATTCCATGTTGATATGAATCCATTCACACGAGTGTTGACTAAGACAAATGGCTTAATGAACGATGAAGGACATATTTATCATTTGAATATCATTAATCAAAAGTTTTTTCCGTTGACAATTTTTTGTTTGAAACATTTACAACAGTTATACATTCGAAACATGAGTTTCCGTAATACTAATCATCGACTTCCATCTGAAATCGATCGTCTTGCATCAACACTAATTAGTTTAAGTATTTATAACAGTCAACTCACTCATCTATCTGAACAGATCAGTAGATTGAAACATCTGCAATCATTAGAATTAGTCAATACAAATTTAATGGAGCTTCCATATAGTATTGGTAATTTATCTTCATTAACATTCCTTTATTTAGCTAATAATCAACTCAGTTCGTTGCCTGATACGATTAAAAATCTGTCAGTATTATCACAAATTGTATTAAAAAATAATCTATACCTTCGTTCAATACAATCACTCAATGGTTTACCAAATCTTAAAGGTTTACAAATAGATAATTGTCCCATTGAACAGCTTCCAATGAATTTACCATATTTAACTGATTTCCAGATGTCTAAAAGTAATCTTTCACATTTGATTGGCATTCGAACATTAGGATATAAAACAAAAAATAACAAATATTTTTATTTTAATAATAATCATATTCAATCTATTCCACCGCAAATAAAATATGTTAATAATCTTTACTTTCTCAATCTCAATGATAATCATTTAATTACTTTACCATTGGATATTTTCAATATAACTACACTTCATTATTTATACATTCAAAATAATCATTTTAGAGATTATGAATTAAAAAAGATTGTTGCTAAGTTTACTGTTACACATCCATATATGACTTTATATTATACGAAGAGCAATAGTTGATAGAAAAAAAAACTCACACACACACACACACACACACAACAGATTTTCATAGTTATTAATTCGATAGTATTTACTTCAGATCAGTTTTTCTTCTTGTAAAAATTATTGTATAGCATTGGAAATTTTTTAAAACTACAAAGATTTAACCTCATGATAGCCATCGTTTTATTTTCTGCTGGAATTTTGTAATTATTCAGAGAGAATAAAACATGATTGAAAACGGAGGTTTTGTTTTGTAATACAAGAAAATTTTCATGATGATATCGGTAGCGAGACTTGTTTTAGTGTACTCAAAAAGTGAGTACACTCTAGAATCGGTCAGTGTGTCCGTCCGGCCGTAGGCACGATAACTTTCGAAAGGAGAGTAGTCAGACCGTGATGAAATTTTCCACACGGTTCAATCTCATGAATATCTCGGTCGAGTTCAAAGATGAGAAGAATCCCTCAAGAAATGGTTGAGTTATCGAAAAAATTGTCATTTTTGACCAGGCCATCCCTGAGGGAGGAGTATAGGGAATTTTTTTCAAAAAATAAATCTTTCTCAGAATTATTCACAACATATATAAATCGACTCAGTTTTTAACGCGGATTCCGAATCTGATATTAGTTTTGAGCTAAACCGTAGCTTTCTGATGAAACATCGCCTGAAAAACGTCTCAAAATGCACAAAAACTGCATCCAGAAATCAAATTGCCTAGTTTCTCATGATAATTTTGGTGTTCAGACATTCTAGAATGACTCATATGTCCCATGCACTTTTTGCAGTACACATAACTTTCGGATGAAATCCGAAGTTTCCACATTTTTTAATGTGCGTATTGCCAGATCAGAACTCACTTATAGACGTTAAGTGAAACATAGCAGCAATTCGATGAATTATTATTTATTATTAGAATTGTATTATAACGTGTGACTAATGCTTGTCTTGAAACCGATCAGAATATTAGTTGAAATGATTACATTATATGGAATAAAAAGAGCTTTCTTTCTTAGTACCAAAAAGAACTTGTTTTCAATCGACAGAACAACAAAATCATTTGCTTTGGTCTCGTAGGAACTGATCTATTTTTAGAAAACGATAGTATTTTTTTATTTATCGTCATTGTAAATAAGAAAATTAGATAATCTACTTCTATGCGGGTTTTTCAGGCAATTGAATCAGAGCCTTTCGAAAATGAAGCATATTTCTGCACAAAGAAAAATCGGAGGGAGACAAGTATAAAATGCAAATGAGACTACTCTTTAGAATGTTCTCATTAGATTAACCTGGTCGCCACATTCTTCATTAATTGTCGATCATATTAAAATATTATCAATCTATATGGCAACCAAAAAGAAATCATTTTGTCGATATTCCCTATAAGTTAACGATCATGATTTGAATCAATCACAATTGCTCGATGTTAACAGATGCCTCGTATTCTGATCAGCTGATATAAACCATTTTTTTTTGATAAAATGATGTAACTGTTTCGTTTCTGTTACTACATTTCACTCACATTTGTTCCTATATGATGCATCATCGAGCATCATCTTGTAATTTGAGACGAATAAATTCTGTTACTCGTTAGTCTAAGATATCATTTGTTTGATCGAATTTTTATTCATTTTAATTAATTCTGAACGAAACAAAAAGGAGAAAGAAGAACTTATAAAAAAATTCATTCATTTGATTTTACTTGTAAAATATACTCTAAAATGATACCTCGTCCAATAATGATTGCTACTACGAACACTGAAACATCAACGGCAACTAAAAGAACTCTTTTTCGTATAGCATTATGTATTGCTATGGTTGGTTCAGTTATTGTTAGTGCATTATTATGTCTACAAAGTGGATTATCAATTGGTCGTATTCGACATTTTATTGATATCGGTCAGCTTCCACTTCCTATTACATCAGCACTTTTGGCTTTTTTCGCTCTTCTATCAGTATTAACATTTGTTATTTTAACAATCGGTTTAATTAAAGTGAAAAGAAATTTTGCTATTATAGCTGCTGGCCTATTAATTATATGCTCATTGGGTCTCATTACATTTAGTATATGGTCATTTTTGACAATCTCAGGTGAACAATTACAAAAATCAATTAATGATACATTAGTCAAAGAATTAGATCAAACACAATACATTCTTTATAATGGAAATAATATTACTATTGATAATACCGTTAAAATGGCACGATTAGAAAAACAACATCAATGCTGTGGTCTTGCAGAACCCATTGAAGATTATCTTAGTCGACAACCTTCTAACATCCGATCGGCAGCAGCAGCATCCGCTAGCAGCGGTACAAAAGGGCGAACAACACAATATCAAAAAAATCCATCAACATCTGGATCACCTATTCTATTACCAATTAGTTGCTGTAATGAGAAATATCGTTCAAATGAAAATAATTTGTGTTTGGATGTTTATGGAAATAATTCAAACCCAATAAATCGCTATAATACAGAAGGATGTCTTGCTGTGATTGCACGAGAAAAATTTCAACGCATTCAAAAACAAGGTTTTATAATTATTGTCACTGCCTGTTTAGCCGTTATCAGTTGTATTGCATTAGCCGCTGTTATTAGACTTTTAAATGAAGGTTATCAAGTTGTACCATTACCAATTACAACATGAACATTTCTATGAATCAATGAACACAATTTTCTTTCTTTCTTTCTTTCTTTCTTTCTTTCGATAAAAATAGATAAAAAATCAATTTAGAAAAAATTCATTTCAACACCAATATAATCCATTGCTTTTGATTCTTCAAGCGTTGTATGTAAACGTTTTTCAGTTACTGGTTGATAGAAATTATCCGTATTATCTTGCACATAAACACTATTTATAGAAAATAATCTCAAACATTAAATGTATAAATAGAAAATGATCTTACCGATAAAATGTCATTGAAGATTGATCAACGGAAGACCAACGTTCAACAGTAGGTTGAACAATATTTGTTATTTTATCAAATGGCATCTTACTAAAATATAATTGTGAAAACGATTCAATGGAACTAGATTTTGATAGACGATCATTATTTCGATCTAGGAATAAACAAAATACCATTTTCAATACTTTTTTTTGTACAATAATTTAAATAAACCTTGACCATTTCTTCTATAACAACAGCAAAAAATTAGTAATACAATTAATATTAAGCCTATAACACCAAAACCAATGGCAAATTTCAACGATATACTAGAATCTGATTATATATATATATTTAGAGAGAAAAACAATAATCGAAATAGATTCTATCTACCATGAATAACAGACGATTGATCCATCTCGAACGGCAATGTAATTTCCTACTATTGATAGGATTTTTTCTTTTCATTAGTTTTACATCAAGTCTTTTTTATCTTTTGATGTAATCGTAATATGTGGTTTATTCTTTCATTTTCTTTTGTACTCTATCTATTCATGTTTTCACCTATGTCTTTTCATGAAACGACGGACTATTCATTAATGCTTTTTTTTTCTTTTTTAAATACCAAACACAATTCGACAATCGAGCATTTATAAAAATGAATATGAAGGAAATAGAAAGAAAGAAAATTGTGTTCATTGATTCATAGAAATGTTCATGTTGTAATTGGTAATGGTACAACTTGATAACCTTCATTTAAAAGTNAGGAATTAGAAACCCCCCCCCCTCTCTCTCTCTCTCTCTCTCATAAAAAAGCAATTAAAGTCCGTAATTACAATCGAGTATTTCGTATAGATATTTCAATGCCCCTAGAGTAAAAGAAAGAAACGGAACATTCACTCGACGATGACAACAACGGCATATTCGCATAAAAATAAGATCACAACGAATCATTCAACTCGAGAGCCATTATAGTCTTTATTAAAGAAATGCTGATAGGCCTAAAAAACAAATGATTTTCCTTGAAAGAAAAAAACTCATGAAAACAATACGCGTATACCCGATGACAATACAATAACAAGAGTCGTGAAGCTGGCTGACATCATCGCTCATCTACATTCTGTTTTCGTCATTCTGTGTTGATGATTTTGTAGCAATGTAATATTATTTTTTTTGCTTGTGAATAATTCTTGCGGTGCATGAATGAATGCTAGTGCTTACATTTTGACGAGAACACTTATAAATTCCCGGAAACTGAGATGAAAAGAAAAAGGAGTGAGAAAAAAAACTAGAAATAGTTTTTTTCAGTTGAACGTTTTTTCTTCCGTCGTGTTGCATCGTGTGATGAAAATGATTGATAATATCTTCTCTTTTTTTGTATGCCTCACGGGCATCACCACTTATTATACGATGAGCTAAACAAAGTGATACTCTTTTCAGACAAATAAAAAAAAGAAGACTCTCCAATGTGCGATAGACCTATACAAATAGCTGTTATAGGTGATAAAGCTGTTGGAAAAACATCTATTATTCGTCAGTGGTTATACAATGATTATTCATCATCGCATTCAACAACTCGATTAGCTACCTATCATTTTACATCGTTATTCAATGGCCAACGTTTATTTCATATACGTATAATTGATACACCACGTTTTGACGACACAAATAATACTGATCCACAACAGGAATGGGTACGAATGTATTGTTTTCGTCGTGCACATTTATTTTTATTAGTATTTGATATAAATCGTGAAGAAACATTTAGCTACATTAAAAATATTTATCGTGAAATAATTCGTTTTCGATATAATAATAATAATAATTTTTATTCACAACAGCCAACAGAAAATTTAGCTGATATGATTAATGGCGATGATGACCAATCAGCAAGTCATTTACCTGTAATTGTTGTTGCAAATAAAGTTGATTTTATTTCAACTGATGTACGTTTTGCAAATATAACATTAACCAATTCGCGTGATATACAACAATATGTCAAGAAAAATTTCAAATCCAATACAATATTATGTTCAGCAAAGTATCATTGGCATTTAGTTTTATTATTTAGAGAAGTTTGCCGAATGTTAGAAACCGTTGAAGATACGGTTGCTAAACAAGCTGCGCAGCAGGCCAGACGCAGACTTCAACAACATGGCAAACACTGTCATGTTATGTAGTTATTTTTCTCTTTTCTTTCTTTTTTTTATTCTAGACAAGAAGTTTTTATTGACATATATCCATCTATACGCCTTATAATTTGTCACTCATTTCGAATAAACTAATAAATAAATAAATTCATATATTTAGAACATTCAGACAGCTAGTCCCAATGATATTGGCATGAAAGAGGAGATTAATGATTTTGGTACGAAGTTCATATGTTAATGTTTTGTCTGGTTGTGATGGAAAGCAAAATGAATGAAAATAAGGACGAACTGACGTTGATTTTTGTTGACACGTACGTTCTTTTTTTTTATAGAATAAGAAAGACAATAAAGATTTTTTGGTTTATTATGGCACGTACGCATGGTCAATATGGCTTTCTTCTGTCTGTCTGTCTCTCTCTCTCTATCTGTGCTTTCCTTCAATGAAAAATAACTACATCAGATGATTTGTCAGTTTGACTTACAATGCTTCAGATAAGTCAAAAGTAAGAACAAGAAAACAAAGTCACAGAGTTATAAGGAAACAAATATGATTAAATGCATTATTTTTAAAATTAATTGCTATTATGTTCTTGACAAAAGGCTAATCTTATCCTATAAGAAACAAATGAAGCTTATATAAGTTATTAATTATCTACTCAAGAATAAATGAAAAGCATGCACGAAAAAATTAATTATTTCTGCGTGGTTGTGCACTAGTCAATTTTAAGTAATACTGGCTAATAAGCTTATTATTCATATCGGTTCGCAATACCCAGTAATAATATGACTGCATTTTTTCCCAAGCGTCATTGCAAAGGTAGTACGTAAATAACCATGACTAAAAACGGACGAATATCTGGATTGGCTTGCAACGAATGTTTTACTTCCTATTTATAAATATTTTTCTTTTCTTTATACATTGACTAAACAAATGAACGACAGAACGGAAAAGACTGATGAATAGTTCGTTGTATGCTTTTTTTGACAAAATACTCGCAATTATATCCCATAACCTTTTCTCGTCTTTGTACCTGAGAAAAGAAAAAAAAGAGCTAGTAGGCGAGACGAAATAGTCAGTCGATCATCGTATTAAATTTCTGTGAAAATTTCCTTGCGTCTACACGCTTTCCACAGGGAAAGGACCAACGAAAAGTTCGCTTTGCATGTATTTAAAACCCAGCTCTATGTAACATTATTCACATCAGACGAAAAATTCTCGCTCATTAGTATTCGACATAACTTGGAATTTACAAGAACGCGAAAGACTATCCATGATCATTACATTATTGTTGATAGCCACTGTGTTGGCTATTTATTTGATGCATATTTATCGATCCTATTCGTTTTTCAAAAATTTAGGCATCGATGGACCAATTCCAACGTTTTTNGTATTTAAAACCCAGCTCTATGTAACATTATTCACATCAGACGAAAAATTCTCGCTCATTAGTATTCGACATAACTTGGAATTTACAAGAACGCGAAAGACTATCCATGATCATTACATTATTGTTGATAGCCACTGTGTTGGCTATTTATTTGATGCATATTTATCGATCCTATTCGTTTTTCAAAAATTTAGGCATCGATGGACCAATTCCAACGTTTTTTCTCGGCAACGTTCAAGATTTCGCTTCTACCAAACGTATATCAATATCCATTCGAAACTGGACCCAACAGTTCGGCCGTATTTATGGCTATTTTGAAGGTCATACACCAGTTTTAGTAGTGTCTGATCCAGACATTTTAGATCAAATATTTCGAAAGCATTTTTCGAAATTTCATTCACGTCGTCAATTTCCATTAGAAGATCGTTCACCAAGAATAGGCGTTCATTTATTCAGTGCAACAGGTGAAGAATGGCGTCGACAACGAAATATCATAAAACCAGCATTCTCTGCAAGTAAAATAAAACGAATGATACCAAGCTTAAATGGTTGCATTGGAAATTTGATGACGAAATTAGACGAATCTATTACCACAGAACCAAACGGTTTTGATATTTATAAATTATATAAATCATTAACAATGGATGTGATATGGAGATGTTGCTTTGGTATTACAACAGACTTGCAAAATGATCCTAATAATGCTTTTTTAGTTCGAGCGCAACAAGTATTTGCTCGCGAAAATAGCACATACTTAACAACTCTTTTAGGAATATTTATACCTGAATTGCAACCCTGCTGGTTATCTTTACATTCTTGGACGAACAGTATAAAATCTAAATTAAGAGAACTATTACCATTCGGCGAAAGATTTATTGCTGATGATCCAAATGAATGGCTCAAAGGACATGTAGAAGATTGCATCGGCCAAGCATTGAAAAGTTTTGATGAGCCTGATTTATTACATTTGATGCTTGATGCAACAAGAACAACTTCGAATAATGCTGATCAAGTAAATTTTTCTTCATGCAATTACTATTTACCGAAAATTTTAATATTGTTTTTGTCCTTAATTCTTATAGCAAAATTCCACACGCAGTTCATTAACTCTTGACGAAGTCAAACAGAATATGTATTTATTTATGGTCGCTGGTTATGAAACTGTCAGTACAGCACTTGCCTATGTCACTTATATTTTAGTTACACATCCTGATGAACAAGAAAAACTACGAAAACATATTGATGGTTATTTATCGAAAGACACTATTGATAATTTTGATGTTGTTAAAACAATGGACTATCTCGATTGGTTTATTCGAGAAACATTACGTATGTATCCAATAACACCAATTATTATTAATCGGGAATGTTCAGAAGAAATTAATGTACCAGGATTAGGTTGTATTTCACCGGGTACGAAAGTTACACTTGATATGTACACTTTACATTATGATAATGAGCTCTGGGGAGATGTAGACACAAAAATATTCTATCCGGAAAGATTTTCAGCTAAATGTCATCCATTACCATGGGTTGCTTTTGGTGTTGGACAACGTAATTGCATAGGAATGCAATTTGCACTTGCTGAAATTAAATTTGCTGTTATACGTCTTCTACAGAATTATGAAATCTTGCCATCTGCATTGACGAACGAAGAGCTAGAACTAGTTGAATTGGTTACAATTGCACCAAAACAAGTAATGGTTCGTTTAAAAAAACGAACTGACAGAGAAGGTGAATAAAATTCAATCCTGTCATTAATCTGTACCAATAGCCTACGGCACACTGTCAATCATATTGACAATAATTCCGCGAAACAAAATGGTTTTAATCGAGCAAAATATTATTAGATTGATAAATATGTTTTCACTCTATTTTTCTTATTAAATAAATAAATCAAACATTTGCAACATTTAAACAGTCTTATGATCATGATTTTTATTAGATAAAAATATCTTGTTTTATTTAACTTCCCTAGGCTATGCAAAAGTATTGTTTGCAATGCAGACATTTTTAAAGAACAAACGCGTCGCATTCAAATGGCAGCAAAACAAAGTTTATTTATTTTAAAATATATCTTATATTTCCTCCAGAGAAAAGAACTACTGCGCAAAGGCTGACCCAATTTTGCACTTCGATGAAGTGTCAACTAAATATAGCCTCAAAAGAGAACTCAGATTTCAAGAACACGAAGAAAAATAATGATAGAAATGTAAAAGTATCCAATTGTTCTGACATTCTTGCTCTCGTGGACTTGATTAGTTCTATTGATTATAACTACGACATAGCTACTTAATTCAGTGATCTGAAGCGAAGCGATAGTGAATCAACCAGATTGCAATAAGAAAAGCAAAGTTATGGAATATAAATTTGCGTTTTTTTTTGAATAGATTACCAACAATGAGTGAATATCGATCGAATTGGGAGTCCGAAAAGGCAAAACTCGATGTATATAATAGAATATTCATAGATTCTATTGCTGTATTATTATGATGCTTAAAGGAAACAGTAAAGATTTGAATCAATTTGTTTTTTTTATTTCATTCAGAAAAATTATTTACCGTATGTCTTATAATATTGATTCAAAGAAATGTCTAAATTTTACTCACTACTTAGAGCATTCATTTTCTCGAGGAATTGATTCTAGTAGACCTGATACATAAATATATTCTTTATAAATTCATTAATTTTTTGCATGTGTATACCTGATAGTGAATAAATGCACGGGTATGATACGAAATGACATTAATATATCGACATATATCTACAAATGATTGACGAGCGAGCTCTAGGAAAGAATTTTGTATTGGAATGAACTCTAGACCAATAAAATTAATAGACGACGTATACACTGTACACAATTGTTGTCTCTGGTGGGTGGCTATATTTATCGTGTAGATATTTGAGTACTTCTGTTTTAGTTTTTATCATAAATATTTGACATTTGATGGTCGTTGTCTAGATAAATATCAAAGAAACTGACAAAAACAATTGCCAACGATGCGAAACAGTGAGAGAATGTCCAATTATCGTCACAGTGTGCATTATGAAAAAGATATTTCATCGAATTCTAGAGAAATATCCGAATGTAGTCTGTACTCAGCAACGCCAGGCGGTAGAATTTTTTTTATTTTTTAAATTAAATATATTAATATTTCAATTAAATAGGTACTCGCATTTATTATGATCGAATGTTTCTGTTATCTCGTCGTGAATCACCTATTGCACAATCACCCCCATTAAATTTGCCGTATATTGCAAAAGGTTTGTCTAACTAAATTTACGCTAAACTAAATAGAAAAAGCATCATAACTACGGTTGTGACTATGATTGGTGATGGCCGACACATGCTCTTATGTTTGTTTCATAAGACGCTGCCGAATGTTATTTTTTCATTTAATTTTTGGTGGGAAACGAGCCATGTTTTCACAGTATGTCATCATGCTTACATTGCAATGGGAAAAATCACACATTGTGTAGTATGGATTCTTTTTTTTTATATCAAATTTACTTCATCGAAGTCTAGCGTTAGTTTTGTTTTCATGAATTTTTTATTTTAGCGAGCATAGCTACAAAATATTGACTTTTATATGTGGAAACTATGTGGTTCATATGTGAAATTAGTTAGGAGAGACTTGCAGACAATTTTTTTTGAAATGATGTTAATCTGAATTTCAAATCATATTTATTTATCTATGCAGAAAGGAGAAACAACCGATAGGATTTCAATCATAAGTAAAAATAATTCTGATTGAACATTGAAAATATTCGAAAAATGAGATTGAATTGCGAAACTTATTCTGAAAAAAAACGTAAGAACATTTGCAATTACATAAAGTTCACGTTTTGTAACTATACAAAAGAATTTATTCAGAAGCTGTTATTATTTCGAGTAGGCCAGACCGACAAAATAAATAGTAATGAATAATGATTCTGTCATTATTATTTCAGGACAGAAACGTAACTAAATATTTTTTTGCACTAAACCTTTCTTTTTTTGTTTATCGACCCAAATTCCGCGAAATGTAAAATGACTATTTGTTTAATGATTCTATTCTAACTTGCAACCAATTTGATAAAACTTCATCAACACTTGAAACTTTACAGTGAGGCCTTGACAGAATGTAACAACTTAATAGAAAAATACTGTTGCCATATCGTGTTTTCTGTCAACGTTGTCAAAATCAGAAGTTAAATCAGCAATGTCAACAAAATGCACTCAATTCTTGCGCATATGAATAATCTTATAAATAATTTTTATCGCCTTTCTCTTGATCAAAGTGTCTAAAAACTAAACTTGCTTTTATCCTTGTCGAATCTCCTATTTTTAATTATTAAAAGTCTTCTCGCATGAAAATTTTGCTAATGCAACTATCTGAAATAATATTTTTCTTATCGTGTTCTATTCATCGTGCATCTATTTTAAATAATTAAAGCACATAAAAGACATTGTTATTACTATATTTCAAAATATAGTAGATGCTAATTGTCGGAATTATTTAGTTACGTTGATTACTGAACCGTTTACAACAAATGATATCGTTGAACATGATAATAATAAAAATTATGCTTCCAAAGCAATGATCGATATAGATATAAGTTTATCTGAACGAAAACGATCAACATCAGAGAAGAAAGGTTTAGAAATAAAAAAAGTTTCTCGCTTTAATATAAAAATATTGACACATATTTGTTTAGATCATGATCAATTTTCAATGGATATGTAATTAATTACTCTTCTTTGAATCGATTGTTCTATGAGTTAATTTAATTCTGGTCAATGCATTTTACTTCTCGTTTCGATGTCTGTATTTTTTTGTATTTATTGACTATTCTAATTATTGTATATTTGTTGTGTTCATCTATTTGTCAGTCATTTATATCCAGCAAAAAAATTAGTTAAATTAAGAGAAAATTTCGTCTTCGTGAAAGTCATCAGATTAATATAGATCTATTTTGCTTCTTTTGTTGTTTTAGTATATAAAAGAAAATGACAACGGAAACAGAAGAAAAAACGGATGTTTTAAATAATGTTAATAATCAATTAAAAGATTTAATTGAATTAATTGAAAAAGAAAAAGATTCTTCGTTTTCAATGAAATCTTTTGATAAATTAGATAAAAAGAAAAAGAAATCAAAAAAGAAATGGTTTATTATTTGTTTTCTCATACCAATATTTATTTGTATGTATTTTATTCTATCGAATGAAATATTAAACTATGATATCTATTTCGTATTCTTATCATTTGTTCGATTAATACTGATTAAAGTAAGAAGAGAAAAATAAACAATTCATTAAATTAATATAAGAATGAATTTCTTTTTAAGATTCTTCCACTTTGGGATTGGACGAATATTTATACAAGGACATGTTTCATCGCTAATCCATTTTATAATAATTCATTGGACTTATCTGAATGCAATGTAAATAGCTGCACGATAAATTTTCACTACGACTTATTATCAAAATCAAAAAATAGAAAGAAGGAGCTATTCATTTTAAGATAGTTTGTCGCGAGACATACAATTCAACGATAAAACTATGAGTGTTTGAGTGTACTGTTAATTGGTGCAGAAGGAAAAAACCTAGTGCTGAATAATTCTTAAATGTTTTCTCTAAACTCACCAGTAATGTCAGGGAGTCTCATCGATGGTTTTTTTGTCAGAATATGCAACCACTTTTATTGATAACAATAACGTTGTAAAGAGTACACGATGCAAACTTCAATAAGATAAGCTATATACGGATGTTTTTTTGCATGACAGCAAGAGGAAGAATGACTACACACGCAATAGCCAGGAAGACAGTCATACAGTTATGTATGCATTATATATCTCTAATCGAAAGGGAAAAGACCAAAAAATAATAACTGATAGTTGGTCAACAGCAATACGGTGTGTAGCCTAATGAATATTGCTTTAGGTTATTATGATGACAGTTCGTCGTATTCTAGTTTTCCTTTCTTTTAGCGGATTAATCAGTAGATAAATGAATCTTCGTTTACTCACAGATCATTACATTGTTATCTATCACCGCTATTATATTCATTAGAATCACATAATGTTACATTTAGACAAGCTATTATCGTGATTGTGTATTGAGAATAGCCTTCAAACATATATATTTCCATTGAGAATCATTTATTGGAAACTAATTTTTTTATGAGAACCTCAGGGATTGAATTAGAGGTACTGCTGAAAATATTTCATTCGTATACGCATAAAAGATGTTGTTAGTTTCTTCTCATGAATTTGATACTACTTTTCGAATACATAGACTGATAGTTAACATTTAGCTTACGCGTACGACGTGGATTCTTTTTATTTAGAAATGTGTTAATACAACAGAAGTAGGTTCGCAATCGAATATAAGCTTTTTTAATTTTACAAAAACTATTTATCTTAATCACTTACCTGTTATTATTGATGATGCAACAGAAAATTGGCCAGCTATTAAAGAATTAACAATTAAAAATTTATTTCAAGTTTGTTTGTTTTTTATTGAGAATCATTTCAAGGATTATTTTAGAATTTATATTTAGCGTTTTATCGACGATCCCGTGCTTTCGGAAAATGATCTCTGTTATTTTGAATCAAATCTCCGCAACTACAATCAACCGGGAGGTGCGGATCAACTTTTTAATGATTATATCAATGGTGATCTTCGTGCGTTTATTGTCCATTGGTAAAGCGAAAGTTTTTCTTCAGCAGATCTTATCTATTCTAATTTAATCTAGGAATAATTGTAAACGAGAAACATTGAAAATTGTTCGTTCGTATTATTCTAAACCATATTTTTTACCACCATCACTTGGCCAAACATTAATGGGAAATTGGTTTTTAATATCATCAGGTTTTCATAAAGGAACAAATCGTTTACATAAAGTAAATTAAAATCTAGATAATGCTTTATTTATTTAGTCTTTTTTTCTTCTTACAAATGATTAGGTTCCTTTGAATCATAATTGGGTTTGGTTAGCACAAATTCAAGGTTCGAGTTCAATTGAGCTTCGACCAAAACATCCATGTGATCGAGCATGTTCGATATTAAAATTTGTTACATTGAATAAGGGCGATTTAAGTAATAGCTTTAATTATGTTTTGCTATTTGAATTAATTGAGTTTTGTTTAATTTTTAGTTATTTATTCACATTTGTACGATGCTCTCTACAGTCCATTGAAAAAAGAAACGGTTTTATTAGCACAGGGCGTTGATTAACGTCTGATGAATTGAGTAATTAATGTTACTAATTTATCTACTCCTTCTTCTTGTGGTAAATGACCGCATTGTGAAATCATGACATATTCAGTTAGACTTTCAGTTGAACGATTTTTTGTTAACGTATTATAGAATTCTTGAATATTTTCTTTTGATACTATTTTTATCGTGTTCGCCAATAATAATCAATATTTTTAGTTTATTACTAAGCTTATACCATTCGTTGATTGTTGACGATGGAACATAGTTTTGCGTAAAGAGAACAAAACTATTCAAAAACAGTGGATCATCACGAATTGGTTTAAGATAACTTTCACGAGTTCCGTCGTCTCTTGCAATATTTTCATTAAAATAAGAATTTTTAAATGAAAGAAAATGAGTTAAACCAAACTTTAGCAGATATTGAATTGGTGTAGCACCTAAGAATCAATCGGCCAATGGGTCCTACGGAATGTTGAACATTTATAAGATTATAACGAGCAACAAAAATAATGGATTGAATAAGATCAGGTCGAGCTATAGCTATTTCAAAAGCAACATCAGCTCCAGATGAACTGGAAACAATATGCATATTATTTGATATATTCAATTGATTGAGTAGTTCACTTGCAAGTAGTTCTTCACTTTTTCGTGTATACAAATTGACCATCAAGTACACGTTCTGTTAAACCAGATCCTAAACGATCATACGCTAAAACTTGACAGCCACTAATGTCAGCTAATGGTTGTAGACATCTATTCCATGTAAATGATTCATAAACCTTCGTTGATGGTGGAAGTAGCGTGGCTTTGTTTTTCTTCTTTCTGTTACGTGACCATGAAAAAAGAAAACTATAGAGTTGTCATGAAATAACAAAAAAAGACGTTGCTCGAGTTAAAATAGAACAAAACTTATTTTAACACTAAAATTTGAATGAAGTGTTGAAAAAATTCTACTTTGCAATATTAATACTTATCTGAATAGGAAATTTATAAATAAGGAACATTTTGAATATGAAATCTCTTTATTCATTCAGTATGATTCAAAATTTTCTCAACGATATCTAATGTTCAATTATGATTTGTCTCAAAAGATTATCATTCGCAATTGTGGAAATTTAAGCCTATTTGTGAAGAATCTAAATTAGATTTTGATAGAGATTAACATGAAAACCTGATTTTTTTAGCGTTGGAGGAAGTACTTCAGATCTTTGCTACTATGCATGTAGTTTTGAAAAAATCTGACGTTTGCAATTAGCACACTCAACTCTAGGAAAGTAAAGTGAATTCTTGTAGAACGATGAGAAAAAGGTTTTTCGATCCCTGAGGAGGGCCTCAGAGGTGAAAAAAAATGAGATACGATAGAATTAATCCGGATTCAATGATGAATCTCAGGCTAATAAAATAAGTGTGAGATTGTTTGAGACGCCAAATTAGTAATTGGACAGGCCTCCTTTCCTCGTTTCCGTCACCCGTTACTTGGAAACATAATAGTAATTTACGTCCCCGATCAAAAACATAATTACTATTCTGTGTAATGATGAAAAATAAAAAATATTATCTGAAACAAGTTGAATACAAAGGTATTTAGTAGGCCTCGTCTCTATTGACAGCTCCTGCGATTGTTAAATCGCCTCAAAATGATGCACTATCGCTGAGAGGGCATAGGTAGAAGTCCAAATGATATTTATCACTCGGGCAAAACTTGATGTTAAAAATAAATCATAATCTCTTCGAAGTTTTGAGTTTCTCATATACGTTCATAGGCGCCAAAAAAAAGCGATGAATACATTCCTGCACTGTCTGATAAATTCCCCGGGGATTCCCTATGAAGTTTTCAGAGAGCTTTTGTTTTTTTACTACTACGTAAAATTGGGGAACTACCATGGGATTTTCCAGAGAGCCACCAGTGAGTCCCTGACGATTAGAGCTCATTGTGTTCGGGTCTGATAATTTTTCTGAACAGCAACCGATCATAAATCTCGATTGACAAAAAAAATTGAACTTGATGATTTCTTTTTAAAATTTTCGTGTGTTTTATTGAAAACGCTGCAAACTGATTTATAAAGAGTAGAATACGTTGCTGGCTAGTAAAATATAATTAAATTGTGACGTTTTCTTTAATCGTGAAGTCTGTTCGTCCTTAGAAAGAAATGCATACCTTTTTATTTTTATATTTTCCTATCCATGCCATGTAGTGAGATCGCCTGCTTTTATTTATCATGAACTAACTTGATGAAGAAAAGAACTGATAAAGAACCTTTAGTAATGCGTGCTTTAATTCTCTCAACAGAAGCGTCTGGTTTGAAATAGGAGCTAATTAAAATAAATTATTGTAAAATCTCAATTGGATCGCTAAAGGACTATGTGCAGTGCAGCTTACTACTCATCAAACAAAAGAAATAAAATACTATATCTCATGTTTCAAGTAGCAATTAGAATCACGTTAGAAAAATTCATTATTAGTTTTAAGAATATCCTTTAGTTCCGAGCCTCAGAAGAATTGACCAATACCTTAGGGTGCACCGGATCTGGGTCCAGATAGTATTGGACCAGATGACCACTACTAGGGATATATCAGTTTTCCGGAGACTCTCCGGTGATTCTGCGTGGGATAGTCGATTACAGTATGTTAATTGGATTGAAATGAATGCATTTTCCCCCTGCCAGAAAAAGTTTCCTGTTCTCAATACATTTACTAAGCATCTCCAGGACAAAACGATAAAGATCAATGGCAGATATGCTTTTCTTTTGACAAGCAATCAAAGTTACGAAGCATATATTTTTTTTCCCTTTGTATGTATGAGAGAAAAAATGTCAAGTAGGCCAGACGAAATAATCAATTAATCAGTCAATCAATCAATATATTAGATTGGCCTGAATTTACCAATGCACTTACGTAACTCGAAGTGGGAATTCACCAACGGAAAGTTCTCTTTGTTAGTATTTAAAACCCAGCTCTATGTAACATTATTCACATCAGACGAAAAATTCTCGCTCATTAGTATTCGACATAACTTGGAATTTACAAGAACGCGAAAGACTATCCATGATCATTACATTATTGTTGATAGCCACTGTGTTGGCTATTTATTTGATGCATATTTATCGATCCTATTCGTTTTTCAAAAATTTAGGCATCGATGGACCAATTCCAACGTTTTTTCTCGGCAACGTTCAAGATTTCGCTTCTACCAAACGTATATCAATATCCATTCGAAACTGGACCCAACAGTTCGGCCGTATTTATGGCTATTTTGAAGGTCATACACCAGTTTTAGTAGTGTCTGATCCAGACATTTTAGATCAAATATTTCGAAAGCATTTTTCGAAATTTCATTCACGTCGTCAATTTCCATTAGAAGATCGTTCACCAAGAATAGGCGTTCATTTATTCAGTGCAACAGGTGAAGAATGGCGTCGACAACGAAATATCATAAAACCAGCATTCTCTGCAAGTAAAATAAAACGAATGATACCAAGCTTAAATGGTTGCATTGGAAATTTGATGACGAAATTAGACGAATCTATTACCACAGAACCAAACGGTTTTGATATTTATAAATTATATAAATCATTAACAATGGATGTGATATGGAGATGTTGCTTTGGTATTACAACAGACTTGCAAAATGATCCTAATAATGCTTTTTTAGTTCGAGCGCAACAAGTATTTGCTCGCGAAAATAGCACATACTTAACAACTCTTTTAGGAATATTTATACCTGAATTGCAACCCTGCTGGTTATCTTTACATTCTTGGACGAACAGTATAAAATCTAAATTAAGAGAACTATTACCATTCGGCGAAAGATTTATTGCTGATGATCCAAATGAATGGCTCAAAGGACATGTAGAAGATTGCATCGGCCAAGCATTGAAAAGTTTTGATGAGCCTGATTTATTACATTTGATGCTTGATGCAACAAGAACAACTTCGAATAATGCTGATCAAGTAAATTTTTCTTCATGCAATTACTATTTACCGAAAATTTTAATATTGTTTTTGTCCTTAATTCTTATAGCAAAATTCCACACGCAGTTCATTAACTCTTGACGAAGTCAAACAGAATATGTATTTATTTATGGTCGCTGGTTATGAAACTGTCAGTACAGCACTTGCCTATGTCACTTATATTTTAGTTACACATCCTGATGAACAAGAAAAACTACGAAAACATATTGATGGTTATTTATCGAAAGACACTATTGATAATTTTGATGTTGTTAAAACAATGGACTATCTCGATTGGTTTATTCGAGAAACATTACGTATGTATCCAATAACACCAATTATTATTAATCGGGAATGTTCAGAAGAAATTAATGTACCAGGATTAGGTTGTATTTCACCGGGTACGAAAGTTACACTTGATATGTACACTTTACATTATGATAATGAGCTCTGGGGAGATGTAGACACAAAAATATTCTATCCGGAAAGATTTTCAGCTAAATGTCATCCATTACCATGGGTTGCTTTTGGTGTTGGACAACGTAATTGCATAGGAATGCAATTTGCACTTGCTGAAATTAAATTTGCTGTTATACGTCTTCTACAGAATTATGAAATCTTGCCATCTGCATTGACGAACGAAGAGCTAGAACTAGTTGAATTGGTTACAATTGCACCAAAACAAGTAATGGTTCGTTTAAAAAAACGAACTGACAGAGAAGGTGAATAAAATTCAATCCTGTCATTAATCTGTACCAATAGCCTACGGCACACTGTCAATCATATTGACAATAATTCCGCGAAACAAAATGGTTTTAATCGAGCAAAATATTATTAGATTGATAAATATGTTTTCACTCTATTTTTCTTATTAAATAAATAAATCAAACATTTGCAACATTTAAACAGTCTTATGATCATGATTTTTATTAGATAAAAATATCTTGTTTTATTTAACTTCCCTAGGCTATGCAAAAGTATTGTTTGCAATGCAGACATTTTTAAAGAACAAACGCGTCGCATTCAAATGGCAGCAAAACAAAGTTTATTTATTTTAAAATATGTTTGATATTTCATCCAGAGAAATTATTTAACCTATGTCTTATCATATTGATTCAAAGAAGTGTTTAAATTTCATTCGCTATCTACAGCATTCTTTTTCTCGAGGAATTGATTTTAGTAAAGCTGATACATATATGTTGTATCTGGTTGGCAGTTATATTTATCTTGTAGATATTGGAGTAATTCTATCGGGCGGCGCAAGTTAAATGTCCCTCTTAGTGTTGTTTCAATTAGTTTATCATTTTTATTCCCTAGACTTTAGTTTTTCCCCAAATGATTCACCATTCAATTCTCTACAAGATGGATATTACAATTTTTACTGTTAGAAGATCAGGAAAAAAATGAGAAAAAGAATATTCAACAAGCATAACAAAATCAACTTTCAAAGCTGGAAAATAGTGTTCGCAATTTTTCGTTGGTCTCTAACGATAAAATTTAAAGAATTTAGATATTTAGTAGCCCTTGAAAAACTCTATCCTCCGATCAGAATTGAGAAGCTTTCAGGCCCACTCGTGTAAGGCGCGCTCTAACTATCTTCTCTTTCAGATTTGCGAGAATTTGGCTCTTTCAATCTGAGATGTCAATACTCCTAGGAAAAGAAGCGCAACTAAGTCAAAATATCATTTTTTGCGTTCGACTTTCTTTCATTTTGATGGAAATGGCCTACTATGCCAAAGTCGAACGCAAAATTTGAGTTATAATTTTTCTTCAATTCAGCCAGCGCCGAATATCTGATTTAAGCTGTTTTGCAGAGAATTTTCAAAAAGTTAGATTTTTCGATCGTCCATTTGATTTTAACGAGTTCTGAGTGACACGACGAAAAAGACTACACTTCAAAGTACTGAGAAACATCTTTGTTTCTGGCTTCTTTTGTGTGTCATTGTAAAAACATTTTCAAAAGTTTATTTTAGAAATGACTTTGAAAGTTGAGACGGTAATTGCTTGTTGAATATTCTGTTTTTAATATTTTTTCTCAACTTTCAATGGAAAAAATTGTAATATCAATCTTGTAGAAAATTGAATAGTGAATCATTTGCGAGAAAGCTAAGGCCGAGAGAAAAAAAACGATGAAGTTAATGAAAAAATACTGAGAGGGATATTTAACAAGGACCACCCGATATTTTAGTTTTTATCATAAATATTTGACATTTAATGGTCGTTGTCTAGATAAATATCAAAAAAACTGACAAAAACAATTGCCAACGATGCGAAACAATGAGAGAATGTCCAATTATCGTCATAGTGTGCATTATGAAAAAGATATTTCATTGAATACAGGAGAAATATCCGAATGTACTCTGTACTCAACAACACCAGGCGGTAGAATTTTCTTTATTTTTTAAATTAAATATATTAATATTTCAATTAAATAGGTACTCGCATTTATTATGATGGAATGTTTCTGTTATCTCGTCGTGAATCACCTATTGCACAATCATCCCCATTAAATTTGCCGTATCTTTCAGAAGGTTTGTCTACCTATAGTTACCTGAAACTCCATAGAAAAAGAATCATAGCGACTGATTTGAGTATGATTAATGATGACCGACACATGTTCTTTATTTGTTTCATAAGACACTATATGACCATTACTTATTTTTGAAATAAAAATTCTGGTTTATTATTCCTTCTCAGATTTCTCGTTGTTACTTTGTAATCTTTTCTCATGCTCAATTGAATTTATTTTTCGACTCCTTTTAGTCGATATACTAATTGATTTCATGCCTATGTTACTGTTGAAAGACTTGCTTCTGCTATCCTTAATATAAAATTTAACATTAAAATAAATGTGGAGACTTCGGATTTCATCCGAGAGTTATGTGTACTGCAAAAAGTGCATGAGACATATGAGTCATTCTAGAATGTCTGAACACGAAAATTATCATGAGAAACTAGGCAATTTGATTTCTGGATGCAGTTTTTGTGCATTTTGAGACTTTTTTCAGGCGATGTTTCATCAGAAAGTTACGGTTTAGCTCAAAACTAATATCAGATTCGGAATCCGCGTTAAAAACTGAGTCGATTTATATATGTTGTGAATAATTCTGAGAAAGATTTATTTTTTGAAAAAAATTCCCTATACTCCTCCCTCAGGGATGGTCTGATCAAAAATGACGATTTTTTCGATAACTCAGCCATTTCTTGATGGATCCTTTTCATCTTCAAACTCGACCTAGATATTGATGAGACAATTCTGTGCACAAAATTTCAGCTCAATCAAATGTAATTGTGAAGAGTTATCGAATAAACGGACGGACGGCCGGACACACTGACCGATTCTAGAGTGTACTCACTTTTTGAGTACACAAAAAATGGCTAAACTACTAATTATGGCTATTTCTATATTTCTATGATTCTATCCACCGTTATCGTATCGATGATGATAAAGAACAACGTGCTTGATATGTGGTATGTTTAATACCAAGTTTCGAAAGTTTCAATTCATTCATTGACATCTTTCATTTCATTATTTCGCTTGAACTTAAAATTATCTCAGTCATGAATATTATCGGTTCAATTTTGAAGAGCCGTGCATCAAACATATAAAGAAATAATCTCGGAAGTATAAAAATTTGATTGTAAATTCTAACTTATTAATTATTTTAGATTAACTTTGTTGAATTATTTCTTTCTCATTTGAATGTACGAAATCAGCACGAGCGTCATTGGTTATTTTGATTGATTACTTTGTTTCGTGCATTCCGTCGCTATTTATTTTTTTAAATTTTTGTCTCAAGCACGAGAATATACAGAAAAAGAATTCAAAACAGTAATGAAACGAAGGTGGAATGGGTTTCGAGGTCATTGCAGTCGAAGTCAATTCATGACATATATCTCTAGAGGTTGACAGTAGAATTATTAATATTTTACTTATTAAAATGTCACTTGGTGGGTACTAGGTCAATTCGTCGCGTGGATAATTCGTCGCATGGACGATTCGTCGCAAGACAATTGGTCGCAATGTAACTTAATGAAAGTGAATATGACGTGTTGCTTGATGTAATTGAATCAAGTAGATTATGTTCAATTAATTGAATAAGCCCACGAATTTCGTAGACTGAGTTATGAATCTCAAGGAAAAAATAAATAATCTAATAGGATTTTGGGAAAATCAGAAAAAAACCATTAATTTTAAAAATAGATATAAAATAATTCTCCTCAGTAACAGAAGACATTTCTTGTCATTATTCATACAATTATCTATATCAATTATTCTACATTCTCATTAGTCTCCCTTAATTAAATTAGAATAAACATGNTAAAATAATTCTCCTCAGTAACAGAAGACATTTCTTGTCACTATTCATACAATTATCTATATCAATTATTCTACATTCTCATTAGTCTCCCTTAATTAAATTAGAATAAACATGTACGCGACGAATTGTCCAGTTACCCACTTGGTGGTATCATTTGTCGTTCACTGAAGAAAAAACATAGAAAAAATTCCTGAAATACGTACTGCAAACTAGAAATATATGAGTGATTGATTTTGAGAAATTAATTGAAATTCAAAAACTAATCATGGAAGTTAGTCAAGGAATAGTCTAATTCGGATTTATAGTGTGAACCATACCATCAAAACTGAGCGTAAGATAAACATCTTGGTATAACCCGAGTCGATATAGGTATCTATTGAAATACTGCAGTAGTGGAATGCATGGTCATGACTCATGAGTTTGCTCAAGTTTAAAATGATGACGAAAAATATTTCAGAAGTCTGCTCTATTTTGAAACTAACATTTAAATCTACCTTCACACTAACCCGTCACATCCTCATTTCACCCAGAGTGATGCTCTGGATCATGTATATCGATAACCATTGCATTTTTCCTATTAATCTTTTACACTCTAGATTATTCTCCTCTATATAAAATAATTAGAAATGATTGTTTTTTTCAAATGTCACGATCAAATGGTGAATCGAGTCACATGAGTGGCCATTAAATAGGTCAGTAATTCACAGCATGAACTTTTACAATTCGATTTAAATGACAACAAAAGGTTAGAGATTTTTATCAACGCATGAGATCGTGCCCATCTACTTTATTTTTTGTTTCATGAAAGAACAAACTGTCGGAAAAAGAAACACATTCACTTTATTCGTAAATATAAAAGGGAAATCAGTTAGATAACCCATTTTTGTTTTGCATTATTATTGGTAATTCGTCGTCGATATATCGAACACGTGCGTTCACATTCATCTCGAGTTGAAAAACGATTTAAATTACCACCACAACCACCCCATGTGAAAACTTGACAGAATCGCAATTGTGTATCAAAATAATATTGTTGTATACTTGCATAGCAGAAACCTGGATCAGGTCTCAATTGACAAATATAATTGGCATTCATAAACGGTGGTCTAGTCGTATAGATTCCGCCATTATTTCCTGTTTCGAATAAAAATCGAAATGATAACTCAAACCACAAGAACAAGACTACCTGGATACATTGATGTATCAACTCTTTTCATTCTAACATTAATAGGATTCATAGGAGCTGGCACTAATTGTACCGGTGTATATTCATCATTAATATAAAGTAATTGGCCATCTTTTTCAATACGAGCTTGAATAGAATATTGTTGAATATTATTACCTTGCACTTGCATTAACGAATATGGAATATTATAAGCAATTGGAAAACGATATGACCCATGCAGAACAAATGTATTAAGAGGACGTGCAGCCGTATCTTGAAGAGATACGTCAGATAGTGTTACGCTAATTCGTGATCCATATGGTAATACAGATGTATCGTCGTTTAAAAGATTTCCCCAAACGTTAGCACGATCTAGAAATTCATTAAAGAATATGCATACATAAATAATTCATTCATATTTTTGGTTTTGACTTACTTGTTTGCAAGGCCTGATTCCATACTGGATTATTTGGCGAAAACGATGACCATGAATTATAATTATTCCATGGATAATATTGCTGTTGACGATAATTATACTGTGTTTTAGCAAGTGAAATGAATAGACATAAAACGAAAGGTATATGTAACATTTTAATAATGTATCAATGTACATGGCGTTCAAATTAAACTTTTTATATTAATCTTTATCTAAATACCATATTCTATTTTTTCCGATTCGATACGCATGAAAAAAGCACAAAAAAAATGAGTAGATCCATTTTCACATTGAATCAATGATATATATTAGTATTATTGTTACGGTATAGATGAAGATTGATGCATCTCAAATTCCATTTGCCTGTAATAAAACGGAATAGGTCATAAAAAAAATGTAGACGTAACTATGACTTATTCATAGGCTATTGATGTCAGCGGAATAATTTATGTGAGACAATTCTATTAACCTTATAATATTCACTGGCGATATGCGAAAAATTTTATTTAAGAAATTGATTTATCAGGATGTTCCGATTGCATGATAATATAAAATTAAGATAATTTCATCGGCAGGTCTAAATTTTTTTGGTTCTCTACCTATAGTTCCATATTATCGATTAATCAAAAGAAAGAAAAAGGAAATATAATTAACGATCAACTTTTTGTTGATTTCTTTTTCTTAGACAATATTGTTTTCATATACATAATAAAAATTTCGACAAATTATATACATCATACAAATTGATTGAAACCCATATTCACAGAAATATTTTCAATAGTTTAAATGAAGAGAACAATCTTAACGAAAATGCTAAATAAAATTATTGAGCCAATTGTAAGACCAATAACAAATGTTATCAATGACCATCGAATTGCTTTTTTATAAAATATTGTTGCTTCAGCATAAAATCCTTGATTAAATGTTCGTACAGCACGTATAGCATAAAATAAAGCAATAAATCCTAAATTAGAGATGAAAAATAATCAATGTCATTCGTTTCGGTGCAGCATAATGTTACTATTCAATGAATGTCTTACCTAAAATTGGACAAAATACAGCAGACAAAAGAGCGCAAGCTAAACTCCGAATTGGATGTTTTTCATCTTCAATTTCAGATATTCGCACACATTCTTTTTCATAGAATCAAAAAGAAAATAGATTGATAGACAACATAAAATTCTACCTCTATCATGATTTAGTTCTCTTGTGCTCGTAAATTTAGCTGATGATGCACACCGATGACCAGTTTGTGTCGATGTAAGTCCTCGAGAAGCAAACATTCTATTCGACCGTAAAAAGAGAAAAGATAATGAATTATCTAGACCATAAGAAAATAAAATACAAAAGCTCATACGAGTATAAATACTCATAAAAGCAAGAATGATTCTTGCAATCGCCTAGTTTTTATATTCAGCTATTCAAGCAGTAACGATGATGAAAGAGTAGAAACAAAAAAAAACGGAAATAAGAAAAAAAGTAGTTTCTGTTTTTTCTCGAAGAGTTCTATAAAAATCATCGGAGCATCTTTGCTTGAATATATGTATCTCAAGAGAATTTCCTAGAAACGGAAACCAGTACAGAGATCAGATATGACGACAATCTATATATATATATATTATCATGTGAGTTTGTTTTTCTTCCCTTGCAAAATATGAGTTAGCTAAGAAAGTCTCGTAAAAACAAATCGTAGTCGTATTGCTTCGACGCTCTTTTTATTAAGGAAATGTTTTAATGAATTGAAGCAAAGCCAAAACTATTACAACGTATCAGCATTTAAAATACACCCGTTTCGTATAATTACTTGACAAGCTAAATTATAGTATAAGCATGGTGTCCTAGATTTTTTTTTCTTAATGGCGAAACAGTAGATATGTGTCAAGGAGACATTACGTATGATATCTATATATCAATTTTATAATTAACTCTTTATACGACTGAAAAGTAGTTTGATAAAAACGACAATTCATTTTACAGAAGCGTCGATGTACATATATATAAATCTTTTTTATAAGGAGAAAAATAACGCTTACAATTGCGGATAAAAGATAACGTAGTTTTGTTTTGTCTGATTCACAATGTGAAGGATAGATGTTTGATGATATGCAGGTATTCATCGTTTTTTGATGAAGTGTGATATCATCAAAACTTTTAAAAATAAAAGTCATTAATTCTTATGCTTAGAATCAGAAAATATCTTGAATGATTATCCACATTAACAAAGGGATACCTATTTACAGACAATTATCATATATATTTTAATCAATCTTATTGGTTTAATAATTCACATTTATGGACTTTCGTTAATCTTTTTTTCTTTTTTTAGTAATAAGTACAGAAAAGAAAAGAAAGAAAACAACAAACAAACAAACAAACAATACAAATTCTTATATGTCAAGTTTATAAATAATTTTCTTGGAAAATTATTCTTGGGATAATTGTTGGTAGAACTTAAGTGAACGATCCATGCTTGAACTTGCTAAATAATTAGCATCGGAACCAAATCGAATACCAGTTGCTAAAGCTGTATGATCATTAAAAGATTTAATTAAATCCCATTGTTTGGCTTGATATACTCTATTTTAATAGTAGAAGAATATTTTCTTTTTAACAAGAACTAAACAAAACAAAACAAAACTCATTAATTTACCTAACATCAGTACCAGCAACGCCGAGATACATTCCACTCTGATCAAATACGAGATCACGTACTTCATACCGATCTTCAAGTGTAATCGTTTTGAAATTTTTCAATTTACGTAAATCCCATAATTTAATTGAGGCATCTTCAGCTGCAGTTGCCAAATAATAACCTTTAAACAAAAAAAAACAAAGAATTTAAAATTTTGCACTTTTTTATAAATGATAATTTTACCATTTTCTGAAAATGCAATAGCACTAATTGATCCGGCATGACCAGGAAAATCAGCAACATTGTTACATTCTTTTAAATCCCAAATTTTTATTAAACTTTCTTGTGTACCAATACCAAAGATAATACCGTCAGGATGAAATTGTGCACATGTTAATCCTAAATAAAATAATGAGCACTTAGAGAGGTCTCATAAAAGATTATCGGTTACTCGTCTTATTGTATTATTGCTTTTTTACATCTTTTTTTCTATGCGCACACAAATATATATATATATATATATATATAATTTCTATTGCAGATTTTGTAGTGCGGAAACTATTACTTGCATTGATTCAATTATTTTCTTTCTTTTTACAGATTACACTTTGGTTTATAATCATGTTACTTAAAATAGATTGCATGATGAAAAAGTGCGAAAACTCGTAATATTAGTTCTAACTAATTATGGTACCGACAGACGGGTTGATTTTTTCATATGCGTGTTAACGATGAAATGAAGACGTGCTGAATCAACAAATAGTTCCGCTTTTGAACACCAATGTACTTGTTGTTGGTTTTTTTTAATTAATTTAAATGTCAAGTTAACTCATGTGTGATAAAACTCTAAAGTACTTATAAAAATTTCATCTGAATTCGATCATAGTTAATCAGGATATTATATTTAATTGTGCTCCAACACCATCCGCAGTAATACGATGCATATCTCTCTCGCTCAAAATGTAATTTAACGACTACGAATATTCCTTCAATACTTTCAGCATAAATCTTGATTTCTATTTCAGTGCTTTTGAAAATATTATTATTCAGTCTACACTACTATGACATAAGCCCAAGCAAGATATACCTATGATTTTAATTGTATGTTCGAAGGATTCAGTATGTCTTTCTTATCTCACTGAAGTCTAATTCGTAAATGCTTCACCATTTGAAACAACTTCTTCGTTAGAAATAAGACCCCATTACTCGAACATAACTAATAATTAAGTGATCATTGTGGATAGAAAATATTTCCTTCTTGTTAGAATCAATTTTACATACAGTAGCTTAATGACGCTTTATTTGCTTCAGAAAATTATTTTCTTACCTCTCTGTGAAGTTGTGTCTTGAACTTTGGTTATTAATTTTCCAGTACGTAAATCCGATAGAGCCCAAAACGTATCACTGGAACTTGATAAAACATAATCACCAGTGGGATGAAGTGAAAGACCAGTTATAGGATTTTCATGTGCTTTAAGAATTTTAAGACATTGTGCTGATGGAATATGCCAAACACGTATACTTGAATCAGAACTTCCTGTGATTGCAATATCCTATTTAAATAGAGCAATTAATCTACTCATGGACTATCTCTCTCTCTCTCTCTAGATATGCATACTTCTTCAAAATGATGAATAACATGTGTAACTTTCTTTTGATGCCCTTTTAATGTCGCAATAACTTGTTCACTATCTTTATTAAATACAACTGCTTGACGATCATTACCACCTAAAATGAAAATTATATAAGACGATTGAAATCTTGTTTTGAAAAATATAGACATACCAGTGAGAATGATGCTTGGATTTTTGGGTGATATGTCAAGAGCTAAAATACCTGGATTACTAGCACTATGGATTGCCTATAGAAATAATAAAAATAATATTTGCAAAGAAACATCAAACAGTTCACTAACAGTATGTGTAGCTGAACAACGAAAACTTCTCATATCTTCAACACTTGTTAGACCTTCTGGTACACGTTTACCACGTTGTTTACGTAATTGTGTTAGAACAGATGCTTTATCTTGTAGCTAATTAAATCAAAACGTTCAAATATTAAGATAAAAATAAGGGGATATTTATTTTTTTTTGTTTACTTTTTGAATAATTTCATCATTCATGCCTTCAGCTGTTGATCCTTGAGATATATCACTGCCAGCTGTATGTGAATTTTGTGCCAATTGTTCATTTCCATGTTGCTAAAAATTGATCAAAGTTAGTCAAGGATTACGAACAATAGGAAAGTAAGTTTCTTAACTGTTAAAAACAACAAAAATTCTCTCTCTATAAAAATACGCATTAAAATTGCACATCTTGCGATAACTGTTGGCGGTGTATGAGCAATATATCAAAATAATTAATCTCAATCATCTCCTTATTTCAAATAGGAAATATTGAAATGATACTGTAGCAACATGTCCCAGGAAAAAAACCAGTCACAATACCATTATCTTTAAAAATAGTAATATACTGTGTGACATTTATTATCACACTGGGGTTCCACTCATAGTTCTTAATTGGAATCTTCTTGTTAATTCCCTCTGAGATGATCTTAGATGAATATCTATTAGATTATAGAAAACGTCCTGCTATTAGAAGGGGAAATTCTATTTTTTTCCATGTCCGAAATAATTATCCTAATAATTTACACCCGAATCTACAATAAAATTATTTAAGGAATGAAAAATGACAGCTTTGTATTCACCATCCACCTGCAGAAAGTATATAAAAACCTATTCATACCATTGGCATTGCTTGTGAAATACCAGCTTGAGGTTTAAGTGTAGCTAAAGCTTCACGAGCAGCAGTTACTTCTTTATTTAAACGTGCGATAACTCGGCACGCAGCATCATGTTGATACATAACATGTGAAAGTTCTATTTTGAAATATTAAAAAAAGAAATCATATTTTTATTCTAGCTCTCTAATTAATTACAAACCTTGTCGTGCTGTTTGCAATTGTTGACGAAGTGTAAAACTATGTAGCATACAAGCATCCCATTCATCCTGTAACATTTTAAGGATAGCTGGAATACTCGTAGCTGACGGTGGCTTTGGTTTACTCAATGGTGTAACTAAAATATTCGATACGGTGAGAAAATTAGAAAAAAGAATTAATTATCACTCTACCTTTAACTTCAATCAATTGTTCTTCTGTCAATGGTTGCCCGTTGATTGGATCCGTTGAAGCTTCACGCAGATATTTAATGATTAAACGTTTTTCATAGATACAACCAGATACGGGCGAAAGAACTGGTTGTTCTGGAACTTCATTTGAAACTAAAATGATCAAAAATTGAAAAATACATGAATATAGTAAATATTAGGCCATACGAGAACAGATAAGTGACATGACTGACGATTTTTAATTGGTTGAGAAAAAAAACACAGAAACGTCGTAATCTGAAAAATAAAAATCAAGAATTTTAAATAAAAAATTATAAACAGGAATAGAGTTAGATTTTTATGGTTGTTATGTTGTGTTGAACTCGTGAGTTTTAGAACGTCTAGAATAATATTATAAAAATAAAACAATAAACCGAAGGAATGTTCCCGTGAGAACTTTGAATGGCTTGTTCAACAGGGAATATCGAAATGCTAGTCTATGTGTATAGTAGAATAAAATGGATTCAACAAACACAGAATATATGAATGGTATTTTAATGTCGCGTTATTTTCTACATTGTTTTGCAAATCGTAGTATAAAATGTTGAAATTTCATCAAAACTTCTAATAAATCCTTAACTAAGATTAATTGAAAGAAGATCATTCCATTGAAACATTTAAAAAAATACGCAGTAGATAATGTGGCGCAATACTTTTAAAACAAGCTAAATACACAAGTATGTGGATAGACCAAGTGAAAAAAACTAGTTCACGAACAATGAATCGACAATGACCATTCTATTATTGGATACAAAGTGAATGATACATTTAAATGTTTATTCAAATGAGATTTTTATTTTCAAAATTTTCAAAATATTATGAGAAATGTTTTGTTGAATAAAAACATAATTTGGTAATGATCAATAGATGTCACTCGTCTCCATGTATTCAGCAAAGTATTGAGGTCAGACATGGAGTGTGACCGGTGAGAGAGTGTAGCAGGTGGTCAACAAAATTGGCTAAGTTAGGAAGCAAAAATCATAGTAGCCACACATTTTCATCTGTGAACTTTCATATACTTGTGATAGATTTTCACGTAAAGCCAACGTTATTTCATCATCCCAGCACATATCTGATTGAAGAATGTTTTCAAGTCAATCGTCTCATTTGTAAATGGGTGTAGTTATTGCTTGATATTCACTCATAACAAAAGATCGATTTCGCCCAGTGCATCAGTTCTATATTTTGAAAAGCTATATTTGAGGTCCTGATGATAATATCATCCACAAGAAAGTAAACACGTGGAGCTGCTATAGGTAAAAATCAGTTAAGATTTCACTCTCTGAATTGATTTTTGACGAAGTTATACTGCAAAACATTTCTGCACTATTGTCTGTAGCCTATTGTCAAAAGGTAGCTATTTTTTTTATCGAGTTACACTTAAAACAAAGCTAAAGAAAATAATATCATCTGATTGGAATTCGTAGAAGTACATAATCTGTTATGATGTATAACTCTATAGTCTGAGAATCTTTTGGAAAAAAATAACATAGGACCATTAGTGATCATGTTTATTTCAAACACTCGCGTTCACACTTTTACATAAAATGAAACAAATTCGTGCTAATTGTTTGTGTAATTTTTGCAGGAAACGAGTCCATTCATGCCGGAATAAATAGGCTCGTTCTATTTTCTGTCAATCACTTTTCATGTATTTTATATTATATGATGAACATATTCAAAACGACAAAAAGCAATCAATTATGTGAATATTTTTGTCCAGGTATAACCGGAACTACTGCTCTTCGTCGGCATCCTCTTATATTATTTGCCATAATTGAAAAAATCGAACTTCAAGTGCGGCAACAATACTTGGATCTACTTCAATTTCTATATAATTAAATAGAGAAGTATATATGCGAGCTTGTGTATTCACATTAAGAAATTGAAAAGCAACAATATTGTGACTCCATAATACAATCCAAATAGAATAAAATATGATTGTTTGAAATAAAAGAACTTTTTTATATTTACGCCGAAGATTATGTATTTGCTGACTACGAGCACCTTTTATTGAACTTACATGACGAATACCGGATTGTTGTGATGATAGTATTTAACGTAACTGGCATATCAGGGTTGCCACCTCTTCCGCTTTTTGCGGAAAGTTTCCGCTTTGTCAATTTTTTTCCGCTATTTTTCCGCTTTTTCGTCTAAAACGTGTTGCATATCAAACCTACGTACATAATAATATTTGATATTATTGAATCGATTCTTATTGTTCACAAATACCGTGAGCCATCATTCTTTTATGTTTTGAAACTTTGATGAAATAGAAAGAAATCCAATAAATATGAAAAAAAAAGCCTAATATTCTCAGAGGCACCACAAATCTGCAACAATATAAGCTTCCGCTTTTTTCCCGCTTTTTCTGTTTTTCTTTCCGCTATTTTCCACTTTTTAAGATCAGTTTTCCCCTTTTTGAACTTCATCAGGTGGGCAACCCTGGGCATAATATACGTAACGAATAGATTAAATATCTGTACAGATAACGAAACATGGAGTATATCACAAGATTGATCTGCTTGATGCCATAATATAGTCCAATTGGCAAGAAATTGTATCATGACATTAATTACTGGTAAAAGATATATAAAAAAATGACTTAAAATAACTAGACGAACATTCTCTATGAAAACGTTTCGGTTAAATATAATCTGTGCACAACGACATACATTCATTGCAAGTAAAAAGTTAATTTGTACTACATTAACATAAAACTTTGATGATGCTTCGAAATAACATAAGCTTATTCGCAATATTGGATATAAAGACACATTCCAATGACGCATACTATATAGAATAAAAAAATCTGTTATTAAATATGCATATAGACACATCATATTTAGTTGTCGTATTGATGAAAATGATATAGTTTAAATCCAAAAAGGTATTTGAATAATAATAGCACTGAGGTCATCAACTGTACTAGTCAACCAGGATAATTCAGAGCAATTCATTTTAATTTTTCACAAATTAGCTGTTGTCAAATAGTTTGTATGATTTCAGCAAAACTATCCTTAGGATAAGTTCCTTTGACAGTATCATCTTTAAACTAATGTGCCAGATTAATTGTAAAAAAAGGAACAGATAGAAAAACAGAAGAAAAAAAGAAAAAAATTCTCTCACGGTTCATGAAGAACATTTTCTGGGTTTCTTTGTTTTAAAGGAAAGATCATAATAATTCTATTGAACTAAATTTTTTTTGTATTATTGGATAAACTAGAAATTTTCAAAGAATGATAACGTACTTCATGCCTTTCTGACGCCGCATGTTGCCGATTCTACGTACTTGAAACTCGGACTAAAGTGGTTCTCGAAATTTCTATCAAAAGATTTTACTAGATATATATAACTTTAATGAATAAGGATATATCCAACTTGGAACATGAAAGAATAAAGCTTCGTAAATATATTGTCTGTAACGCAGAAAAAGTTCATAGTTTATTTTTATTATCTGTATTTAGTAATGCTCTGTTACTGTTAATAAAAGAGATACATTCAGAGTGTATTCAATTCATGTAGAAGAATAAATGACTTTTCTCATACACAAAAATAGAATAAGAATATCAACGTTTCGTTTTTGTTCGATGGAGACATGCAAGAAAATCGATGTGTATACTTTCATCACTACTTATGATATTCGTCATTTTTATTCTGTTGTCTACCTACTGATCTAAATTTTATCAAATTAGCCGAACGCCAGAATGTAGTTTTCTTCAAAAATCTGCGTGATAGCATCTGGGAACCAGTATCCACAGATAATTAGTTAATCATTAGTTCACACAGAGCATTGTGAAAAACTGTCGGCTTCAAATCGTGAACGGATTTCTTCATTAACAAAAGGATATAATTACTCTAAAACATGTGAACAAAGAAATTTTATTAAAAGAATAACAAGCATCAAATTAATATAAAAAAAATAAAAAATCATAATAATTATTCAAAAATTGATTGATATCAAAATATTATAAAAAAATAAAATCTTTTTAAATATACCATTCTAAGTATTGCAACATTTTCTATTTGCACTATTATCAACACTTTTATTTTTCTGAATTCGTTTAACATCGATATTGCTCGGCATACTGCCAGATTGTTCGAGACGTCTTTTAAGTGCAAGTCTAGCTATTGCATTAAATACTTCTGCAACATTTTTACTATTTTTAACTGATATTTCGAAAAATAATAGATTATGTTTTTCAGCAAACTCTCGTGCATCATCACTTAGTACTGATTTGTTTTGTTGATTATTATCATCATCTTTATTACCAACGAGAATTTTCGGGACATCACTATCACAAAATTGTTGTATTTCGAGAAAACGATCTTTTAAATGGACGAAAGTTTCACTATCAGTAACCTTTGAATCAAAAAGAAAAAGATTTATTGAACTGCATTATGAAAAATAACAGATATAGTTATATTACATCGTAAACAATAATAATCCCATCGGCACCTCGATAATAAGAATCTATTGAAAGAAAACAACAAGAAGAGAATGTTGTTTATTCAATTCATACTATTAATTTAAATACTTGTAATGGACCGGAATCGTTCTTGACCAGCAGTATCCCTATAGGAAGAAAGAAAACAGAGAAATTCAATACAGTCGTGTATCTTTATAACGAATACGATAATAGAAAGATTTCCAGTAGTAACAAGAAATGGTTTATATAGTAGTGTCCACGCATGTTGTTTCAATTAGATCTTGAAAAACATATTGAATGTATAATTTGGAAATAATAAGTTATATTCTTCTCCTTAAACCTTCTCTTCAGACAAAAAAAAATTTGTGCAACACTTCATACTTCAAGAAACTGTCATAATTTTGAAACTAAGAAAATTGATAAGACTTTTGACTGAGTAGTCTCAAAAAGAAATATATCATAAATCAATGCTTCCTCTTTCAAATGACTAATCTATAATTGAGACGCACCATATTTGTAATCGGCACTTAAATTCTCCACTATTAACAATAGCTATTTGAAAGTCTACACCAATTGTCGCATTATACGGAGCATGGAAAACACCATGAACAAATCGAGTCATTAACGAACTTTTTCCAACACCCGAATCCCCAATAATAAGGATTTTAAATGTTTGAACAGGTTCGAGATTTGTTGTCATTTATATAAAAGAAATAAGAATGGAAGAAGCATAAAGATTTTGTTTATTTTTTGAATGCTCTTCTTTATTATAATTTATTCGTAAATAAAATATGAAAAAAATTGAAGAGATTTACAATGAGAAAAATTAGAATTGAATGCGTAAAACGATTTGTTATTTGCAACATGAGCTGTTATGGTTCTTCTGTTTTTTCTTCGATCCGTCTAACCTAATAGATTGAGATAACGGTGTAGCATTTGCTTGTCCATTATTTGCTGATGGTTTTTGTTTGTCACGCGCTTGTAAACGTTTTTGTAAGGCCAAACGTGTAAGAGCATAAAAAGCTTCAGTCACGTTTTTATTATCTTTTGCTGATGTTTCGAAAAACGGCAAATTCATTTCACGAGCAAAATTTTCAGCTTCTTGAGTTGTTACTTCTTTTGGCATCAGGTTTTTATTGATTGGTATAATATCATCTTTATTACCAACAAGTAGTTTAGGTATGTTATCTTCACAGTATTTATTAATTTCATCGAGCCAACGACGGACACTAGCAAATGATCCACCGTTGGTAACATCATAGACAATCAAAACACCAGCTGCATCACGATAATACTTAAATCAAAAAAAGTAAAATGAGAAATAAAACAAACAATCTGAAAGATTATTTACGGTTGTAGTTATCACACGAAATCGTTCTTGTCCGGCAGTATCCCTAGAATATTCGAAACCTATATTTTAATTCCATAAAATGATCATGTAAATTCAAGCTTGAATATTATCCATAGTTCAAAATGTCTCAAACCAATCGGAGTACTTTATTTTAAAACCTATAGCAATAGCCATGATTCGTTTCAGTTTTTCCTAGTCTCGAAAATAGTAACAGATGCAAACATAAGTTAGAAGCAGCTTCAGCTTCTTCAATCTCTGAATTTCTTCCGGTTGCATTAATATTCGATAAAAGCATTAGTAATATGTTGAAGTATATATGAAAAATTGATTGTGATTTGTTAATCAATAGGTTCAGTCATTCGTTCGGGAAACAATCGATTTCGAACTTTCAACTCATAAGTAACGTAGAATAATATTAAATACTAAACTAAGAATTTTGGAGTATAATTGTTGAAAATCTACTTCACTATTATCATATTCTTCTGACATGGGTTTTCAAAGATCAAATAAACACTTAACAAGTATAATAAAACAATTATAATAGAATGAAGATCTATTTAATGACTCTGAATTGAACTAAAAACAAGAATATATTTCAGTAATCTAAGATTTTCAATGCTAAAATAAACCTTAATATCGTTCATACGTATGTATGGCATTTATCTTTCTTTTGATCCAACAGGTCCCTACTATGCAAGCTTTCTAGATGCTTCATTTCAAATAGTTCAGTTATGTACACAATGTAAAATATGAAAATTCAATTTCGCAACGTTTAACTTATCCATTCGACTATGAAATAGAGTTTGAATTCATTTTCTTGTTTTATTGATTTAATGACTAACCAAATCTGAACTTTACATGGATAATTATCGATCATCAATGTTCGAACTTTGAAATCAACACCAATTGTTGGCAAAAACGAGGATTGAAATGTTTCATCAACAAAACGCGTCATCAGACAACTCTAAAAATAGAATCAACATATTCGAAATTAGTTTTAATAATAAAAGCTTAAGATAAACCTTTCCAACACTGGATTCACCAATAATAAGAATTTTAAAAGCAAACGATTCGTTTGATTTAGCCATTTTACTAATTATAAAGCTAATATCCTAGGCTATATACATTAATCTCGTAACGAATAAGAATACAAACTAATATTTATGCCGATGCAAAAAACATAAGCAGTGCCTACAAATGAATCATGAGAAATTATGAATTGGTGTTAGTCATACGGAAAAGCGCCCTCTATGTTTCAAATGATTCGAAAATAAAAATTTCGTTTTATTGTAATTAGTTTTGAATTTGAAAAATCGTAAAAAACGTTTGATATTTTGAAATGAATTTAACAACAGAATTATTTAAAAATGTTATGCATTTTCAAATACCCGAGTCAACTTTCCCTAAAAGAATCCCCAGGAAGTCCCTAGGGATTTCGTTCTTTTGCGGGGACTCCCGGGGAGTTATCTGGTCAAAATCGATGAAATATCTAATTACTAATAAATTCTTGTAAATTTTTTAAAATTTAAAGAAATTAAAAAGTTTTTTTTTAATTAAGAAAAATGTCATCAATTCTCTCCAGAGAAATCCCCAGGGAGTCCCCCAAATAAAAATTCTTTGAGTTTTTGTTAACTCATGTTTATACTAGTTCTACTCTTCTATTCTGCATACAATTCATCATCGTGTTATGAATTGACGGATGCTAAGTCTTCTCTTGTAAATCTTTGAATACCCGATAAAAATTAATCTCGAGACAATATTAGTATTTAATGGCAGATAAGAAAGAGTCAGCCTATATCAACTCGAATAAGCTTGTCAAAGTACTTGTGAATCATATAGAGCGAGTCTAATGAATTGAAAAGTTTTCTTTGAGGTCAAAAATGCTACATAACAGTAACTTGAATATCAAATAGATAGATTCTAATGCTACATTACTTCATTTGTTTTTGTCCTGGAAACCTAAATTAATCTGAATAAATCTGTCAGAATGTATGAGAAAATATCAGAGATATCTCCACTACCCTGGTCGATCAAAATGGATATCGTTACGGCGTCGTTTACGGCCGTAAACGACAAGAATACGGGGTATTTCCGGCCTTATATGATGAAAATACGGCCCGTTATGGCACCGTATTTCCCCGTTTTAACGGGGGCAGTAATACGGCCGTATTTGCCCATACCGTATACGGTGAAAGGTATACGACCGTTTACGAAAGTTATGGTAGTCGTTTACGGACCGAATTCAGATTCATTTACGGCCATAAATAAGTAATTTATTTTCAGCTTAATCGCCATATTAACTTGCTGTTGTATACTGGCGAAGCCTATAAACTACTACAATATTCGAATTCCTTTTTTCTTCGTTTTAAAAAAGCGCATTTTTTAATTAGAAAAACTAAAACAAAAAAGACCCATGTTGCGAATACTGGATCAATTTTTGCGGTAAACCGCGGTATTTATCCGTTCTGCGGTAATGGGAGCCGGTAACCGGACCGGTAAAACCGCCGTAAACCGGCGGTTTTTTGCGCATGTTTATCACATGTAAAAGTAAAAAAAAAGGATCTTTAAAATAGTTTAATTGATGATTTGGAAGACTTTTTCTGTCAAAAATTATAGATGAACCGGCTAACCGCTTTTTTTAGCGGTAACCGCGGTAAATGCCAGTTCATTTTTTGTGGTAAACCGCGGTATTTATCCGTTCTGCGGTAATGAGAGCCGGTAACCGGACCGGTAAAACCGCGGTTAACCGCTAATTTTCATGCGGTTTTTATTACATGGGGAAGAAACATTTATTTTATTTAAACTTTCACCTATTTTCCATGATCGAACAAGTTACATGGGAAGTCGAAATAGTAAGCAACGAGAGGCGCAAATATACAAAAGAATTTCATAAATTTTTCAAGCATAATAAATCTAAGAATAGAAAGAACAAACAATTTCCTGTCGAAAAAGTATTAAAAAAAACTTGGCATTCTGTTTTTCTAGATGAAAAGAGAGGTCGATAATGTCATCATGTTGCTATATAAAGCCTCTTGCGTACTCATGAAAAGCAAAGATCCGAGAAATTGGAAATATCCAAATGAATATCTTCTTCAAACTTATGAATGCTTTTAAATTTTCTTTATATCATTGTTTCGAACGGATCAATAGAAAAAAGGAAAATAAAAAATCGATTAAAACTCCGTAAAACCCTCTAAACTGTGTTTCAAACCGTACCAAAATCTTATTCGAAGCAGATTTTCATATTGAAACAATTTTCTATAGGGGCGTCACAATCGAGGATTTATGTTATATTGTTTATTGAAGTGGATTTCTTTGGAACTGTAGAATTATTTGGGTAGTTTTCATGTAGAAATTAAGGAACAACGTTGTTGCCGTTGAATTGTGTTTTTTTTGCGTCTGCTGACAGCATTCTACAGATACGACAAAAATACGTACCGTTTATGGCGCCCGTTACGATGCCATTTGCGGTGCTTCGTATACGATCATCGTGAATACTATCGTATATCACCGTATCAAGATCGTATACGGTCATTCGCAAACGATCTGCCGTTACGACCACCGTAATTTGCCGTATTGTCGTCGTTTACGACCGTTTACTGATCGTTTTGTCCGACCAGGGTGCAATGATCGATTAAAGGAGAAACGCACTGATTTTTGACTTTACGATGGCGATAATTGGAAAACTATGAATCAGATAAAAAAAAGTCTATAATATAACCATTGTTAACCGTTTTAAGAGTATCATACTCCTCGATATCTTCAGCATTGTACGAAGTATAGATTATTTCGAACTCTACCTATGAATTAGATTCCATGTACGATTGCATTGGTGCTAAATTTAATTTCTAATTTTTTTAATTACTACATCAGTAGCTTTCAAACATTATCATCGCATCCTCTATTGTTGTTCATTCATTACACAATGCGATAAAGGTGATATAATAATGACTACCAGTCAGACAAGTCTCTAAAGAAAACGCGTTCAAACGCCGTTTTTTCGACTTTTGAACGCATATCAACACGTGATAATATTTCAGCATTCAAATATGTAGATTTAGTTTTCGATCTATGCGTTTTTATCCGTTAAAAACTCGAATTTTACGCTTATGTTTCTTAAATTTTTCAACGTCCTAAAAATAATTTTTCTCTGGATTAGTTCATTAATAATTAATTAAAATAATTTTTCATCTTGCCCTTGGAGTGACCAGTTCGGTCCTTGCCTCTCAATTCCTTAAAATGAAATTGTTTTATTTACAATATTGACCAATAAGATCTTTATATATAGAAAACCTCATCAAAGAGAGCAGCCACTGTTTGTCACCTTAGATCACCCCGGAGTGTTTTTGAACGGTATGTTGTCGGTGAATAAAATTTTATTCACCGACAACATACCGTTCAAAAACACTCCGGGGTGATCTAAGGTGACAAACAGTGGCTGCTCTCTTTGATGAGGTTTTCTATATATAAAGATCTTATTGGTCAATATTGTAAATAAAACAATTTCATTTTAAGGAATTGAGAGGCAAGGACCGAACTGGTCACTCCAAGGGCAAGATGAAAAATTATTTTAATTAATTATTAATGAACTAATCCAGAGAAAAATTATTTTTAGGACGTTGAAAAATTTAAGAAACATAAGCGTAAAATTCGAGTTTTTAACGGATAAAAACGCATAGATCGAAAACTAAATCTACATATTTGAATGCTGAAATATTATCACGTGTTGATATGCGTTCAAAAGTCGAAAAAACGGCGTTTGAACGCGTTTTCTTTAGAGACTTGTCTGACTGGTAGTCATTATTATATCACCTTTATCGCATTGTGTAATGAATGAACAACAATAGAGGATGCGATGATAATGTTTGAAAGCTACTGATGTAGTAATTAAAAAAATTAGAAATTAAATTTAGCAACAATGCAATCGTACATGGAATCTAATTCATAGGTAGAGTTCGAAATAATCTATACTTCGTACAATGCTGAAGATATCGAGGAGTATGATACTCTTAAAACGGTTAACAATGGTTATATTATAGACTTTTTTTTATCTGATTCATAGTTTTCCAATTATCGCCATCGTAAAGTCAAAAATCAGTGCGTTTCTCCTTTAATCGATCATTGCACCCTGGTCGGACAAAACGATCAGTAAACGGTCGTAAACGACGACAATACGGCAAAATACGGTGGTCGTAACGGCAGATCGTTTGCGAATGACCGTATACGATCTTGATACGGTGATATACGATAGTATTCACGATGATCGTATACGAAGCACCGCAAATGGCATCGTAACGGGCGCCATAAACGGTACGTATTTTTGTCGTATCTGTAGAATGCTGTCAGCAGACGCAAAAAAAACACAATTCAACGGCAACAACGTTGTTCCTTAATTTCTACATGAAAACTACCCAAATAATTCTACAGTTCCAAAGAAATCCACTTCAATAAACAATATAACATAAATCCTCGATT